GGACGGTTATCATAGTTAGACCGGGAACCGGACCTACGGTTATCAGTTTGGACCGGTGAAACGGTGACGGTTAAGCGGTGAATGATCGTCACCGTTGCATCCCTATACTCCACTTGTACTCCAGTGATACTCCACTCTACTCCAGTCGTACTCCAGTGATACTCCACCCTACTCCAGTGATACTCCACTCTACTCCAGTCGTACTCCGCTCTACTCCAAATTTTTTTTTGGAGTAGATGGAGTATCGCCTTTTCCCCCTTGCATACACCCCAATTCGATCCTAGTTGTTACACAAAAAATTTCAGATCAATCGGTCGAAACGTCTAGGGGAAAAGGGGGGAAAACTTCAATTTTTCTCTAAAAAAATAAATTTTCCAGAAAAACACGCAACAATGTAATACGACATTTTTTCGATACTTTGTGGTTTTTATTTTTTCATCCATAGCTACCAATTAAATCACTTGCAAAGTGACTAGGATGATGCATTCCTGACCCATACAACATATTTTGAAGATGAAATAACTATAATAGTATAGCTCATTTACTACAAGAAAGCGCTGCAAAATGTGATTTTTTGTGTAGGGGATCTCCAAAGTCGTTTTTTTAAGCGCTTCAATAACAATGAAAACTGTTCGTTCATATGCCATTCGATAAAGGGCACTTGAGCACCCACACCCACCCGTTTCAATTTTGCTATGTTGAGAAATCTTGATATTGCTGAGCCGTTTGTTCGTCCAGAAAATTTTCATCATTATTTTCCTTTATTATAAATATTTTGTTATAAATTCTTTCAACAAATGGAAGTACTACTTTTGCGAAAGTTATATATATCTGAATAATGCTGATCAATAAAAATAAAATCATTATAATAAGAAAGAAAATATTTTCTATCTCTGTTACACTGGAACAAAAGCACATATAATAATCTCCTTTCATTGTCTTAGGTGTGCAGAAAACGATTGTGTTTTATTTTTAATATTCAGATGCGTTAATAATAATAACAGTCATAAATAAAATAAACTTTTTGAGTGTAATTTCTGTAACAAATTGCTTCTTTCGCTTTTCTACAATCTCATTGGCAATACTGATTTGAAAAAACGTTTCGTTATGATAGTTATATGACAAAAAGAAAACGAAAACGATTAAAAATGTCTATTTTAACAAATATTAATTCTCTCTTGAACATTAAATCCATTGATGACATTTATCTTCCTCTTACACTAGAAACAGTACCATTAGATGTAAAAGCAAGAAACCGATGAACTTTTGTTTTCTGATAGATCGTAGACTTGTTCAGTACCATTTGTTTGAATGATAACAGTTCGATCACCACTTATGAGAGTGACTCTGAATAATAATGAATAAATTATTTTGTTACGATAACCAATTAGGATTATCATCTTGTGAATAAGAGAGAAGAACATTGTATTTAGGTTTGGTAACTTCAAGATCATCATTTTCCACTTTTGTTCGAGGAATTCAGTACTAGCTAAATCTTCAGGTAGAGCAGTCATATGTGGATGTGAAGTGAGATTTCAAGATGATTATAAATTTTAGATTTTAATTTTTGTTGAAATGAAAGTGTAATTAAGTTTATCTGACGTTTTCTTCAGTATTGGCTGCTTGAATAGAATCAATAGACAATTTGTAATTCTATGGATCTGCCTGTCGTGTAAGATGATCATACTTCCAGGTAACAAGAGTCTACTTTTTATTTATTGCAAAATGACCAACTACGATGACAACGCCTATGCCTAACGCAATAGTTGTCACAAGTACAGCAACAGAACATAAAACCTAAAAATAGACGTTTATTGTTATTCGTTGAAACAAAAAATATTCAGTACTACCTTATTCATTGTAGTCGTAACTCTTATTATTCACTTCGATTCTTATCTTTGTCGTTTGATATTTGATGTATATATATAGTGTCCAGAAATTCACTAGACAAAGTAAAACTTGAATATCTTCATCATCCATCAACTAAATGAGCCAATTTTTGTTCTGAGAGTGGAGGATAGATTGAAGTGTTTATTCATAAAGAAAGTCTATTCATACACATAAAACTCGTAGACTTCTGTTTACTATACTACTATCCAACGCACAAATATTTATTGCTCATGGCTATAGTCTGATATTGAAGGATATTCTTTTATTTATTTATCAAGCAGTGTAGCTGATGTATATTTCAAAAATATTAAAGTCTGGGGCTTAGTGTGTGGGTGCGTGTGTCAAGCGGCTATATGGCTTGATAAATAAATAAAAGAATATCCTACAATATCAGACTATAGCCATGAGCAACAAACGTTTGTGTGTTGTGTAGTAGTATAGTAAACAGAAGTCTATGGGTTTTATGTGTATGAATAGGCTGGTTCTTTATGAATAAAAGCTTCAGTCTATCCTCCACTCTTAGAACAAAAATTGGCTTATTTAGTTGATGGGTAATGAAGATATTCAAGTTTTACTTTGTCTAGTGAATTCCTGAACACTCTATATATTATCGAGATCTATTTGTTATCTTTTATGGCTCCGTTGAGATAACACTGCTCCGTATATCTATCTCTTGCTCTTTTTTTCTTTCTTTTTGTTTCTTTCTTTTTTCTTTTGCTCTAACAATTTTTTCATTATACTTTGTCGGGTTTTGACTTTTCTGTTGGATATCATATCAAGTGGTTCAACTCTTCTACTCCTCAGTATATTTTTATGAATTAAACACTCACAAACGGCATGAAACGGAGTATATACTGAAACACTGATATTCCATAAAAGACAGTCTAAATAATATTCTTCTCAAATGAAAAAATCAGAAAAGTGAAGAAATTATAGAGACATTTTAGAAATAGAAAGTGTAGATTTTAAGATTGTTCTTCAATGTTTAATAGAGACTTTTCGGCCTTGCAAAATTCAAATATCTTTTTCAAAGCGTATTTGATTAAGCGTTTAACAAAAAAGAATAAATTACGATATTAACATTAACCTGAGTTTTCCAATAAAATGTGGATTGAAAGTTATTACTTGGTGAAAAAAAAAAGATGATCTATTAATAATTTTTTTTCACTTACATATGACACACATAAGTAAAACTGTGTCATGCAAACAAAAAAAAACAAAAACAAAACAAGCAAAAACAGAATCATTGTCATTGAGAATGTATATAGAGTGTATATATAAGTTATGATCATCAAATTGAAAAAGAAAAAACGTCGAATTAGATGCACAACAAGAGTAAAACAAACAACAAACGAAAAATAAAATAAAATAAAAGTAAATGAAAAAAACAAAACATTTTTTATTGTCGCGAAATCGATGCATTTGTCGATTGACGATGCATTGTTTGAACCATTAAGCTAATGTAAGATGTAAGAAGATCATCCATTTTATAACCCTTAAATTCGCACATTCAATTTTGAAAAAATTTTTTTTAATTGAACAAAGAAAACTTACTAATGGTGATTCACACAATAAACGTGTACCGCGAACAATATCACCCACAGTCTAGAAAAAATAAAATAAAAGTCATAGAAAAAAAAACCATGTCTTTTTTACCATATTAAAATAAGTATTTCCACTTGACCAATTTGAAATACTTGTAAATGGATATGTAATAAGTAGATCTTTTGTTTTTGGATGAATTAAATTAACACCATTTTTATTAATTGCAATTAATAACTGTTCAGGAAATGATGGATCAGATGTTTGCTATAATTAACAAGAAAAAAAGAATATTGTGTTTTTATCTAATTAAGTTTTCTTTCATACTTTCACTTCAAAAAATGCTGAACCAAATGTTGCCCATTGATAAACAATTTTAAGAAATTTTATTTTAGCATCTTCTGATGATAGATTACGTGATTGTCCATGAGTTGTCGTAATACGCTAATAAAAAACTTATACATTAAAATAAAAAGAATTAGGAAATCAATAAACCTTTTTCCATTCAGCATATGGAAGTTTATCAACAAGATCAGATGGAAGAAAATCTTTTAATCTAAAACAAAACATTATTAGCACTATTCCTGTAGAATTAAAATGTGAAACACGATACAATTCTTGTTGCTAATCACATAAAATTTCTTTTATTTGATCTCTTTTGACATAAATTTTTCATCACCGTTCATTTAATCCTCTAGAACTGTGATAAGGAAGCAGTATATATATTCTAATAATATGTTAGTGATATAAGGTCTATGATGATCTCTGAAGACTGTCTGTGGATAGTCTCATTTTCTACTGCTATACATCTCAACACTTTTTTCAGATCGTGTTTCACAAAAAAAAAAATTATTTTACTAATATCATCTAAAAACAAAACAGAAATACTTACTGAATATTTTCAAATTGAGCTGTATTATCACCGAATCGAACACGATATATACAAGCGGCTAATTGAACAGCTTCATCGATTGAACATTTATGATAACCACGAATTAATTTAGGAAGTTCCTAAAATAAAACAATGTTTTATTCGGTTTTCTTTTTCAATTTTATATGTACTTGATGATAATGAAATATAATATCAGCCATTCTATCTTTTCCTGGTACAGCATTTGTCCATAATTTTCTCATGAAAAATATTTGATAAGTATATTTTGGTGGATCTTCACGTTGTTTTGTTTTTTTAATCCATTCCTATAAATTCATTGAATTGACTTATTTTGTAGAGGAAAAAAATCATTTAATAAACTTACAGTTAAATGTCGAACAAAATCAAAGAAAAAATCTCCTTCTGGTACACTAATAACTTTATCAAGGATTTTAACAAATAAACTAAAACCTTCACTGGATTGTAATTTAAGTCTATCAGCTATATTTCGACAAAAATCTTTTGCACGTGTTGATGAATCAACTTCAAATGCTTCAGATGTATCATCTGGAAAGTAGACTTTATGATAAATTTGTGTTGTCATATGTTGAATGGCTTCAACTTCAACTTGATGTGGAGGATGTTTACGTTGACCATTTCTAAATAAAGTTTAAGACATTTTTTTGTATTAATAATTATTTCATTTAGTTTACTTTAATATTCGTTGTAAACGTGCAAAACAATCAGCAGCTAATTGATGTTTACGTGATCGTAGAAATAGATTAACTTCTTTAAGTAAAACAGCACTTGGTGCAAAACATCCACTTGCTAACCACATTAATTCCCAACCACGAGATTCACTTGCTTGATTACCATTATCAGTCAATTGTTTAACAATTTGACAATAGATTTCATCTTTAAGAATTTCCTTTAAAGAAATAAGATAAGAAAATGTTAATTATATCATATTTTTAGTTCAATAACGCAATAATGAAGTTTTATTAAATATAAATCTATTTTAAAATATGTATGCTTGTAAATAGTAGATTGTAGGCAATCGATCATGCTGATATCGAATAGGACTATAAGAAATCTCCATAGATATTTTCATATAGTGATTTTCTAGAAAACCGGTTTTATAGACTAACAAACTTTTCGCCAAAATGTCTTTTTAACGTGGCCACATTAAAAAACATATGGAATCGTCTATAAAACTAATTTCGGAAAACAGAAAAGATTATTATATTATAGACAACTCAATATGCTCTATAATTTGAGTAGACCTACAACGATTTTGGCAAACATTGGGAAAAACCAGCTAATGAAGACGTAAGGAGATTTCTTATTATTCTTGAAAACTTTCCCTCATAAGTTGATCATAATTCAACTATGCACAACAATAGGATACAGCTATTTCCATAGATTAGACAAGTCATGTTATTAAACGTTGTGTTTAGACAATAGTAACGATATTTTACCACAAAATATTTTCAAACAGTGTAAATAATTAACAATTCAATTTTAAAAGTTTTTACACAAAGGTCCATGACAAACTTTATATTTTCTCGTTAAACTTACGAAGAAATCTTCTCGAATGATCTCTTTTTATTTCAATGATTTGTTCGTCTATAGATACTACTACATAGTGTTCTAATAAAAACCCAACAAGGTTCAGATTTTTAGAGAACTTGTATTTTCAAATTTTGATCGGAAAGGACAAGTGGCGTTAAGGCCGTTTTTTCGCCCCCAAAATATTTCGTTTTTTTGTATTGAAAACAAGTCAATGGAGGCCCCTGATGATATTTCAAAGATTTATTTTGGAATATCTTTCAATCGATTTTTCGACTCACGTTCGTACTCCCCTACGGGAGTGTCAAAAATAGATTTTGACCAACCCTGTGGGGGAGTACGGGTGTGAGTCGAAAAATCGATTGAAAGATATTCCAAAATAAATCTTTGAAATATCATCAGGGGCCTCCATTGACTTGTTTTCAATACAAAAAACCGAAATATTTTNTCTAAAAAATAGTATAACAAAATATGACCTCTTCACATATTGACATTGACAAATACTTGTTTCTAGAAAGTATTTTTCTTCACATGTCGATTCGAAGAGACTGTCCGATTCGATGATTTCTACGTTCTCTACTTGAGTCTATCGGATCCAGTCAGATCATACTTCGATAGTATCAATGAAATTTTCTGATCAAAATTGGATAGTCGCCCCGAAGATACAAGACACTTTTTTTTTTGTTTCTTTTTGTATCCGGTGATTAACGCATCCTACACATTTCTCACAGGGGTAGAGTCCATAGGGTCCGAGAATTTCGGATCCTATGAGCGCTATTCTCCGTACTTGCCTGGCTGGAAGTCTTTCTATATGAATACATGAAAGACAAAGTTTGCGAAATGTACACTACTGATCAAGCTCAATTAATAAATAGCATCGAAAAAAATTTCAAAAGAAATTCTATGTAATGTCTTTTTTTTCAGATTATCTGATAACAGTAGAGTTGTGTGTTTAAAGTTCTACAAGATGATCTCGATTTGCAGGCACAAATAAAACTATCTGAAATAAAATTTTAACAAGCGTCTGATAGAATCATATTAGTCACATATCAATGACTTAAACTGTTAAAGAGCTATTACTTTGTTTTTTTTTCTTTGAACTTTTGAAACACCCTGTAGGTTATGAAATTAGTCGAATTTACTCTTAAAACTCATAAATTTCGACCAATTTTTTTTCAGATTCGTCGAAATCCAATGATATCATCCAATAGAGCAGTCAAAACTAGGCAGAACTGTTATAAAAGATTGACAGGATAGTAAATTTTCAATACTAAAAAAAAGTTATCTTTCAAACCACGGTCTAAAAATGAGTACATCCTTCCAATATTCATTTTTTATATTTTATAATCAGATAAATAATGTAGTATAAAACCTAACGTACTTCATCTATAAGATCAATTCTTCTTTAACCTAAGACATATAGAATAACATTATATGAGTACAATCGACCTATTGTCCATCGTTAGACATATAAATACAATAGAGAGTGACGAATGTGTCATGTAAAGAAATCGTCTACAATCTAGATCAGGACGGAATAATGCACATATCGATATTATGATTTCGTTAGTCGGTACGGTCAAGGTATAGTTTGTATGGTTTTCATTAAATCAATGTTCATTATCATAGAACGTATATGAATTTCCCTTCTCTCTCTCTCTTGGTCCTTTTTTTTCTCATATTGAAAATCAAAAATTAATGTTCATCGATCAAATAAACAAGAAAGAAATTCATTTTATGTTCACAATCAATGTATCGTCTTGAAATTAGGACATTCTTTTACTCGTTTATATATTCTATTGCTTTTAATCATTTATGAAACAAACACAATATAAAATACAAACAAGCTGAATGAATGATTGGATGTTTGTATACGTCCAGTAATCAGGTCTATTGATACTTAGTGAAACGCCAAACAGTTCAAATTTTTTTTTTCTCTCAAGAGATACAAATATATAAGAGAGAAAAAACTAAACGAGTTCATTCAATGCTCAAAACTATCTCAGTCATTTCTTGTTCGATTGTTGTCTAGTAAAGAACTATGATATACAATATGAAAAATATATTATACTCAGATAAAAAACAAGACACCCGTGAATATATGTAAGTACAAATAAGAAAGAATAAATGGAGAACCATGTGTGAAATATGTCTGGTAAGTAGTTTAATACAACAGAAAAACGAATTAAGATTCAACTCGATTTTGTCAGCTGATAAAAAACTATTGTTGATATGAATGTATTTAAATATTTATTTTAGTTTTAATATTGAATATGATGAAAAAGATTTGGTTTTTTGTAAATCACCTTTGTTTTCGAGTTCATTCGCATTATTTTGTATAAACTCGAACTCACAGGTGGATGTACAGCCAGATTAACGACATATTTAATGGTAATGAATATCAATTTCAATTTTGTTTGTTTTTGTTTAGATTAAATCTTTCAATAAACATCGATGAATACATTTTCTTTTCTTAACCTATCTTTTTATCAGTAATGCCAAAAACACATTATTCTAAATTGCCAGTAAGCATAGAATAAGATTCCGTCTAACATAAATATTGAGCTTCAAAGAGTATTGTAATGAAACTAGATAACTGAAGTTTTCATTAAGGACTAGTGAGCACAAACATACGCTAAAGCATATGAAGACGACTGCCATTTAACCTTCTGATGACGGATTTCGTTTTTTGAAAGAGATGCAAAGGCTGTGATTGTTTTCCCCCAAAAAGCCTGAAAAGAAGGATATACATCAAGAGAAAGAGTAGATTTCATGAAAAATAATTGAACTTCATAAAATTCTAGAATTGCATAGTCAGGTAGAATAGCGCAGAATCTTATAGAATCTTGCATGTGGCTCTATGAAAAACTTTGAAATTCTATATCATCATACAGGTCTCGTAAAATCTAACATATAATGATCTGTAGTATGAGAATTTCAATAGTAGCAACTATTTCATCGAACGATAATAGGTCTAAAGACTCCATAGAATACTGTGAAATTCTATTTGACTTCATGTTAGTCTTAAAAGTGTTGGATATACGGATTCATTGTTTCAACTTGCTATGCATGCATAATTGTATCGCACGACGATGTTGTGTATTACTAGCAAGTAAAAGAAAAGAGAGAATACTGTTATGATCTAGTGATGGTAGATGATCGTATAAGTCAAAATTTGCGTAAAAGCTCAAAATGTATATATAAGTAGTTCTACTAACATATGGTGATGGGGAAAATGTAACAACAACGTATTTTTGACTTTTCTTTCTATAATGAACTAATGAAGTTTTCTATCTAATGAATTCTATAGCAAGATTTCTACAAAAAGCAAACACGATAGTTTTTAGATTCAAGAAACTATGTTTTAATAATACCATTTTACAGAAAACTTCATTACCTATTGAAAACATTATCTGCATTCCAGCTAACTTTTCATACGATGAAATATTGAAGTACGTCACCAGGTAATATATCGTCTGTGTTGTTGTTTGCTGGTAGTATATTATTAATAGCAAGCTGATGAATTTCAATAAAAGTAGAATATGGTCAATGAGTAACATGAATAAAGACATAGTAGTCCAATGGTGATAATCTAGTGTTGAGTATTATTTGAAAAGAAGAACTAATATTTAATTCTTCATTTAATTAAACTTATTTTCTTAGAATACACATTCAAAATAAACATCTCAATGAAAATTTCAGTTGTGACAATTTAAAATAAACGATATGAATATCTATCTGCTATTCAAGTATATTATTTCTGAGAAAAAGAAAAATTTTAATGTATTGAAAATGATTATTATAAAGTGTCTAAAAGATGAGACTTTTGCATATCTTATATAGATTTTAGTGTTCGATGAATATCTGAAAAGACAAGAAAATTCTTAAATTGACACAGTCTGCTCTATAATTATTAGTTTAGCAAGAAAACTGATGTTGTTGAATGATTAGCAATTTGTATATACATAATAATCTTTTTAAAATTTTCAGTTTGAAAAAAAAAAAAATTTTCTTCGTCTTCATTTTATTTCAAGTCTATTTCAACTAACATAGAAATGTAATTTATGTCTATGAAATAATGATAATCTTTTATTATTGATTATTTTTTTCTTTTCGATCAGTTTTAATTCGCCTTAAACGTAATTATATCAATAAAATATATGACGATACACTCAAAATAGTTTTCTTCAGCAATAGAATGTGCATCAACAATTTATCATGATAAGAAAATAATAACAAGGGCTTAGTTGTCTAAAAGACACGAACCATTTCGTAATGATGAAATATAAACTCCTATTTGCTTATTGTTGCTTATTCTCTTGTTCTTGGTATGGGTTTGATAGTGTAGAAAAGACACTTACTTACAACTACACACACCAACGTTCTGTCGAAAGAGTCATTTATTATGGCTTTTTGTATAAAACCAATACATTTATGTCTGATGCATACATATATATATATATACGTATATAAGAGCGGTTGACAATGAGAGAATACATTAACAATAACATATGTTGAATATAATCAATGATGAATAAAAGATGCATACATCAAGTCGAAAGAAACTCCATTGGAATTGATCAAAGAAAATACTTTTCAAGAATACGATATGATGTAAGAAAAGCATTGTCATTTAAGGGTAACCCACCGTTTGCTTTCAAGACAACAACTCATCAAAAAAGTTTGAAATTTTCAGGACAGCTAGATCTTAACAAGTCGAGCAAAATTTGTCATCTTGGATAATGTCTTCTACGAGATACTGGGATTATAATGGCAGAAAATGGCTTTTCCCTTTCTTCGAAGTATGATTGAGCTGAAAATTCTTTGACTGATCTGAGACCCTATTTAGGATGGTTATCTTTTATGTTTCATTCTTCGAAAAAAAAAGCTGAACTACCGAAGGTACTGTTAAAAAATGCATGCTTTTTGTAAGAGCTACTGAAAATCAACGGAACAAAGAAACACTACCCATGTGAAATAGCATTTAATGTATATGAAAAAAGTTTCAGCTCGATTGGATGTGAAATAGGAGCATTTTTATACTTCTTTTTATGAAAAACCTAGTTTGAGAAAAATGCAAAACAATGTACAGTTTTCGCTATTTTTCTCTCTTTATTATTTCTTTTATCGAGCATCCCAGAATTCTCAAAGAAGTTTCATTGTAACCAATGGCTATTTTTGTTTGAAAAACCATGTCAAGATTCAGGACATGACAGAGCCCATTTTTTGAATTGAGCTTTGTGAGTATGACATGCAAGAGTACTATTATAATTAGACCATCATTTTTTGAGACATTGAACTTTTGATTCCTGTTTTCTGCTTCAAAAGTAAGAATTTAAAAGAAAGAGTTCTGCCATATTTTGCATCCTGACGTGTTCTTCCAAACAAAAAATAAATAAATAAATGAAGATTCAGAGATAATTTCAGATTACCAAATGGACTATTTTTGATTCTTGCTAGTTGAATATCTTCCGAAAACATTATAATATAGGACTAAAATTTTTATCATAGCCTCTCTACTGTAGTCCCAACATATTCTGAAAATTTCATTCGATTTGAACGTCTCTGAACAGAGATCAATTTTTTATGAAGAGTTTTAAAAGATAATTTTTGGATAAATAATTGTACTCTATAGAGACTACATGGCCAATGTATTTATATTATTAATCAATAGACTTGAGAAACATTAGGAACTATAGTACCATTGTTTACAATTCAATCATGTTGTGGTATGTCTTCTAATGTAATAGTTTTATTCGGCGTCAACAGCATTAAAAATAAACTGATGTATTACAATAGTTATTAATGCACAATAACGAATGATTTTTTTCTTTAAAACTCTACGTGTACTTATAATTGAATATCAACGGTCTATACAATTCAAATATTTTCTTATTTGACTATGGAAAAAGAAGACAAGATTTATTGATGTATTTTGTTCTAAATTATTCGAAATTGTTACTTACCTGAAACATATATGAATAAATAAAATAATATTAATTATTATATCTACTGATAGTCAATAGTAGATTTTTATCTAATACTAACAAGCTAATGATATTCATTCGTTGTAATGAAATATGCCGAGATATTTAAATTACTTCCATCCAATGATAATATCCCATCTGTCGAGAGTTTACATACACAGACTATTTAATTATACTGTAATATCAAAATCTGAGTAACTATTGCGATTCATTCTTATCTAACTTGCAACATCTGATTTTTTTTTCTTATTCATATTATAAATTTAATATGTTGATGATAAAATAATTAAATGATTAGTAACTGAAGAAATATACTTCCAATGCTAAAATATTTAATGAATCTATTTAACATGAGGATAATATTTATATCAGTAAAATTTTTTTCCTCATCAAAAATTTTTTAAAACCAATAAATTCATTTGTATTTTTATTTAAAAATTCAAAACTACAAATATTTCTGCTTTTTTTTTATTTGCTTATTTTTTTTCTTCAAATATCTATAACAAAATTATTCTAATGTATGTGTAATCATTATTTATTCAAATTTCACATACATAATAAAACAAAAGAAAACTATAATCGTAAACTTAAAGAACAAAATTAAATATAATTTACATACATACATACAGTCACAAAAATACATCTTGTTTTCTTGTTACAATTTTCGAAAATCGCATCGTAATAAGCGTGTATAAGTTTTTTTAAATTGTCTATTAGCAAGTGCATAACAAAATGGATTAATTGGACTATTTAAGTAGCAAAGATAATAACAAGCATGAAATAGATATGTGTTAAACACAATACTTTCACGACATGTTTGACAAAATGTTTGAATAATGGTATGAATATGCCACTAAAATAAATAAATTAAATTGTTTTTTTTTTTTGTTTTTTTTTTTATTTAATTTGAATAAATGAAAATTTTTGATCGACTCTATTTCTTTCTCATTAAAACCATTAATGTGAGTATCAACAAAAATAAAAATGCATTTCTCATGGGTATATAAGAGGAAAAAACAAAGTATGACGACAAGACTATTGAAGATCGTTATATCTATCTAAGAAACTATGATTTATTGCTCCTATGAAAGATGCTGATAGTTATATGAATAGTCTCGTAGATAATTCTAATAAAATAGATTCAAGTGCAATATAGCGCAAAGGTTTAAATCCTTTAGGACGGTTATAATGATCTGAAAGGTCAATGAAGTTTTTTTTTCTTCTTTCTATGATGAGGGAATTATTGATGCTTAATTTCTTTATATTATCTTAAAGAAACTCCTGCGAGACACTTCGTGATAATCGAATAGTAGAATTTCTTTACGATCATTATTCTTGACTGCAAATAAATACTAACCGGTGTCCAACAAAGAACAAATGCTCCCATTATTACAGTTATTGTACGTAATGCTTTTCTTGCTTTACTATTACTAGGAGTCTTTCTAGATGGTTTTTGATTGGTTGTTTTTGTTGTTGGTATTAAATTTTTATTTTGTGTATTAGGTAAAAGTGTTTGATTTTCATCTAATTGTTGATGTACTTCCATACCAGCTTTAGTAAGTGCAAGTAAATTAGTTATATTTGGTGCAACAATAGCTGTAGGTGTATGTTCACCACTTGTTTCATTTGATGATGAACGATTAGTAGCATCAGCTCCATTCTGATTATTATTATTATTATTATTATTATTATTATTGTTATTATTTAGTGAACTAGCTGGATCATCATCAACACTTGTTTGATGTTTGCATGGTGATGATGGATGTGAAAACGTTTGTTGCTTTTTTTTCTTTGATGTTGGAGATGCTGAAATGATTTCTGGTTGAGAAGTTCGATGATTTTTTGACATATTTATTACAAGATTTGTCATTGTTGATGATGGTAGTCCAATAAGAGAAGAGACTTTTTTAGCATTTTGTTGTGAACGTTTTTCAAGTGCACTTGCAACTTGATAAATAAAAAAATACAGTGTGAACATTATTAAAAGTGTTACCCAAAAATAACCAATAGTAAGACCTAAATTTTAAGAAAGCTCAATATTATATATATATATATATATATATTTATATTTATTTATTATTTAACTAACCTAGATTAAAATAAGCATTTTTATTCCATTGAACACTAAGATAAAGGAAAATATATTTTTCATCTTAATGTTTTTTTTCTTTTCTTTCTTACTCGCATTGGAAATCAATTTTACTTAAATTGGGTTTTTTACTATATAACGGAAAACCCATGGTTGAAGCAAAAAAAATAAATGCTGGAATAATCCACGTTAAAAGCACCAAAAAGATAATTCGTTTTTCTGTTCTCCAATTCCGATATTTAGTTGGAATTTTAACTGAACAAAACCGATCTACAGTAATTAGAAGTACCGTATATATAGACGCTAAACATACAGTATAATCTAATGATAACCATATGTCACATAAAAATGATCCAAGCACCCATTTATTTTTGTATATAGCTAGTGTTAGAAATGGCATTGATATAAAACCGATTAAAAAATCGCTGACAGCCAGTGAAAATATGAAATAATTTGTTGGATGACGTATTTGTCGATCAACAAAAAATGAAACAAGTACCAGTATATTACCACATATTGTAAGTAATGACATGAATGTACCAATAACAGCAAATGCAACATTAATTTGTAGTGGATATGGATGTGATGAATCAGATGGAGTTGATGCTGATGAAAATATTGTAAATGATGGATCTTGAACATCATAATTGGTCAAATTATAAAATGTGACCGAATCGTTAAAGATTAAATATGAAAGATCTTCGATCATACATATAATAATAAAAAGAAAAGAATATGTCTAGAATAAATAAACATATCTAATAAACCGAATAAAGATGTTGTTGATTATTTGCTAATATAAAAATATTCTTTTTTTTTTATTTACCTGCTATGTTATATGTACTCGTCGCTTATCTGAAGTGTATGACAAATAAGCAGAGCGAGAGAGAGAAAGACGGAGAATATTTTCATCTATTTTTTTATTTTATTTTTCAAGATATTTGGTCACATATTGATTGTATTTATCTTCATTTTGTCTATCATTCTCTCCGTCTCGTGCACCCATGTAGGCACGCTCGACAGATCCATCCATCCAGCTCGAGGCAAAATGCTATTACTATTTGTATGTATGATTCTTCAATCTCTCGATCTCTTTTCTCTCTTGTGTTGCTGTTACACCCGCTCGATCTCTATGATTGAAATCGGTCAATTTTTTGATCGGAAAACATATATACATGAGAAAAAGCACTGGTGAACGCATACTTGCTTTCTCTTAGTTTATGTGTCTGTAATGATGATCATTTATCAAGAGACAAACGTCGTGGACTCTCTTTTCTCTCTTTTTCTTATGCTCGTTTCTGTTGTTCGTCCTCATCAAACACTATTCTTCTCGCAAATAGTCATCGACTCATTCATAGAAGAAGAAGAGAGGGAGAGAGAGAGAGAGAGAGAGAGCGCAAGAGCCAGGGGAGCGGACAAAACGTTTATAGAAGTCGTTCCCTGTGACGGCCTATATGTTGTTCGTTCGTTTCCCATTTTTTTCCTCATTCTTTTTTTTCTTTATATGTTAAAAGAGAATTCTATCATTTTGCTATCGCTGCGATTGATTTTCTTTATTGGTAGAACATTCGCACCTTTCCCAGGAGATTCGACAAACGTGCTGAATTATTTTGTAAATGAAAAACGAGCAAAAATACAAATAGTATTGTTGTTGAACATGCACATACTTACATGAAAAGCCTAGTTTTTCTCATGCGACCTTGAATCTTCAAAAGATAGTATCGATTAATATTCTCTCGTGCACTTAGGTTTCATGTGAAAGATTGTACGCTCGACTTTCTATAATCGACGATTATTACCTTCTTATGTCGTGGCTTTGCTGGAGGCGACACAGAATAGACGAGCAACTATGCATACAAATTCTATAGTCATAAACAAGCGTGTGTAGTAAGATTGAGTAGTTCCGTCGTCCATGTTTGTTAAATAAACTAAAATACAAAATTTGTGGTTGTTAACCATATAAAATTATATGAAGCAGAACAATTCAATATAAAGAAACGACAATTCAAAATAGATGGACAGCATTTTTCTTTTGAGAGGCTCTATACTTATAAAAACGGATATTTAATTTTGGTTGTCGTGTACTATGTGCACTGTCCAAAACGACCAATGACAATAATAATGATGATTAAGCTAGAAATGGGCCTAGACAATGACTCGATGCAATAGTTCTCTCATATTCAAAATAAAAGTGTCAAATAACGATGATAGAGTGTCGAAACAAATATGACAAATTGATACTAGCTTACCCATAATTATGCTCGTGTGTGTACTCTTACTGAATAGAAAATGTCATCATATGAATGTCCATGTGCGTAAATATATTTATTAATAAATAGTACTAAAGCAAACGTTAAACAAAAAAAAACCAAAAAGAAGATTATTCTTATTATAGAAAATCGTTATCGAAAAAAAACCAGAAATCGTTTTTTCCTATTCATTTTTCATTGCCGACATCTGTTTCTTGTTCTTCTTTTGAGAGACTTAATATATCAAGAATATGGTTGAGCGATCATGCGTAACGCTTGATCATTCTCTTGTTTTTTACAAGTTTAATAGGAACAAAAAAGAAAAGAGCACATATTAAATAAGACATGGCTAATTGTGAAAATTTAGATCTTGCCGATGAGCCAAATTTTTCTACACTATTAAAAAGTGTTGCTGAGTTGCAATCCTTAGGTAGTGATATTGGTATTGAACGACAAGCTATACCACCATCTATATTTCAAGAAGAACATGATAAATCAATAAATCCTGATAATGAACAAGAAACTTTACAAATAATTAAGCAAACAACAGATATAGCTCGTCATGCTATGAATTTAATTATACGTGGTATACAATTATATGCATTATGTGCAAGCCGGAAATCAAAATGTTTTAATAGTTTTTCATCTGCTATATCTTGTATTCGTGAACAACATGGTTCATGTCAACCACCTAAACATTTATTGCTTGAATGGGAAAGAAATGTTATGCTGATTGATTTATTTACCAACGATGAAGGACTTTATTGCAATAGACGTATAGCACAATATATGTTTGACATTTGTATGGAAACATTTGACTGGCTTCGTTCAATTGTTAACAATAATAAATAATAATAACAATAGCAAAGAGGTATAAACTAATTCTTTAGGGAAATTACTAGTTCTTTCTCTTGTTTTTTTTTTTTATTTTTAATTTTGGCTTTTATTATATGCAATACTCATTACACTTACCTGTTACTTTTTTTTTCATTCTGTTTTTAGAGACTACATCAACGATCGGAACATAACAAAATATTCCAGCAAAATAAAAAGACAAGAATAATTCAATAAAAAATAATTATTTGATTAATTCTAGACAATAAAACTCGTCGGAAGTCATCATGAACTTTTACTTCAGAATGTCTATCAATTGCTTGATTAACTATAAAACCTTATGTTGAAAATCTTTCTTGTTTTTTTTGTTGTTTTATTAAATGATGATCTTCGATGAATAACGATAATAAAATAATATATTTATTCTATGATTATATCTTTCGTACAGAGTACATGATCTTTCAGCTGTAATATTACCATAATTTAAATTATATCCGATTTATTTCATTATCAATATATACAAGAAAATACTTTTATATATATATATATGCTCTTATTATCGTACATATTGTTAATCTATTCTTCAATTGTTTTATTAAATTAAGGTCATTCTTACGAGAACGATTGATCGAATGAATAAAATTTATTGTTATTTGAATATTAACCCATATATTTTGAAATAGATTTAATTTATTCATATTCTATAACGAGAAAAGTCCTGGAGATATCAATTCTTATCAGAGAACGTGATCGTACGATTATTGGTACTTCACAAGGTCACCTTACATTCAAACTAGGTATGACATGCACTGGGAATAACACTTCAAAGTTCAGCTTGTGCAATAAATAGGTTTTCACATGATAAGAAGTCGGTGAAATACTTCTGACACACACTTCAGCATTCATTGAGATTTAATTCTTTAGCCGTAGAGTGTGTGCATCTAGGTGAACATTTAGCTGAAAATAAAAATCACGCTTTTTCAAGATTTAAATAAAGAAAAAAAAATGATCAACGGTTAAAAGAATTTTTTTTATTACTTAGTCTTTAAAAAATATCGGGTCAACAAAATTGATAATTTCGGGAAAATCGAATTTTCCGAAACGAAATGTTCTTTAACTATACTCAATAGAGATATTTCGAAATTTCTGTGTGATACAAATCGATAAAGAAGCTCACTACTGAGTTAGATATGTTTCAAAAACTTTATGATAACTTGACGAATTATACACACTAAAGCATACAATTGACCGTAAAGCCACTATTGAACAATTAAGAGCAAAGCTAATATATGTATTATAAACTTGAATTCATAAGAAGTTGAAATAGTATTTATTATGAATTAATAATGTTTTCAGAGGTTATAAAATGACTTAAAGTAAAGTAGATGTTTATTTAACAAGATGTGTCAAGAATATATTGATTTTGATCAGTTCATTCCTTCATTTTTATTATTACTATAATAATATGGGATTGATCTTGCTTTTTTTTATGAATCAAACAAATGAGTCTACATAAATAAATGAACAGACCACATTGTTAGTATATTGAACAAGCTCATAATCTATTTATGAAGTTATTTTGTTAGTGGCTCTTCTGGAATTACTGCGAGGAGTAAAAGTTTAAACGTAGTTTTTATCTGAAGTCTCCGATTTACTATTGATTAGGTTAATATTTATTTTGTAATCCTGAAGTGTTGCAAATATTCTGCTAGATGATATATTTCGAGTAAATACAACTAAATTATTTTACTAGTAGTAAACTTCGATAGACAAAGAGATACTAGAAAAAAATCATATTTATTCACAAAACTTTTGAATAAAATTTTATTCTCACACAGTATCGACATTTTCACACGACATTTCTTTTTCATTTCAACAATAACATCAAATCTGAAGGTTCAAATTAATTATTGAATATTTTCGCAAGAAAGATTGAACATACAAGATGTCCGAAAAGTTATTGACAAAAAAACTTAATTGTATATCTCCATTATGGTTCTAGTAGACGAACCGATCGTGGCGAATACTTTCAAGTTTTTATTCATAAATATAAAATTCTCAGATATTCCTGCAAAGTAGTAATTTTAAGTTTCATATATAATAGGATCTCTTTTTCGAGTCACAAAAAAACAATGTGTTGGATGTTTTTCTTGAATTTTGTTGCTTTGTTGTGAGCTTTCAGCCATCTAGATCTATTTCTCTTGTTTTATAAACATTTATTAGACGTTTACCTTTCATCAAACTTTTTCATAAGGAACGAAAAAAATAGTTTTGAAGAAATGTACTAACTACTCTGAATTTTTCAGACGTGTTTATAAAACAAGAAAAATAGGTCCGACTGTCTCAAAACTCACAATAGTAAAACAAAATTCAAGAAAAGATCCAACATATTGTTTTTTGCAACTCGAAAAAGGTCTTTCATGTGTTTTGAGCCTAAAAGTGCTACTTCGTTGAAGTATTTGAGAACTTTTTACTTATGAATAAAAACTTGAAAGTGTCCGCTACTACCAGTTTATCCAATAGAATCATACCGGAGCTATACAATTTACTTTCTGAACGCTCTGTATAAAATGGTGGAACAAAGTTTAACAAGCACATTTTCTTATTTTTTTTTATTTATTATAATGGGTGTAGGTGAGTGATGGTGTATTCTTCATTCAAATCAATACTGACACTGACATCAAAGCAGAAAAACAGTAAGAGAAACTTGAATAAACACGTATAATCGATATAAAAATTATTTCATTACCGAATCTGTTCAATGGTTTGTCTTTAATCGTAGCAAAAATTAAGTTATGATTGCACAATAAGAATATTATTTAACGTCGATAAGTTAATATTGTAAAATATTTTTGCTGGTCTCTTTTTTTCTTTTTCAATAATGAATATTTGATTCGAATTCATTTCTTTGATATTTTTTTTTTATTAAATTTTCTGGATGAGAAAATTTTCAGAAGTTTCCATTTAATTTTTTTTCTTTCAACCAAAATAATTTACAACAAAGAATTCATTAGGAAATGTTAGTCTTTAATAGAATTTGTTCTATTATCTAGAATTATATTCATTGTCTTTTATTTAAATAAATATACAAACATGAAAATATTTTTGTTTATGTATCATAATTATCATCTTCATCATCGGATTCATTCATTTTTCTTTTATTTGTATTTGAATTCGATGATGAAAATAAATCATGTGAAGCAAAACTTCCACATGCTGTTGTTGTTGTTATTGTTCCTGTTACTGGATTATAATGATCGGTTATAAATGTTGTAGATGGTTGATTATTAGATGTGCCATGTTGTTGTGTTGTCTTTAAAAAAGAAATAATCTATTTTTTTTTTTTTGTTTATAATAAAGAAAATAAATTCATACTTGATTGGTTGAATGTTCATTTGATGTATCTTTTAATTTATAATTAGGTGCTAATAAACAGAATCTATCAGCTGGTAAACGTGGACCAGAAAAATTTCTTATTGGTGGTAATGAATTTCGATTTTTATTTTTTCCTAATTCAGTTAAAGTCTAAATGATTGAGGAAAAAAAAACACAAATCTTTAAGTGTCGAAATATTACAATATCTTTTGAGTTGGGTAAAACCTAACAGAATTTATGAAGTTTTCAAAATTTTCTTATTTAATGTCAACAGGAAAAAGTACTTCTTACCAAGTCTTCTAAGTTTTCAATGAAAGTTTATATGTACAAGTGCCTACGCATCAAGTATATTATCTTCGAATCACAAAACAGGTGGACGCTGTGTTCAGAAGATATTTAAAAAAATTAATTACTATCGTAGTTTTTGATATAATTCTTTTTGTGTCTACTGTTATTACAAACAAAAAATGTTCTAAGTTATATCAAAAGTTACGTCACTGATAAATCTTTTCTCATATTTCTTCAACACAGGGTCCAATTGTTTTGAAATTTGGAAATAATATACCTGATAATTAGGCATTGGTACATATAAATTTTCATTAAAATCTAATCATTCTATGCTACACTTTATTCTCAGACACATTGAGAACAAGCCTCCAATTTTAATAAAACTATCTTACCCCCTAGGCAACTTCTTCATAATTATTTTTTCCGCTAATATAAAATAAATAAGTTTAGAAAACATCATAACTTCTGTTAGATTTTATCCAGTCCAAATAATATTATAATATTTAAACACTTGAAATTACTGTCTCGAAACTGAGAGTTTATACGGCTTCTCTAATTTTATGTTGTGAGTGGACTTAACAAAAACAAATCATTTTCAATGAATATTATATTATGACTTATATCTCATCTATTGTTGCATGAATAATGAATAAATTTGTATCTGAATATTCTCTAGAAAATAAATATAATCAGTCATTTTACTAACGAGTATTGTCTATCATCAAGAAGTACTCAGCTATATAGTTATTTGTTAGTATATCAGAAAGATTGCTTAATCTATAATTTCACAATGATTCATTTTTGAGAAGTGAAGTATATTGTCGTCAGTGTATTTTCATATAATCTATTTTTTTGTATCGCGAACGATGTTATGATATCAAAGAATTTTGACCCAAACTGTAGACTTTTTACTGTTAGTAAGAAAAATCGACTAGTATTTCTAGATTTCAGTATTTTGAAAATTGTTTTTTATTAGACATAAGCATGATTTTCGACATCAACATAAAAAAATTCATCGCAAAATATCTTTGGTTAAATTTTTCATTATACTCTCTCTCTCTCAGCTTTTTATTCGTAACATATTAGGCTGTACTTCTTTCTCTACAGGTAAAAATTGATTGATTCTAAAAAATCATGCTTGTTTTCCATAAAAAATAATTTTCAATAGTCAAAATCTAGAAATACTATCCGTTTTTTACTAATACTGAAGATGTCCAATTTCTAACTCTGTTATCTCGTATTGTCACAATCAAAAAATAGTTCAACAAAGGCAAAACTAACGACAGAAATAGAACCCATGAAAAAAAAAAGCCGCTTCTTTTGAAGGCATGATGTAGACGGAATCCCTTTCTGTAATTTTTACATCTTTTGATGGCATTGTTGAATGTTCTTCAGCCCAATTTTGACAAGCTAATTTAATATCTTCAAGTTCAACTTGTTTTCTTCCAGCATGTATTGAATATAATTTCGCTTCTTCTAAAACATCAGTTGTGTATTCTAACAAAATGAAAGATGAATTAAATAGAAAAGAAATATTTCTTTCTTGTTTTTTTACGAACGATGCATGAAATCAAGTACCATTGGAATTAATTTTGGTTCGAAATTTGTTATACCCATTTCTTGAAGCATTGTTTGTACGACAATTCCATCTTTTGGTAAACGATTTTGTTCATCCGTTGATGATGGATTACTCATTTTATCTAGAAATGAATAAAACATAATTAAATGAATCATTGAATACAATAAGAAAAAAAGACAGAAAGATTTTTTTCTCTTCTATTATCATTTAAAACTATTCAATAATAATTAAATTAGAAAATAGAAAGTCCTTCTTTTAAATCAAAACAGGAAGAACTATATATACTTCATTTCTCACATTGAATTCAATCAAATGAAGAGAAGTACATTTTTATCCAATAATATAACATGAATAAAAGCGATATCTATCGAAATATTAAAAATATTAAACCAATTATTTATTTTCTTAACTTGTACAGATAAACAACTTATTCAAAAACGAATCGATATCTGATAAACAAAAAAAACCGCTATTCGACAGATTGAAAATATCCTGTATACAAATTGGTCTTGTTGACAACAAATGTCAAAGAGTGTGACTGTTACTGATCTGTAGAAATGCTAAAAAAAAAACACCTTTTTTCAAATGAATATTGAGAATTATCAGGGCATGACTGATAAATAACATTACAAAAATTATTAGTGCAAAAGTATAGTGCATGACAAATATTTCAAGGTTAACAAATACTCGTAGTTTATTTCATATACCTTTTCAATCATTAAAAACAATGATTACTTCAGGGTCAACTTTTTCTTGTTATTTCTATCGTTTTATACGGATTAATAAAATGTCACTGATGAAGTATTTATCAAGATACAGCTGAACTCCTCCTATAATTAATATGATATTTTACTTAATTAAAATTTTGCATAACGATAGATGTAATTACTTAAAATTGTACATTAAATTTAGATGATATTCATCACGCCTTTATTATAAAAATTCAGTTGAAAGAAATGTTTTCGTTTTCTTTTCAGATTGAAAATGACCAGTGAACAATCAAAACGTGTTCTAGTTACCGGTGGTACTGGTCTTGTTGGCTCAGCAATAAAATATGTTGCTGAAAATGAATCGGATCAAAAAAAACAAAATGAAGAATATTTCTTTATATCATCAAGCGAATGTGATCTTCGGTATAGTTTAGATATATATATTTATTTATTTATTTAAACAAAAGAATTTTCTATATTTAATATAGAAATCGTGAACAAACCGAAGCATTATTTAAAAAATATCAACCAACTCATGTTATCCATTTAGCTGCACTTGTTGGCGGTCTCTTTCGAAATTTAAGTCGGAATCTTGATTTTTTCGTATGTCTTCAAAACATGTTTTTTTTCTTCATTTAATTAAAATCTTATTATTATTTGTTTTTTTTTTCAGCAAGATAATATGCATATTAATGATAATGTCTTATCTGTTGCCTATGAAACAGGTGTTAAGAAGGTTATATCTTGTTTATCAACTTGTATTTTTCCTGATAAAACAACTTATCCAATAGATGAAACAATGGTAATTATAACATTTTTGAAATTATGTTTGATTCTTTAAGAAAGCAATCATGAGATCATCGAGTATACGAAGTACTCAATCAAAAAAGTTTTTCATTTCTCTTTTGTACATTCAATAGATCGATCTCTGAAAGCATCAAATCCAAAATTTTAACTTCGAATTGTTTTTCTTTCAATAGTTAGTTCATACGGACTTTTTACCACTATCATATCCTTATGAGACAAAATAATAATTTTTGTTTCAATGAATTATTGAACTTGTTTTTTCATAAATTATACTAAAAGATGGAGAATTAAAGACTGTATAAAATGAACTACTTCAATAGAATATGATATCGGTCGACTCATATTGTATACAGTCAACATGAATGAAAAAATGTTCTTTTGATGAATGTAAGATGTTCACTTTATAACAATTTATCTTCTACTGGGGTTCACACTAAAAGAGTATCAAGCTAAGTGTTATGTAACTCTACATTCTCTACAAATAGTAAAAAAATATCCAAAAATAAATTATATGTCGGGACGGAGACGAGGTTCGCATCTTTCTCCTCTATAGTGATTTTTCTAAATAAAAAAAAAACATTTAGCGGTTGTTATGGTCATGACACGCTTGTAAAGCAAAACGAATTTGACATTCGAAATCAGTATTAAAAGCTACGGTGAATCAAATACATTTTACAGATTTCTTTTTCTTGCGAAAAAAATCACATGTGGTCACTGACAGCTGCATTTCATTAAAGTTTCGTCCGGTAGACGTTCAGGGGTCAGCTTTTTGCAAGAAAAAAACTTCTGTAAAATGTATTTGATTCACTGTAGTTTTTAAAGTTGATTCTAAATGTCACATCCATTGTGCTTTACAAGCATGTCATGAAAATAACAATCGCTAAAAATGCTTTGATTTTCGTTAGAAAAATCATTATAGGTGAGAGAGATGTGCATCCCATTTCGCTCTGAACATACTATTTATTTTTAAAATACTTTTTTACCATTCTGTAAAGAATAAAAAGTTGCATAACACTCAGCTTGATCTCTCTCATTTTCAATCTCAGCAGGAGATAAATTGTTATAAAGTGGACATCTTATATTCATCAAACGAATCATTTTTCATTCAAGTTGACCGTATATATAAAATTGAAATAGCTCATTTTGTTGAGTTTTTAATTTTCTATCTTTTAGTATAAATTTATTTATAAATTCAATAATTGATTGAAACAATAATTATTGTTTTTTTTTTCTCATAAGGATATGATAGTAAAAAAAAGCCGATATTGACTAAATTTCAAAATTTGAAGGCAAAATTTTAGAATTGATAGTTTCAGACATCGATCTATTGAATGCACACAACAAAATGAAAGACTTTTTCTTTGTCGAGTGTCTCGAACACTTGATAGTCTCACAATTGATCTCTTAATAATTTTCTTTAGATTCATAATGGTGCACCACATGATTCTAATTTTGGTTATTCATATGCTAAACGAATGATTGATGTTTTAAATAAGTTGGAATATGTTAAACTTATTTTTTTCTTGTATCTATATTAAAATGGATTTTTTTACAGAGGTTATGCAGTTCAACATAATGTTCATTATACATCAATCATTCCAACAAACGTTTTTGGACCAAATGATAATTTTAATATTGAAGATGGTCATGTTTTACCAGGTCTTATTCATAAATGTTATTTAGCAAAAAGTAAAATGTACAATAAAATATTTTGCTATATTGTGTTGTTTTTGTCTTTCTAGAAAATAATACACCATTAGTTATTTGGGGTTCAGGAAAACCATTAAGACAATTTATTTATTCATATGATCTTGCAAGACTTTGTTTATGGGTATTACGAGAATATGATAGTATTGAACCAATTATATTATCAGGTTAAATAAGTTTATAAGAATTATATTTTATATGTAGAGCATTCAAAAAAGTTCTGACAGACTTCGATAAATTAAACATATGTATGGAAATATCTTACTTATTATTAATAGATAAGATATTTTGTTTATTTTTGACCTTCTAGAAAGTATCAAAAGTTTTGATTTTGTGTTCGTTTCGAATATGAGCTTAGCAATTTTGTTCAAGAGTAGTGAGAAAATTTTTGAAAGACATGAAAATGATGAGCCAACAGATTTTTGTTTATTTTGAACATACTAAAAATTGTCGAAGACGATCCTTTTCTAAAATGAACACTTGTCTACAAAGTGTAAATTGTAACTTTTACTCAATCATTGTTTGAACAGCTTCTTTCAACAAGAAATCGTTGTTGATTATTCCAAAGTGAGCATTTAGAAAAAAATGAAAATTGAAACACCTTGTCGAAAATTCAAAAAATTATGCATTTGACAGAGTAAATTCTAATCTACAGACTGATACCAACTTTTAGTTTTGAATAGGAATAGTGAAAATACAAAAACAATTTCGTCAAAACTAATTTTTTGATCTTGTGAAAATTTTTTTCATTACTTTCACAGTAAACTTCTAAGTCTTTTTTCAAAAAGAATACAAAGTTCTAACTTTTGATACTCTCTAGCCGGTTAAAAGTGAACAAATATCTTATCTAAAAACTTTTCGATCTTTCGTTATGCATAACAATGTAGTGACATTTTATAATGAACAATACCCCATCAATTAATAGAAAGTGTGAGTGGGCTCGTGTTGTATGAACCATTTACCACCTTCTGGGTTATTTTTCATTCATTCATTCATAAAAACTATCTATTTGTATTAACAAAGCATCGAACTGAAACAATTCTTGAACATTATGTAGAACTTACAATAGGATAGAGATTCGAAAAAAAAGAAACTCCTTTGCATCTTTCTTCGACTAAGGGATATGAGTTGGAGAACGATGTTTTTTTTTCTTGCGTTGGCTGCATAGACTAGTTATTTCGATGTTTGTAACGTTCTTGATTACAGATTTGAAAGCAGCATTTTTCATGATAATTTGAGTTATTTTTGAGTCATTCGTAACGAGTAACATGGACAATGTTTTGCTCAGAGTTATTTTATTTTCGACATAAACTCATAAATAAGACGGTTTTTATGCTGAAATCTGTTTTAGAACGAATAAAAAGTAAAAAGGAGAATTCCACAACCACTTTGAAATACCTTCTTATCGATAGAAGATAGAAAGTTACAGCTTCTGTTGTGACCTTCCTTCTGAATGAGACTTTAACGATAGAGATGGGTGATTTCGCAGCGATATCGAAACCAACGATTTCATATTAAAAAAATAGAAAACGAAGATTATTAATTCCATAACGATCATGAGAATGAAAGATCTATTCGCAATTCGAAAATAGCCGTCTTTGCAAAATTCGAACCATATATCTTCGTTTGAAATGACTCATTTTCTAAAAGATTAGTTTCTACTAAATATTTTTCCAGCTTTATACAGATAAATTAACAACATAGCTCTGAAAACTCGTGACAAAAAAAAAATCAGATTAACAATAATCATTCAAGATGAATGAGTCATTTTTGACCCGTTCGACATCTCCACAGTGAAATGTCTTCGCCCAAATTTAACCAGACTGGTGTCATAATTAACACTTTTATAAACTATTCCTATGGTGTACTCTGCACGAACTCTGCTGTATTCGTGCCAGGAGGTAAAGCATTAAAGATGTATAATTATACATTAACCATATTCCCTGCTGCGAATACCATAAGTATTCAAAATAGTAAAATCCATATGATTGAAGATAGCAGCAAGCAGACACTACTCGTATTTCAAATGTACCACATATGATATTTGACAAGATCAATGACATATGATTAAAACCTATTTTTATATAAATGTCATATTCATTATTATCGATTCAATAGCTAGTTGATCCCATCTACAAACATAATAGACGGTTCGTTGGTTGTCATTGACTTGGCGTATCCATGGAAAATCTTAGAACATGATGGACTATTAGCACCGTAAATCGCTAGTATACATTAATAATTATTTTCAATAACAATCAACTGTACAGAAAAACACAACTTTGCTAAGGCTTTCGACTCTTAATCATTAGATATAAGCTATTCGAAAAAGTATTATTATATTTTCATACATGTATTTAATGCAGCACAACTTACGGCATCAATGAATAAAGAGCAGTAATTTTTGTTTCTTTTAAATAAAGTCATTTCGGATACCTTTTGAATGTCCTGCATCGGTTGTTTTTTTCTTGTGGATGTTTTAGTTGGAGAAGAAGATGAAGTATCGATAAAAGAAGCAGCTGAAGCCGTAGTTAAAGGAATGGATTTTCAAGGTGAAGTTAAAGTAAATATACATGAAATAAGTAAAACTAAATCAATAATATAAGTAATTTAGTATGATACAACAAAAGATGATGGGCAATTTAAGAAAACTGCAAGTAATAAAAAATTACGTGGTTATTTACCAGATTTTAAATTTGCACCATTTGACGAAGGTTTGTTTTGAATTTTTATTAATATTATTAATAATCTGTATTTCATAGCTATCAAATATACTTGTGATTGGTTTGTAAAAAACTACGACAAAGCTCGAAAATGATATATATTTATATTCTCAACATTTTCTTTTTTTTTTCTATTGATGATCGTAACATTTTAACTTCTTTCATTTATATAATTGGCTAAGTAGAAATTTGAAAAATAAATAGTTATATTGACATGTATATTCATCTTTAACTTAAATAATGATTTTAAAATTAAATTATATTCAGATAGATTTTTAAAAAAATGATTATTATTGTCACAGTTTTCAATTAAAAAAATATACAAAATGATAATTAACTATTCACTGTCGATTGCAATTCCAAAAGAGCTATACAGACAAAAGCAGGCATTGGAATTGAATATAAGTGTCGGTGATATATCGATTGTATGGAGCAAGGAATCTGACGATCAGATTTTTCTAGTACTGATTGCAACCGAGCAAAGCTGACTACTGAATTCCCACTTCCAAGTTTCTACCATTTTTCAGCAGGAAACGGCCCGTAATTCTTAACCTTGGTTGGTCATTCTAGTGAACATTGGTGGATAGAGCCTGCCCGATCCAAAATTTTCGGGCTCAACTGGGTATTAATGAAGGAGGAGAACGACTTGATAAAAATTCTATCTGAGGCCTTATATAAGTTTGATATAGTTCGACGAAAAAACGTAGTAGAAAGCTCTGAGACATCTCATTTTATAGGAAATAATTTAGTCTATGAGTTCATGTTATATTAGCCAATTGTATGCCTGAGTTGTTGACGTCGAAAAACTTAAGTTTTGGTTTTCTAGAAAATTCGTTATGTAGTGCACTACAAGACATGCTCTGTATTTTGTCTGCTGCAATGACCAACAAGTGGTAAAGGGTTAAATGTATATACTAGAACTGACAATTTTGTAATATAATCAATTAAAAAAGAAGAATTTTAATATAGTTCTCAATGTAATTCAAACACTCATATCTATTGTTCATTAAACGCGCCAAACTTTAAGCATAATCATCATGCTGAATAAATCGGAGTCCTATACAATATCACAAGATAATATTGATAGACATTCAAACATTCGTCTATCATATTGGACATATAGTTTTCTAATAATAATATCAACTCTTCTATATATAATATGTTTATTTTCATCTGAAACATGGTTTATAATTAAACAAGATACTAATAATGAAACGATGATTTATTTTCAATCGAAAAATATTTGTCTTCGTCAAAAAGATAATAAATTTTGTATTGAACCATATTTACCAATAAATCAATGTGATGAATATGATTTAATTCAATGGACAATTCGTTGTTCTACAAAATATTTTATTCTTTTTAATAAAACATCAGTGAATTTATGTAATTGTTTTCAAATTCCGTTAACTAATATAACATATCGAAATAGTATTTTTATATTTATTCTTCTTATATTAACAAGTTTAATAACACTTAGTAAATATTGTTCATCAAAACAATGTATTTTATATTATTTAAATAAATATCTTCTTTTGATATTACTTATATCAATAGTTAGTTTTGAATTTTATTTTATTTATATTATATTTAATGATAAAAAATCCATTGAAAAACTATATAGGAATTATTTTTCAAGAATTCAAATTTATTCAACTATATTCTATTCATTTCAAATATTTATTATTATTATTCATGTTATTTCAATAATAATGCTTATTCATGATTGATGTGTTTATATTGAAATGAAAGAAAAAAAAAAAACAGAAAGTTTCATCTAAGTTGTTTATATGACGACGCATAGAAAAGAAAGAGAAGAAAAAATAAATAAATAAAAGAAATCTTTCTTTGAACAAATTAATTTAAAAAAAAAAAGAAACAAACTTCACACAGTTAAGACAGAAAAAAACCAAGAAAAAAGTTATTTTTGTCAAAGAAAGAAGTTAAAGTTAAAAAGACGATTTACCTAAAAAATAATTCAAAAAGAGAAATGTTAGAAACTCAGATCATTTTTCTTTTTTCTTTTTTGTTGTACGAAGGGAACGCCAAAGTCTAGTATTAGAATAAACACATTATTACTAATAGACGACGACAAAACATAAATACAAAGTGTGACTAAACAAAACGAGAAACAAAGACAAACAAGAACTGTTCAAAAGCGACAATGGCACATCTCGGGAAGGATTATAGTCATAGTAAGAATAATACCAGCAGCACGAATACGAAATAAAAGACGTGATCGAATACGCTGGTGCTTATAAGGATACGAGAGAAATTAAATTATTAAAAAATAATTATCGTTGTAAAGATAGAACACGAAGCATTAATAGTTGTCTTTCGCCATCTTTCTCACCAATGGCAACAACTGTTCGATTATGTGCAGCCATATGTATATCAAGTGGTGTCATACTAACAGGCATTGTTGATGCTAATTGACCCGTTTGTATACGCCATAAACATATATTTTGATCTCTTGAACCAGTTGTCACTAATTGATTTGTTGATACGCATGCACAAGTTATCTAAAGTAAATTAAATCATTCAAATAATTCTCAAGAAAATATTTCTTTTGTATTTTTAATTACTTCTCGGCTATGTCCAACTAATCGTGAAATAAGTTCTTTCGAATTTGAATCCCAAACTTTAGCCGTTGCATCTGCACTTGTTGTTACAAAATAAGAACGATCAGGTGATAATTTTATATCGGTAACTCTATCTCTATGTGCATTTTGCCCATTATCATTTAATATACTTATACGTTGACATGATGGTATATCCCAATGAATAATTTGTCCATTTCTTGTACCTGTTATTATTTGTTCATTATTTAAAACAAGTGAACATTTTGGATCCGCATCAATTGTTATTGTTGGTGGTTGAACTAATTCGTGTGGAGTTGTTAAGTCAAAAACAACATAATTTGTTGTTGATCCCATTGGACAACCAACAATAGCATAACGTTCATCAGGTGTTAAAGTTATAAAGGATGGTGTACCACCATAGGATTGATTTGTATCGGATTTAATTTCTTTTGCTAATTCTGAATTATTTAAATCAAGTATACCAACAGATATTCCACGTCCAAATTTTTGATTACCAGCCATAATAAGATTATTTGAATTATTACTTAATGTAAATGTAGCACATTTAATTTGATGTGTTAATTGTACTGGTTTTCCTGTATTAACATCCCAAATCTAAAAGAAAAGAAAGAAAAAAATCAAACAATTTTTTTTTTGAATATTTTTCTTTCTTTCTTTTAAACTTACTTGGAGTATATTTGCTTGAGTATCAATACCATCACTTGCTAAACCAACAAGAAGTGTTCCATTACATGCTAATGCAACTTTAGTACAATTGATACTTGTTCCTTGCATACTTGAAACTAATTGTCCGGTCTAAGAAAAAAAAAGCATTATACAAAGAAAAAAAGACACAAGATCATTATTTGTCATCTTACCAAAGCATCCCATATTTGTGGTGGTCCTTGACTTTGTCCAACAATAGCGTATTTTCCATTAGGTGTCATACTAATTGAAGTAATATTACTTAATTCATAATCTGTTTGTAAACCACCATCAGCAAACATAGCATTCATTGAGTAACCACCAGTACCACCACATACACCTTCCCATGACTCAACTGTATCTCGATATCCTTCAGTCATTCCACCACGAACATAACCAAAATCTGCTACTGGTGGTGGATGATAATCTGTTTCAATGATATGTTCTATTTAAAAAAAATGCAACAAACAAAATGATTATTTAATAAAATAAAATAAAAACATGCAAAAAACAAAAATCATAACATAGCTCAACCAATATCATGCATATTCCTACGTTGTGAATAGTTTGAAGATGTTTGTTGTTGCTGATTATCACGCGCAAAGTCACCATAACGTGATGACATTGTTGGATAACTAGTAAAAATACCAGTAGCGGTATCCATACCGCTATATTCTCTAACAACTTCTGTAACGGGATCACTTTCAAACATGTACTATTCTAATACAATTTCGACTCTTTAACTTACCACGTGTTTGTTCAATTCGTGTTGTTTCCAATTCATCTGCTGCTGCTGCTGCTGCTACTGCACCTGCATTTAGTTTCTGACTAGACTCAATTGGAACAATCACTAGTGGACGAAGTAATGTAAATGTAAAAATAATTTAAAAAAAAACAATATTTATGTTTGGTTTACTACCTTCGGTTTGTGTTGCATTTGCTATACCGGGAACTGTTACATAACCACCACCAACAACTGGTGCACAAGCGCCGCCTGTGCATTGGCGTGCTGCAAATGCAAGTGCAAGCGGAAGTAAAAGTAAACCACCAACAAGTGCTAATATCCAACCAACTGGACCAAGACGAGGGCCACCTATACGACCATAATCAATTAATTGACCGGATCTTGGACCAAAAAGTGGAGGTCCTAAAGGTGGACCTGTTGTTATTGTTGTTGAAATGAGTAGCAATGGTGTTACAGTTGTTGTAAGTACTATTCGAAATAAAAAATATATTGATCTTTTTATCGTAAGAAAGAACCGTATTTTATCATACGCGGAGTGTCGCAATAAGGTCCTGTGTATTCTTCGTAGCATACACAATGACCTTCGCTACATGTACCCTGATAACAATTAATACTAGCACAAAGATCAGCTGTAATATAAAAATTGAAAATCATTTTTTTTATTATTCCTCTTTTATTGTTTTAAATGAAAGAAACTTACGTGGAATTTCACAACTTGGCCCGGTATAACCTGTATAACATACACAAACACCTTCACGACATTGTCCATGACCACAATAAACATTATCGCATGGATTATGTTGAGGATCTAAAATAATAATTCAATTAATAATTAGTTTTTTTCCTCTATTGAAAATTATTTCATACATTCTCGACAATCATCACCATAATATGGAGATGGACAATCGCAACGTCGACTAGCACCTTCTGGAATACATTGACCATGGTTTGCACATGGATATAATACACAAATATCATCTTTAAATAAAAAAATACAATACAAAAAGAACTTCTTTTTTTTTCGAATTAAAAACAACCTTCACAATGACTTCCTGTACGACCAGTTGGACAAACACAACGAGCATTACCTCGATCATTACTACAACTACCTCCATAACAATCGTAACGTGAGCAAGGATCTATTAGATTATAGAAAATAAAAATAGACAATTAGATATTAAGTTTAAAACAATAAAGAAACTAAAAATTTTAAATCATTATATAAAAGCATAAGGAATATATGCATGCAGATAAATAAAATACTAAAATTTGAAAGTAAAATTTATTTTTAACTAAATAATAAAAATAATGCATCCATATGCATCTTATTATTATTATTATTACTTCAATGTGAGCTTTAAACAAAAAGAAAAGAGTCGATATTTTAAGTATTCAGAGTTACGAATACTATTAAAACAATATCGAACGAGAAAGATGAATCTGACTGGTTTACTGAAACCTTATAAATCATCATTCTTTCTTCTTTAGTTTTTCATATGTTTATTGAAAGCGCACGTCAAATGTCTACTTTAAAAAAAGACCAACCACTCCTATTTCATCTAAACATAGGACACTCATAATCAGGCAAACATTCACAATAAGGTGTCCCATCATGCACTGATGAATCAGACTCTGTCTATAATTGCAAATGATATTATGACAGTTGTCTATTTAAAAAACAATACAAACGGGGAAAATCATAATAAAACAAAAGATAAAAATGCTTTTGTTTGTTTTTTCGTATTAAACAAAAAAACCTCTTTGCATGATCAATCTTATCACATACCATCTACTTCATAACAATTTGTTCCTCGATAACCAAGTGTGCATTGACACATTGGTTGATTTTCTTGTATACGACATAAACCTCCATTATAACAAGCAAAATTTGAACATAGATCTATTTGTCGATCACATGCTGAGCCTTCATAACCTTGATGACATTGACATCTGTATGATGTACCTTCACTAATGCATGTACCATAATTGCATGATACTCGAGTACATACATCTTCGGAGATAAAGAAACAATGAATTTTTTTTTACAAAGAGAAAGCAAAAGCTACTAACTCTATGAATTCTAACTATTTTCTTTTTCTAAAAATAAACTAGGAAAGCAAATGTAACTACGACGCAAATAAGTAATCCAATCACGACTATATTTAACTCACCTAAACGTGTGAGACAATAACGACCTGAATAACCTTGATGACATTGACAAACAACTAGACTATGGTCGATTTTACATCGACCATAGTTACAATTGACTTCAGCACAAGGATCTAGATAAATTTGATATTTTTCTGTCTACATAGGATTAAGTAGTATTTTCCTATGTAATTAGTTTTTCATTATCATATTTACAATAAAGTTTTTTTTTTCTTTCTTGTCTTTTTTATTTTTAATACATATCAATGATCACACATCTTTCCCATTATGCAAATTGAAGGGTATTGGCCAGTTCAATTAGAATGAGAAGGAGAATGCACATTTACATACACATTTGTCCACCTGAGCGTGCGTGCAACTCATGTGTGCGTAAGCGCGATCTTTTTCTATTCTAACGGTATGTATATGCATACAGATTCATGTTCAATCGAAAGAAATTTGCATAATGTTACTTTTTCATGTGCATACGCAGCATGGTGCAATATGATGTAAAAAATTGACGACGACAATCTATTACCTTGAACACAGTGTTGAATTATATCTCTTGAAGAAGAGTGCAATGACAGAATAGGGAAAAAGAAGTGTCTGAATAAGTGATGATCGCTTAGCAAAGATAAACATTTGTTATAGAGTTATGTAAGACTCGCGCAATCATATCTTATTTTGGTGTTGATCAATCATTCTTATCGTTCTGTTAATCCACTTATGAACTCGTTTAGCTTTAAGTGGCATCGAATAGGCAATTATTACTCTACTTTATATAAAGACTAAACATACGCCTGTCTTTGTTTGCATTCTATCATAATGAAGGAAATGTTGTTATCGACCTATTCATCTTAATGTTGTTTTCTTTTGAAATTTTTCTTTTTAGTTCAATAACATTCTTGTACATACATTCTACTAGTTCTTACGAATAAAACAAAAAGGATTGATAACAAATTTTACAAAGACTGATTGATGTCTGTCTTTAAGCATATGTCAATGAAAAAATATGTCTCAATTTTTGTATCGTGATTTACTAATGGAAGTTGATTGTTAGTGATTGTTGCGTGATTCATGAATAAGTAAAAGAAAAGTAAAGTTACTAATACTACAACAGCATCTATTTCTACTGAAAATATATATATACATGCACCGGCTTTTGTTTGTTTTAACATACCAATTTGAGCGTCACACCGTGAACCACCATAGCCCTCATAGCATGAACAATATGGTTGAGTATTACGATCCTTTTGACAAGTTCCATGATTACATAGATAATTTAAACATGGATCAACTTTAGAAAAAAAATTCCAAAAAAAAAAAAAAAAGAAAAATTAATTAAAAGATAAAAGACGAAAAAAAAATCCTTGACTTAAATTAGCTTTTTTTCACATGCGCATATAATTCTTTTGTTTGCATAGTTACCTTGATGTACAGAAGAGCAGAAAAAAGAGCAAGTGATAATATCATCGAAGGGACATATAATCCTCCTCACTCACATATATACATAGACAATGCACAGTCTGATTTATTTATTTCTCAAGGTTCTACCATCAGCTCCGACATCATTATCACGCTGACGACAAATGGCATACGCTCAGCATGCATTATATATGCCTGAAAGGAAAAAAAACGAGAACTGTTTACCTGATTGTTCACAGCGATATCCGCTATATTGTGAAGGGCAATGACAATAAGCTAAAGTTGCTGGAGACGATGGTTGAATACAATAACCACCATTAAGACATTGGATCCGTTCGCAAGGTGACCCTAATAAAAGAACATATTACTATATATAATGAACTATGTAAAACTTATGTTCATTCAAGAAATAAATTGGGGGCGGAAGAGAAATAATGTAAAAAAAATTATTCAACTTACAACAGCCAAGGTAGCATGGCACGGAACCGGCAGAACGTGTGTCATATTGAGATGATGGCGGAGGAGCGGCCTCCGCTATAGTGATAATCAATAGTAACGAAGTGAAGAAATTCATTGTATATAATAATGAATAATAATACAAAAAAAAGTGGTGAAAAAGAAGCGTGTCACTCTTATATCGATGAATGCACGGATGGATGAATCACATCATTATAAGCAACGACTAATATTGAATATTTCTTTTCTTTTTTTTTCTTTTTTGTATTCTCTGTTGGTTTTAGCAAGGTCGATGAGTAATGTATAACTGTTGATGTTGATAACTGTACGTATCTCAAGAATGAAACAATGATAATGATGATAGAAAAACGATGAAAGTCAAAGATAAAGATATAGACAAAATAGAATTAGGGGGGAAACAAGGTCTTTTACTAATAATAATTCAGTTTACGTAAGGAAAAGTGTTGATTGATTACGGTGAATATCGTTTGAAACTTGTCTTTTACCTCTTCCAACTTCTTTCAATGTAATAGCAATAGAAACAAGAGAAGAAATGAGAGACAGACAGAAAAAAAAAAAGAAAGGAATGGTGTAAGATGCAAACAAACACCAAACCACAAACTGACGGTGACGACGACTATGGCATAGAAGAGAGAAAAAAGAGAAATATATAAATATACCAAGAAAAATCAACTATGTATGAGTAATAAAGAAAGGCAAGATATGAAAGTAGAGCGGTTAGTAATATCTTGTATTAGTAAGAACAACAACAACGTCAACAAAGTAAAGGAAGATACTATATTATCATCATCTCAACTATTTTCTCTCTTTCTTCTTCTATCACCAGTGGCAATGCTGAAACCGCAAGTTGTTGTCCCGATTGTCGTCCTCTTACGATTTTTTTTTCTATTCTTCTTCATATTATGTTGACTATGGATGTATGTATACTCACGCACACGTACAACGGCAAGAAGAAAAGAGAGACTAAAGAAACAGAAAAAAAAAAGCTTCTTATTAACATTAAAAAAATGTACATGAAGTACGCCAAGAACGATCGTATAAATATATATTTGCTCGCGTTTGCGTTGTTCGAAGTAGGATGTTCGTAATATTGTTTAATGCAAGAGAAGACAACGAGAAAAAAAAAGCCGAAGTGCAGGCACCATTTAAAAAAAAGCGAAATCGATTAATGAGACTGTACATCGAAAAAAAAGCGAAGAATTCGTCTAAATGCACATTCATCAGCATCTACGGTCTCGCCTTTTTTTTCCTTTCTCTCTCTCTTTTCCCCACAAAAAATTGTTTTTTACGTCAACTTTGTTGACATTGTTGTCGCCACATCTATTTGAATCAAAAATTCAAGGTGACATTCTTTCTGTTGTATATTCAATCTCAAACACGATTCATTAAAAAAAAACGATGTTCTGCAAACACCTGTGTAAATATAAGTAGATGGTTATCGAAAAGCGAATATATATATATATATATAATCTTTTTCTTTTGGCTTTAATATCTCGTGTTATGAATATATATCAATTAAACTTACGTTCAGGTATATTTGCATGATTATTCCAAAGAACACTTGGATCATAGTCAATTAATCCCGGATTACGTATTGAATTATGTATTAAATTCTCATGATGATTATCTGACATAAATATAATCTATTTTAATATTAAAATAATATTTTTTTTCTTTTTGAAACAATCTTTTATTCATATTTACTTACATCTTGAACGTAACCAATAAAATTTTTCCCACATAAATTAATTTTTCTATCACCAAATAAACTAAAATATTCAATAAAATATGTATAATGCCGTGTTTCATCATCAAATGTTAAATCAATCTAAAGAGAAAAAAAAAACAGAATTAATTATTGATGTAAAAGAAAGTAAAAGCTAGCTTGCGGTGTTTATTGTTTTTTGGCATTGTAATACATGCCATTGATCACCCCTGACACGTCCAGGAAAATTATATGTATAAATGATTCCACCATTTCGAATAATTAAACGTGGATAATAATTCTAAATTTTGAATGACATTCAATTTAAAAAGACGAAAATGTTTTTTTGTTTTTGTATGTTGAATTTACCTGAATGACAATCGATACTTGAATAGAACCATTTTGTGTTGTAAATAAGACTGAATTATCTGATATTGTAAATATCATTAAGTAAATTTGTTCATATTGTCCTGATTCAAGTTGAGTAAAATATCGAAGTGAACCTTTATCATTCATATCAATTGATGATAATGGTGATGATGATGTACAAACTAATGAACAATCAGTTTGACCACAAAATTGTAAAGGTTGAATAGTATTACAAGGCATTTGTCTATCACATATTGAACCTTGATCACAAAAACAATCATAACGCTCAGATTTCACAATGCCTTCAGGTAATAATGGATGATGATTATATGTTATATTAGCAAAACATCCAACAAATAGATTATCAGACATAATACGATCTGATCCTCCAATAGTTATAACATCAAAAAATAATGATAAAGATGACAGATTAGATATATTTGTTGTACGATTATCAATCTTTATATACATATTTTTATTTAAAATTTGACGAAAAATTAAGATATAATGTTCTTGTCCATCATTAATTGTTTGATTATCATTAAAAATCAATAGTAAGGTCATGTTATTTGATAAATAATATTGTAATTGTAATTTTCCTTCATTTAGAGAAAGAATAAGACCATAATGATCATCATTTGAATAAATTGATGCAATGATACCATTTAGTGATTGAGTTTTTATTACTATTTGACATTCATAAAATTCATCATTCGATGGAACTTGAAGTTCAATTATATCATGATAATCCCGAATTGAAAAACTTATATCTGATGAAATATATGAAATAACATTTTTGCCTAAAAAAAAAGATTAAAAACAAAAATAAACAGAATAAGAATTAAATCTGTAACAGATCGATTTTGACATGCATAAAATGTCCCTGAAAATTTATATATTAGATAAACTAAGCTGGTGATTATATGAAAATAGAATACGGAACATATTAATACTAGGTCAAAATTTTTAATTTTCTCAAGATTAATTCTTAAAAATAAAATACAAATCATTTTGAGTAACAAATGAGTTACAAAACGAATCATGTAAAATGATTCATCACTTTTGAGCATATAAAGAAGATCGTAAGACTAGAATAATTTCAATAGAATTTTAATCTATAAGCTTATTCTACAGCTTATGATTCTAAGAATACCGTGAAATTTTTAGGTAAAACGATTGTATTCTTTATGAAGCATTCAAACTTCAAAAAAAACTAATTCAGACTAAGAGACGAAATTTTCTGTAAAAAAAAATACATTGTTTAATTTTCTTGTCAATACTATGGCCTATGATAAATATCTAACAAAATTGTCTTAACTCTGTAGGGAGAACCTATGTGGGCCTCAAGATTTCTTTCAGTTATTCTAATCTAGAGATCTCCGTATATCGAAAAGCTCTTAGCACAATCCTTATGGGATAAAAATGTGAAACACAATGCAGCTGCTGTTTCTAATCACAGTGAGTTTGTTTTATTCTACCTATTTTTAGACACATTTTTTTCATCATCCTTTTATTTAATCATCCAGCAATGGAATAAGGAAGTATGTCATGTATTATAACGACATATTATTGATATAAGGCCTGCGATCATATATCATCAACGTCTGTCATGATCTGTGACGTTTCCATGATTACGTGTATCATATTCTATAATTGTGTTTGACTAGCGTCTGTCATAGTCTGTGATGATTTTATGATTATGTGTGTTACGATCTATGGGTGATGGTGGTGGTTTACTCCTATACATCAGTAGTCATTTTAGACCATATTTCAAAATATCATGAACTGAAAAGTGATGAATCATTTCAGACGTTTGTCTAGTCTATTAGTTTGATAATACTAGGCATAATTTAATACTCCATCAATTCGTGAGTGAGTTCTGCATTGTGAAGCTTTATTAAAACCATATTGCAATGGATTCTTATTTCTAATTTTATATTTATGTTGATTGGTGTTTGCAATTCTATTTTTTACAATCAATTCATCCAAATTTTAATAGTTAGATCGATAGATAGAGAATTCACTACATGATGTTGTTTTTTTCTATTATGAATAAACAAAACAACTAAACACTTGATCTCTCAGAACTAAACTAATATATTTCTTTTTTTTTAAATTGAAAATATATTTATTCATACGCTAGGCTCACAAAGAAGATAGTTTGATCATATTTAATTATTATCAATATAGTTAATCTGATTTACTATTAACACAAAAAAAAATGACTATATGCTCGACTCTGATGAACAACTAATTGAAAATTCAAAAACATACTACTAAACTATCTTGTTTGCTAGAATGGGTGAGTATATGTGTCATTAGAAACCTACTTGAATTTCTGGTAGAGATCATCAGGTTCAAAATTTTTGGAATGGAATTCGGTTGAACCTTATTTTTATACTCTCAATGAAATTTCCTAATCTGAACTGGATAGTTATCCCGAAGATGCATGATACTTTTTTTCCAATTATTTGTTTTGCATGGTTAGAGCTCTCTGTATATTTTTTAGACTACTAGAGTCTATCGGATCGAAATTTTTCAGACCTGAAGTCGAGCGATTCCGGGTCCGAAACCAACACGAGGGGCCTCTAAATTCCAGCTACTATTAATAATTGCGAGGGACGGTCCACAAGTGATAAATCGCTTTTAACCTGAAACTATATTCAATCGATAGGATCTAGTGAGTAAGTAAAATACCCTAGAGTAATTAGAGCTATTGAAGACTTTGTTGCTGAGATATTGGATTTTTAGTGAATTTTCCTGCGAAATCATACTTTTGAATTTTAGCCTAAAACTTCGATCATATAATAAAGGCACTGATTAGATTAGTGCGTAGAAAAAATTTCAGAACCTTTTCACAAGGTCTCTATGAAATATGGATTTTTTAAAGTATAGGTGTTTCGCCATGATTATTGTAAACAATATGAATAATTTGAAAGAACCATATCTCGGAAATACTTGCTCAAAAGAATCTGAAAGTTTTTCTACAAGCTAGTCTTATGTATGGCTTTATATGGGTTAAGGTTCATGTCAAAATTCAAAAGTATGGATTCACATGAACACTAGGACCTTGCAGAAAAAATTCTACCAAACATTCGAAATCTTAGACAACAAAGATCCAGCAGCTTGAACCATTCTGGGATATATACCTACACTCAATAGATCCTATCGATTGAATATAGTCTCAGCTCGAAATCAATTTATCAGTTGGAGTTTTTTTCTCGTTAGTGTTTTTCCTTTTTGTGTTCAGTATTCGAATGAAGTCATTAAACAGACGACTAATCTCAAAAGAAAAACCTCAATGCTCATATTATTAATTTTGAGATAACTGATGTCTGCATCTCGTCGACTAGTGATTATTATATTTATAATTCATTGAAGTAATATTTAACTTACATTCACGTGTAGTTATTTGACAAGTATTTGCTAATCTATTTGACGGATAAATATATTTCGATTCAATCAATGATTTTTTATTTAACATAACATTTTTAATACAACCAATAAAATCGTCTCCATCGAAATTCGATAATTGTTCTTTAATAAAATGATCTAATTTTCCAATATAAATCGTACTGATATAAAATTTATCAATTACATTTTCTATTTTTGTATTTTCATCAAGTTCAAATAATAAATAATTTTGATTAATTAATTTCACAGTTATTTTATGTTCCGTTTTATCATTAATGGAATTATTTATTGAAATTTCTATTGGTTGTCTTTGTTTATTATAATATGTTAAGAATAAATGTTCATGACGAATACTTAATATAATAAAATTTTCATATGTATTATCAGCAAGTGAACAAATAATACTATTTGATTCTTGTGTAGAAAATAATAATGAAAATATATGAAATTCTTTCGGATTATTAAGAGTAATAATTAAAGGACGATCGTTTTCTTTAAATGAAATAATTTTATCAATATAAACATCATCTATTGATTTTATCGTAATATCATTCAAGAAACATTGCTGTCGATTTAATGATAAATATTCAAATGAAAATACTTGACTATTATAGGTTACATTTTCTATACAGCCAATAAATTGACTATGCAAACCAAATAGAAAATTCTCAATGATTAAATATGGTGTCAAAAGTTCAGCAGAAATTTTCTTATTTTCATCCATCCATGCTTCGAGTGTTTGATTATTGAGTTCCAGTTGTACAAAATAAAACTTTCCATTATTAATTGGTTTTTGTTCCTCATTTGAAAAAATTCTTTGTGCTGGTTGATCTCGAATGATTAATGTTAAATGACCATCAATATCAATATTTAAATGAATTTCGTCAAATTGTATAAGTGTACTAAGATTTGAATATGTACGAAATGAAAATGAAAAAGTTTTAAAGAATGACTTGATTGATGATGGAAAAATAATTTCATTATTATCATTCGGAAGAAAAGCAATTGTTTGAATTGGTTTAGATTGATTTATAGATGATGAAATTATCATTGTTCTAGAATCTTCGAAGTTTTCATCTGAATTTTCTTCTTCACGAAGATTTAAAGATCGCTTGGCATTAGACACTATAATCTAGATAATAGAAAAACAAAAATAATAATCATAATGTATACAAATAAAATACTGGAAGAAAAGTTTAGCACAGTTAAATTTTCAGGTATTGTGTTGGAGATATGATGTTGGAAAAACCAAGACTCCAAAAAAAAAACTACTTTTATAGGATTTTAAAATTAGGTCATAGGATAGAACAAATATTTTTGAGCAAAATGAGACGTCTGTGAGCTTTACGCAACGTTTCCTCGTCGAACTACATTCAATCTAAGAAGGACTTCAAAACTTTCGTAGGTTGATTGTATAGAAAAGTTCATGTAGCACTCATCGACGTCTCATTTTGCTTAACAATATTTGTTCTCCAAGATGAACTATTTTTTAAAACGTTTCTCCGCGCAAACCTCAATGGAACTTTCATCCGATAGGAATATTTTTTTTGACTACTCAAATGTTTTCCTATTTCATTGCAATTGTTAGCGTTACAGAAATATCTCAAAAATACAAGTGTGTTTAACTTTTTTTTTAATATGTATAGTCGATATTTTAGATAAAAGGTTATTCGAAAATCAATTTATTGCTATGGATAATAGAAATTCTTAATTAGTCAAAGGCAATAGAAATTAGAAATGTAAATATCATAGCATAATATATCATTAGAAAATCAAATAGAAATCTAGAGGATAAGCAATCAAACATGTTATGTTTGTACCTACTAGCATACAAACTGTCGAAAAAGTTCGCGCGAAAAGTTCACGTAAATATCTCTTATGGATTTAAACAAATGTTCAAAATGATTACTATGAGCTGTAATACATAAAACCATCTTTTTTTGTTTTTTGAAAAACTTGCCAGTGGCACATTTTGACGAGCGTCATGAACTTTGTCGAGTTTTTCGTCTGTAATTTTTGAAGGTCTTTCAAATTGTTGTCCATTTACTACTATACTGATTTCGCAAAAGAATTCTTAGTACAACCTATGCCTAGCGTCTATAGACTATATCCGACTTGTATTTTCTTTTCACAACAATAGATGACTTAAAGGACGGGGGGCGATTTCTGTAGAAATCGGCCCAATTGAATTTTAATGATCTGCTCGGGTAGAAACAAAGGAAATGATGGTAGAAAGTATACCTTATGGTTTTTAAATGATTTTGCTAGGTATTTACAAGCTCAGGATTCGATTACTTCTTCAATTTTCTGTGTATACATAGGGGCATCTTTTGGTTGTCAAGTTTTACATATATGTACTTGTTACTTAATTCANCATTTTGTAGAGCGTCTTTTACTGCATCTTTTCTTTATAGAGTCAAATTTTCAACCGCGCGATTTACTAAAGAAAAATTTATTATACAAATCGTTACAGAACTTCTGGAACACCCTTTATTGAACAAAAATGTAAGAGAAAACCTAGTCTTTGAGATAATTCAGAAAAAACTTTTTTTTTTGCAAATTATTGGTTATTATATTAATATGCTGAGAGCAAATACTTTACTGATATCTTTTTAATCGACCTATATTATATATTCCAAAATATTTTACTCTAAAGAAACAAAATGCAATAAATATATTGTTTAGTTAATTTAAAAGTACAAAAAACATTTAATTTCGGAATCTCTCACTAGACTCGAATTTCATTCACAGAAAATATACAAAACAAAACCAAAATCTATATCATGTAGGTTAAGAAATTTTACGAAAGAAAAATAAGTTATAGGGTATTAATTTTATATCATTGTTCTTATTTTCCAATTGTTGGATTTTATTTTAGCAAGTGTGTTTGAGATTAACATATGTTTGTAAAATATTTCTCAAGAATAATTACTATTCATTCTTATTTTAAGTTGAGCACCATTATAGTAACGATTTATAACAATATTTTTCGTCGCAAAGAAAACTGCGATCTAAAATAGCTCCGAATTTTGAAGAAAAAGTTTTCAAAATTCAGAAACTTTCCCATTTTTTTGCAGAAAATCTGTCAACCTTGACTCCGTTTAAATAATTAGACACATTCTCTAGTAATCGTCTGGATGTCGATAAAGAACTTTTTCTCTGGTCAGTAATAAATAATCGACGAGAATTTGCATTATTATTTTGGTCTCGTGGCAAGAATAAAGTTTGTAAGTGAAAAAAATCATTCATCTTAATTACATATGCATACAAATATATTTCATAGGCGCTGCTTTAATTGCTACATTATTATATAAAAATCTTGCTCATAGCACGAACGATCATAGTTATTATAAATCGGCTGAACTATTTGAGAACTTAGCTTCACAAATAATTGACAAATTTTATCAAACAAATCGTGAAGCATGTACAAAAGCAGTTATACAAAAAGTTACAGCTTTTGGCAATTCCACTTGGTTTGAAATAGCTATTGCAGCTGATGCTCAAGAATTTATTACTCATCGAGCTGTACAAGATGTACTCAAATATATTTGGTTTGTTAGGAATAAACATTCGAAAAAAGAGAAATAAAGCAGAAAATATTTCTGTATAGGCTGGGATTTATTGATCGACGAATATCTAATTTCAAAATCATATTTTCTACATTTATGATTTGGTACAGTGGTTTTCTTCGTTATCATGATATATTAGTTCAATCAAATGATGAAAATAGATCTCCTGAAGTATGTATGGTAACTTCTATGTATTTATGATAAATGAACATTTTATGCTTGTTGGTTTTTATTTCTAGCATCAAACTAATATTTCACATATTTCTAGAAGTCAAACATCACGACGAAAAGAGACAGAGAGCAGGTATTGAATATAAGATTTAATTTTCAATAATAGTATTTTTATAAAATCCTTTTGTTTTGTTTTTTGAACTATCTGAAAATGAAAAAACTTATTAATTACTAATTTATCTCCTAGTGGCTTGTATTCATGATATATTCACTATCATACATGACTAATTTATGACTTTTCAAAAATGATAAAAGAAATTCTGATATGATAATATTATTCGAACCATATATTGGTTGATGTTATTGGATATTTCATCTTTTTTTCTAATGATTAAATTGATGACTGGTCGGTTCTGATTTTCTATAGAGATAAAGCTAATAGCGAGTTAATGTTATAGATAAGATCATGTATTCAATAATCTAGATCGTTTGAAGAGAACTAATTACCAGATCCAATTTGTAGAAAAAGAGAATGAAAATGTGTTTTTCTTCATTAAACTGCTTGGGTACATTTGTATTCGATCTAATGAAGAATAACTACATATACTATTTGTAAGATTCATCATACCTCCTATGAATTCTGAAATACTTAACCTTGTAACCCCTTGAGGTCAAGGTTACTATTGAGAAATGGCTATATATGATCCTTCTGTCCCCAAGAGGTTAAGTACCGGTGTCCCGAATAAGGGACATTTTTTTAAGCATCTTAATTTTTGAGTAACTTGCCAATGCAAAATGATATCAAAGTATAGTTTTCTCTATGGCGTAAAAAAAAATTTCAATATATACATCTTTACAAAAGTTATAACTCTAATGAGGTCACTCAGATAGTAAGCCTGATGAGTTTTCGGAACACCATATCTATTCTAAAAACGAGAAGGGCAGATAATACTCTTTTGCGGTCCCCGAAAGATTTCGATTTTTTTTTGTATTGAAACCAAGTTAGAAGTGACTTCTAGTGATACTCTAAAGATTGATTTTCTGACAGCTCTCAATCGAATTTTGATCCACACCCTCGCTCGCTTATGAAGATGATCACAGTACTTCTTCGCCATCCTCGTGGGAGAGTACGGACATGAGTCGAGCCCGACTTTAAAGATCTTTTCTTTAAAGTTTCGATGAAAATATTAATACTATGCATCGATGTGAAGTTAGTACGACGAGTAGCTACCACGACGGATTTAGGTGAGCTTGGAATCCGTAATGCTGGGCGTTGTTGGGACGGCAGTTGAGTGAGGGTGCTCGGCAATGTGTACCCAAACACCCACACCCAGATCCCGGCCGCAAAAGTCTAAGTATTCAGGATTTTAGATTTACCTAAATCCGTCGTGGTAGCTTCACATCGATATACTATGCTATAAGTGTCTGAAATAGGAAAATCTATAGAAATTTCTCTCATAGACAAAGTCATGATACTTGAAGAGTAAAATTAACATATGACTATTAACCTGGAATAATTTTATAATTTAATTGTCTATATACTATGATAAGACAAAAGAAATAATTTGTTTTATTCTATTCTGCTAGGACAAAATCTAAAATTCAACAATATTTTGACAATATTAGTAAATTTATTGAAGCTCCATATGTTAAATATCTTTATAATTTAGTAAGTATTTAACTAGATAATGTCATATTTATAGTTTACACTCAAATTGTCATTCGTTAAATGAAAATTCATCTCCTTTTTGTATTACAGAAAAGAGAATGATCAAGTTTGAAACTCAAATTTTCTGTAATTTTATTTAATATTTTGATTTCTCTTTTTTTTTCTATTTTAGTACTTCCATATGATTTTTTTATTACTTTTCTCTTATTTTATATTATGTGATTTTTTTCCACTCTACGAATTTCCAAGTGATATATGTGCACCAACTGGTGATTCAAAAGATAGTAAAGACAATGTTGTGGACAAAAATGATAATCAACCAAATATATATAATCCACTGATTAGAAACGAGTATAATGCTAGTACATTAGGTTCATATGGATTTCAACGACATAAACGACCGTCTGCAATTGAATTCGTACTTCTCATATGGATTTTTACATTAGTTTGTGAAGAAATTCGACAAGTAATTTGTTCTAATATATAAATATCTAATAATTCATTGTCTTATTATTTCTGTTTACTATTCATATTATAGATGATATCAACAAACACACAATCACGACGAAATGCTATCATAACTTATTTTAAAAATTTTTGGAATGAATTAGATATTTTGGCTATAGTTGTATTCTTCGTTGGTTTTATACTTCGATTTCTTCCAACAGTAGAATGTTTTTGTGCAGCACGTATTATTTTATCAGTTGATTTAGCAATTTGGTTTATACGTTCATTAAGTATGTTTACTGCTTTGAAACAACTTGGTCCTAAACTTGTTATGATTGGTGAAATGGTACATAATCTAGTTGATTTTTATCTTTTATTTAAAGTTCTTCTTCTATTCTTTCAAGGTACAAGATTTGAAATTTTTTGTATTAATGCTGATTGTATTTATTTTGGCATTTGGTGTACCATCTTATAGTTTAATATATGGTGTACAAAAATTTTCTTGGCATTTACCACGTATAATCTTAAACCATGGTTTTTGGGAAATATTTGGTGAATTAAATGTTTTAGAAACATTTTCAAGTATGAGACTAAAGACAGACTTTTAATTGAATCATGACATCTTCTTTTTGTTTGTTCGTCTGTATCAAGATAATTATAAAGCAAATGGTTATATAGTGTTTTTTTTATTGGTTGCTTATATGGCTGTTGTTAGTATACTCATGATCAATCTACTTATTGCTATGTTCAGGTATGGAAAGTAAATGAGAGAAAAAATATCCATTGTAAAATTTTAAGCGATTCAACGAAAATACATATTTTGATATCAACATAGACGATTGAATAAAATATAATAAGAATACTTTCTATACGTTGACTTCAATTGATGTTGAATACCGGTCAAAACTGCGGACATTCACGAACACCGATTCTAAGCTGCGCTTTATATATCTATATAATGCCAAAAGTATGCGCATATGATATCATTTAATAAGCTAGAGATCAAAACTAAGTAGGAAAATTTTAATGGTTACGATTCGGAGTCACATAATTATTAGACTTTTGCATTTACAGCATGGAAAACCAAGAATCTAGGAAGTGAAAGATAATTAGACTTAGATCCTCCATTGTTAAAGTTTTCCTACTTAGCTTTGACCTTTGTCCAGTGAAAAGGCTAATAACTAAATTCAGAGAAAAATTATGAACGTAGTAGCAGTTATCGACTCCAATCATAGCCTATCATTTAGATAGAAGACTGTTCAATAAAACTCTTAATGAACTTTCCATTAGTATATAATATAATGATAATTGACGCTCATGTCAGAAACTTCTTTATGTAAATGTACAACAACAAAAAATGTTCGTATGTTTTCCTTACAATTAGTTTTTGCATAAATTGTCGAATTTCAAATACATTTTTTCTCGATAATGTTCGTTGTAGTGAAGTACTTTGTTATTTATTCAATAGATAGATGTATTCTATGTTCAATCCTCTTTATCAAAGACAATGATGAATCAACTAGAAAACTTAATCCAAGACGTTTTTGGGCTCTTAAGATTTTGAGACTCTAATAATGAACAAAAATTAAAATTAAAAAAAACAATTCTCATTCGAGGCGATGAAATGCTTCCTTTCCACTGAGAGTAGTTCGAGGTATATGGAAATAAGTTTTGAAGCTACGTCAGATTTTTATCGGTGTACTTTCATTAGTTGAATATCCTTAGAACGTTAAATGGAAATCATAGGCACTGTTTTGAAAATTGATTTCAAAGAAGGAAGAGACACCTTAAACTTACGATGTTTTTCCACTTTCTTCGATTGACATGGTATTCGAGAAGATTAATGCTTCATTGTTCTATTTGTCGTTGAAGTATATGCTGAACTTTAGTTAAAATAAATCAGAAAATTTTTATAAAAAAAAATAAACTATCGATGATCTATATGTATCAAAATTATTTGTATAGATTTAGATAATGTTTAACTTAAACTTTCTGTTTTATTCTAATCTAGTAATACATTCGATCGTCTTCAGACAAATACAGATCGTATTTGGAAATATCAACGATATTTATTAGTGTCCGAATATTTATCACGTCCATCATTGCCACCACCTTTAATATTATTTTCTCATCTTTGGCGTTTATCCTTATATATATTAGCACGATATTTTAAATTGGAATATTTTAAACAAAAATATGAACAATATTCAAGTCGAAATAAATACAGTAAAAGCATAACTCTTTTTTTTATTTATGTCAAGAATTCTTTTTTAGAAAATTTACTTCAGGAAGAAGATTTCGCAAAAATCGAATTAGATGAAGATGCATGTGGTGATGAAGTTTATTATAATTTTTCAAAAACAGGTGGACAATTAGTAGATGAAACTAATTTCGATGAAGAACCAATGTAAGTCAAAACAAACGATTAAAGTACTAATATTGCTTATTTCAAAACAAATGGATAGATGAGAATTTTCTGAATAACTTTTAATAGAAACAAGATGGAGATTTGCAACGTCCACCTTTAGAAAGAGAAGATAAAGACACAGCTAATTGTATAGTACAGGTTTTTAAAGATTTCCAATCGACTTTTGTAAAAATCAAACTATTCTGTGAGGTGAATATAATGGATTTTTCAATTATCAAGTGTGCATCAGAACCACTAATGAAAGATCTACAAACTAGCTACGCTTCAAATTTTTAGATTTAATTATTCGAGAGTTATAGACATTCGACTTGAAATTCTCAGCCAATTTTTCAAACTGTTTCTGTGAAAAAATTACTGTTTTTCTGTTTTCTTACGTTAAAAGAAAGTATTCTAGAAGAATCTACAATCTATGATTTGATGCAGCTTCATTTTCTCTTTTCGATGATGAAAACCGCCGTTGGAGTCCATTGGGTCCGATCTGAATTTGAGCAGGTCCGTGTCTGAACTGACAGTTGCTCCTCTAAAAGTAACAGTAAATTATGTTCACATTCTATTAAAATCACCGTCAAGGTGTCCTGAGAAATGAAAAACTGTACAGATGATATTATAGATACGCATCGAATTCGCACTCGAATCAGAATTAGGACTCAATAATCTCGGATCGGACGACCTCTAGCCACAGCGCTCTATTTTGCTCCTATAAAAATTTATTTAAAAGTATACCCACCCGCCTTTTTGTTTTCTGAAATGAGAATTAGTTTTACATTTGTTATCTATGTTGTAGTCACTCACCATTAGGGAACATGTTAAATAAAATCCAAGGACTTGAAAATCATGTACAATTAATAAATATTCAGGTAATAATATTCTTTGTTTTTATATTTATTTCATATAAAAATTTATATTCAGCTGACTCAGATTCTTCAACATCATGAACATTTAATGGGTGTTTTAAAACAGCGCGATATTATTCCGGAAGAAGCATGTATGTTCTTGATTTGATGATTTGATTTTGCTAATGATTTCTCTATCAGCACAATACATAAGAAAAGCAATAATAAAACAACGAAAATATAACTTTTTTAATATTAAAATAGATAGTGAATCGGACAATAATAATAAGCAATCGAAATGAAATTATGGACGACAACCATTATTAGATGCATATCGTCCCTGTTCAAGTTGTAATCTCCATGAAGAACAATCAACACTTACTATTTTTTTTTTCGTTCTCGTTGAAACGTAACTAAAATGCTATTCAAAGCTTTATATCCATAATATTTTCAATCTATGTAATCAAAGCTGAAAATCATTGAATGCAACTTCTAGCCCTATAACAGAATAATTATCACTTAGTTTATATTTATAAATTTTTGAAGAATATTAATAACTTATATTATTGTTTTTCTTTTCTTTGTTTTAGTGATCAATATAGAGGTAGACGATGAATTAGTATTTAGAGCATTTGATCATTCTAGCTTTTATCGGATATGGCCAAATGTATTTGTTACTAACTGCTTTCTACTGACTTTTAGTTATTAACTGATTAACATATTAGCATTTCACAGGTTCTATTAATCGCTGTATTAACTGACGAATTAGAGATGAAGAAAAATCTTATGAAATGAAACATTATTGATTTATTTTATTTTTTATGCATAGAAATCGCCATCATATAAAATGTCAACGATGAGTGATGTTTGAATGTGTATTCTATAGACATAATTGCCTTTTTTGTGGGACTATTGGAAAAATGAATTATTTTCTGTGTTTTTTTTTATAAACAACTAGCGTTTAAAAAGATTTGACTATATTTATTATTCATTACCTTTCTTTTGTTGTGAATTTTTTTTGTCATATTTCAAGGAATTTTCCGAATGTGAAAAATTTTTGATTCTTTTTTTTTTGTGTAGAAAGCAAAAGAGTCTTACTTATATATACATGAATTTTCTATACTTCATTATTTGCCTTCTTTTTCTCGTTTTGAGATGCCAGAAAATATTCAAACATCTACACAATCAACAAATACAAACAATAATAATAGCAATTTAACATCAGATATATTATCATCATCTGTTCCATTTAGGATATTGGCGCGAATGTGGATATAGTTCAAGAGAAGATACTGACTCACACCTGCACCCACAACAGCAGTACAAAATCAATACTCAAATGCAGCGAATTGAGACGCTACCGGATTGAATCACAAATAAAAGTGGTGATGCATAGTTTGTTGAAAGTTTATAGTATAATTGGTATTATTCGATTGAATTTTTTCTTTGCCAGGGAAACCTATTTGAGGAACATAACGATTTTTTAAACAAATATTAACTAGAAGATTTCGGAATCGAGGAATTCGAATCTCTAGATAGTTTTTCGAAATTTTAGAAATGTGCTTTATCTGGTCTCACAACCTTAAGTTTTATACAGTCAGTCAACTTTTCTAAAGCAAAGTTATTTTTGTAACACAAACATTTTCTGACGAGATAGTTCCATCAGAATAGTACTACGATGATAAAGAACATTTATTCACTAAATTTAAAGTAAATTAAATGTTAATAGAAGGAAATATACCTTAATATTTACGATTAAATGGCCCGTTGACCATTATTATTAACAAATAAGGTGATTCAAGGCATCCAATTTTTACTAATCTTTATGATTAAGTGATTAGCTAATTCTTAATATAAATTCAATGTAAATGGTACATCCCTATCTAAGAGGTCTCGCTATAAATACAGGCACAGGTATAGAAATAGATGGATATACACATTTACAAGGATAAAGTGGCAGTATAGAGTAAGAGCTTAGATTAAGGTGATAAATATATATTAACGAGTTAGTTTAAGTAGATAGACCAAGGAAATAGGTATAGATAGACGGATTGGTATTGGTTTAGTTAGATTACATTGAAATTCGTACGAAATTTTGACGTTTAGGAAGTTCATGTACGTTTATCAAGTGTTTATGAAAGTGCAATGTATAGCAAACTCTTTAAGGTTTTTGAATATTCTGAACGCCTTCATAAACTTTTCAAGAGTAATATTTGAAGGCCATAAACTTTTTCATATACCCTTTCTGGAGAATCTATAAAAGCATTTTGGGAGATTTCATAAACGGTTAAAAATGATATTTTATACGTCGCACTTCTATAAACCCCTTAAAACTTTACTATTCTACGATTTTTTTACAGTGTAATCTGGTCCATTTACTTTCTTTTCTGTCGGTTTCTCTATTTACTGGTCAATAGATTATTTGTCGTATTGTTTATGCTTCGATTGATCATTGTCACCACTTGAATGCTACGAACGAGGTGCTTTCGAGCAACTTCGAAAGATTTTGAATATGTCTGTAGCATTTCTTGCTTGCCATTGGGAGGTGCGTCTATAGTTCAGTAACTGCGGATTATAATCTTCTCATCACTCACTCCTACGCTTACCTCCATTTACATTTGCACTCGTCATACACAAACCACACGCAAAGAAAGTTCAATAATCATAAAATGAATCATTTTGCTTAGCAACAATACTATTATTTTCTGCACTTGTATCTTTAATATCTTCGAAACAGCTTGTAATCTTTTCTGATGTGAAAGATTCATCCGACGAAAAAAAAAATCATTTTTTTTCTGTCTTTTTTTGTTTAGAGCATTATTCATGTTTCTCAAAACAAACGAGAGTGAACAACACTCGATGGCACACGTTCGAGTAAACTCAAGTGATTTCGGATGATGTTCAAAGATTCTCTTCAAAGAGCTTAGCCTCAATTAGACCAGCGCTGGCCTTCAAATCAATAAAAACACACACTACACATAGTATTTAGCCGACAAGACCGATGACACAAAAACCAAACAGACAAATACGAGTTTCTTTGATATACATTATTCATACACATTTGATGCTTGCATCAAACAGAAAGCATGTCTAATCTTGTCAAAATTACAACATTGTTCAGCAAGCATGAATCATTGAGGATTGAGATTTCGAAAGAATAACGTCCATGATAGCACATAATTCACAGCAAATAGACGACACATTGGCGATGACACTATTACTTGCTAAAAGGAAAGCAAAGTTGATAAACTTTCTTTTTTGTTGTTTGTGTTTTAAAAAGAGGGAATGAGATCTTTTATGATGTTTTAACGACAGAAAGCTAAAGAAATAAAAAAGAAAGTAAAAGAAAATTGAATTACTTAGTTCATTTTTGAAAAAAATTACATATTCAGAATTAGTATTAAATTCTGAGTAAAATTATGTATTTTTGCTCTATCGAAAACGATTTTCAGTTTTCATCTGTTATTTTGCACATGTAGGAAGCCTGAGAGCATCCAAATTTTTTTCTTTTATTATTCTATTGAATCATAAATCGTTAGGTGCAAAATTTAATGCTGATTCTTAATATGTCATATTTTTCAAACACAAAAATAATGAATGCAAACTTTTCTTAGTAGAACAGCACAAAAGATTTAATTCTTCCTTTTCGAATACGAAAGTCAAAAAAGAAAGTTTTCACATAGATCTTTGGAGCCGAGTTATAGTTTGTTGTACTGAATTTTCGATCCAGCTTGGAGTATATATTGAAAATCAAAATTTTGACATGAAATTTTGCCCATAGATAGGTCTAATGACCAGCTGAATATCCTCAAAAATTTCAGCTGAAAACAATGTTCTTTTGTTGAGATATCGAATTCTCAATAACTAATCGCTTGCCACAAGCATGATACAAGAATCAAGTTTAATTCAAAATTCAGTATCTTGACAAAAGAACATTCTTTTCAACTGAAACTTCTAGGACATTTTAAGAATCATTTAACGTATCTCTATGAGAAATTTGGTCATCTGATTTCTCAGTAAATACCTAAAAATGGGTCCACAATTCAATAAAACAATTATAACTCGACTCCAAATACTCATTCGAACGAACTCTTTTAGACTTTTGCTAGCCTCACCAAAGTATTCTCGTAAGCTTAATATAAACCCAAATGAAAGGTATCAGTTGAACTGCTTTACTCGTTAGACGTGATACCATGAGAATAGCTTCCAATAAAGGAAGCCGATTCACTAAAGCCTATCAGGTTAGTCTCGCACTCGGATCCGAAAGGCTCTAGTCGTCTGCAAAATGGATGGAGGACCATAGTCACCGAATAAAAAAAAAACAAGAAAAAATTATGTCATATTTTCGGGGTGACTCCCATTCGGATTGGAAAATTTCATTGAGCGTATAAAAATATGGTTCAATCGGGTCCTTGAATTTGACGAATTCTACCGATGACACCGATATCGATCCGATTTGCAATTAAAAAAAGTTTTTCGACTATACAATTTTACTTTCAAAGGAGATAATTGAAACATAAATCGATTGTTCATCGTATTTTGTCTTACAATCACCAACTCGGTTTTAGAAATTTTCTCTTTTTATCGTTCACAAACTGCTTTTAATAAAATTTCTCAACAAGAGATATTTCACATGACATCGAACATTTTAAATTTTATTTCAAATATAGAATTATGAGAATATTGTAATAACTTCTCTACCACCCCCTTTAACAAGTATACATCGATAAATTCCTTCACATAATTGATCAACAAATTCAATATATGCATAGTCAGCATTAACATTGGTTCGAGGAACTTTAGGTAAATTAATAAGAACTAATTGTGAATTACGTGATCGTTCAAGAATCGTTTGATTAAGACGAGCTGCTGAATGCATTTTTTTTCGCACTTGTAAATCTTCAATAAGAGTATACGTTAAATAACTTTCTTTCAATGTTGAAATAGATGATGGTGTAAATGTATATTGAATATGCTCACCATCTAAAACAAAACAAAAAAGAACAAAGTTTCAATTCGTTTTGTTTTGGATTAAATTTACTTGCTGGATAATTTTTAAATAGTTCTTGCATATGTTTTTCTCTTTCACTATCAATTTGTTTCTCATTGATATCAAATAGATTAAAATGTTTTGAATCTACTGCTGTCATTGTTCGATATTTTGTAAATGCTGATATTTCTTGATCATCAACAATAACAGCATGTACTTCAGCTTGTATACGTAATTGATAAACATATTGTTCAAGTTCATGTTTTTGTATTTGTGGTTCTTGATTAGGTAAACATATTGTAAATAAACGTAATATACATTTATTCCAAACATGATGCTGTTGTAAAAGAAATGCTAATAAAAATAATAAACCACCATCATGTATTATCCACCAAATATCAATATAACCAGATTGTATATCTAATAAACTTGGATATGAATCAATATTTTTAAGAAGTAATATAGCAAAATTTTTATTTTCAGCAAGACGTATAGAATCAAGATAAGAAACAATTGTATCATCGATACGGCTATCGATTTGATATTTTTGCCATGATGTTGGCCAATCTATAGGAATGTTTTATTTGAAAGACAATAAAAGATTTCGACAGAAGATACTTACCAAACATAACCTAAATGAAAAAAAAAACTTCAAATACAATATTTTTAAGGGATACAAAGGACATTAGAAAAAGATTTGTCACCCGACTGTACTAAAAACCATAGCTTGAGTTTGAGGATTTTGTTATAATGTTAACGAAGGAACCTATCTGACTGGTAATTTCGGTTCTAGTTCATAGGTAGCATTGATAGTATAGATAAAAACTCTGAAAGAGCTCGTATCATTAGATCTTTCTTTTCAAGTTATTGTCATTTTAGTGAAGTTTTAGCCTATTGCAGGATATCACGAGAGAAATCACAGCAAGGAATTTCTGCCTGAAATTTCAGCTCAAATGGACGTTTCCTTTCTGGGATAATATGTTTGCAAAAAGACGTTACTTTCACATAAGAGCTTCAGAAATAGTTCAGTTTTTAAGCATACAATATCTTAAGAAATCATTCATTTGGGCTAAAACTTTCAGGTTATTATAAGAAGCATAAGAGTTATTGTTGAAGAGGATTTCAAGCTTAAACTTCTTATTGCGATCTTTCTTGTAATATTCTGCAATAAACTAAAAGTTCAGTAAAATGATCATTACTCGAGAAGAAAAGCCTAATGACACGAACTCTTTTTGAACTTTTATCTAGACTATTAGTAAAATATGAGCTCCAACGAAAATTATCAGTCGGATGGGTTCTCTCGTTAGACATATTTAGGATTATGTCAGAAATCTCAGCCTTCTAATTATGTTTTATACATCATTGTAATTTTTCATTTCTTTGAGATTAGTCGCATGCCATTTTTCATATGAGTTTGAAACGTTTGGCACTATGATTTTTAATGTAAGTATAATCCTTATATTAACGAAAAAATCCAATGTAGGGTAAAACTAGTTTGACTCGTGTTGATCTAAACGCAATTCACGTGCATTATTAGGAGGTAAATAATCTAACGTTGTGCGAAATCTGATTCGTACTGATGCAGTTTAAAATTATAGCGAAAATAGTATGCGACTAATTTTTGAAAGAAATGAAAAGCTACAACGATGCATGAAACATAAAATACTGAAACATTGCACATGATCCTAAATATGTCGAAATTTCTGGTGTCTCATGTATAACCGTTCAAGATATTTAAGAAAACATCCAAATTGTAACTGATCTAATCCAAAAAAAAGGTTTTAAATTGGTAAAAATTGACCAGTTTATTGTAGAGAAAGTCATATTTAACTTCTTCAAAATATATAAGCCTTAGAAAAAGTATAATGTATGACATTATTACAATATGGAAAAAGAGACTTTCTCTCGAACTTATTTTCTAGACTTCAATTGTTAATGGTTTTATTTCGATTCGATAGAATAACTAAATGTTATCTTTGAAAACAAAAACATAAATTTAAGTTTGATCTTTAACTAAACATCAGTGCATTAAATGAAAAAGTCAAATAACGTAAATCAATTTTGGTCCTTTTTTTCAAGAGTAAAAAACAAGAACACTAAACAAAATAGTTCATATTTTGATAAAAGCATTAAACTCGACTCTTAAAATGTCTCAATAAAGTAAATCTGAATAACGAGATCATTTTTTCCAACTGGTGAAAATCGACCACTTCAATTATTTCGACCGATCGGGTTCAGTTACAACTCTGAAATACACATAAGGCGCAGAACCTAGTGAAAGAAACTCATCGAGATCTTCTATTACCATAAAGAGTTTAGTTAAATTGCCTTACCATTGTAATCCAGCACCAAAACAAGCACATAATGCCCCAGTAATGATAACATAAGGTGATGGCCACGCAACAACTGCTTCAACAAGTTGTTGATTAATACTTAAACCATCTCGATCACGTAAAAGTACACCTTGAATTGAACAAGCAAGAAGAAATGCTATAAGAATATAGATAAATGATGTTGTTATAACGGCCACTAGAATATAAAATTAATAAAATTTCTTTGAAAATAAATCTTACAAATTGTTCCTCGTGGTATTGATTGACTTGGATCTTTTAAATCTCCACTTCTATTTGATCCGGCCATAATACCTGTTACACTAGGAAAGAAAATTCCAACTAGAATAAAACAAATTTATCAATGATATCATTTCATTCTTCACTTGCTTAAAATAAATAACGATGTTGTTGTTTTACTAACAACTTCCAATTTTGCATCTCCTAAATCATCAAATCAAATACTAAACCTTTTGTCGAAAGAGAAAAAAAAACCTCAAAACAAACCCATAATTTCATTATCTATTTCTCCTTCTTTCATATACATTGATTTTAAATTATTTCTAAATTGTGAATTTTTCAAACCAGGTATTCCATTTATTAAATAAACATTATTTATATCATAACAATTTAGATTTCTACTTATATTATTTACACATAAAATTTGTTGAAGTGGACATATTTCACCATCACATGTTACATTCGAATGACAATAACGAATAACATTATTTTTTAATATAGATGATTTAATTAAATGTTTTATATTATTTTTTTCAATAATACATATTGGTAAATATGCAGGTGATATTGCACCTTTTATTATACCAATTAGAATTGATATAATAGAAAGAAAAACAACAAGTAAAGTAAATGGTGCTAAATCATACAAACAAAACAAAATTTTCTAATGTCAATAGCAATAAAAATTTCTTTACCTATACGTGAAACAATTTTTATACCAAGAAATACTACTAAACCAAGAATTAAAAGTAAAATTGTACCATATATACGATAATGGTTAAATGAACTTTGTTGATTTTCAATAGGTGGACCAAACAAATGACATCTAAAATATTCATTTAATAATTCCAAATATTATATTGAAAACTAATTTACTTATTCGGACATGTATATTTCAAAAGAATTTCACTTGCACCTAATACATACAAACCACCGGCTAAAGCATTGCCTATATAAAATAATAGTCCAACAGCTCCACCAACAGCTGGACCCAACGATCTTGATATAAGAAAATAAGAACCACCGGCTGGTACAATTCCGTTAGTTGCAACTAAAAATATACAAAAAAATAAAACGTATCGATGGTTTTGTTTAACATCAACTTTCTTACTTGCGGCTAATGAAATAGCCGTAAGAAAAGTACATAAACAACAGAGACCAATAATAATCATTCCTTGAATAATTCCACTTACACCAATAACCCAATAAAGTCGAATAAAAACAATAACACCAATTATATTTTGTACACATGGAAGATAAACACCAAATAACGTATTCAATTGAGCATTTGGTGATGAATTAGTTAAATCATCAATAATGGGCATAAATGTTCCACCTTGATAATCATATAAATTTTTAAGAAAACCAGCTCCTTTTTCAACAACTAATTCTGTTTCACCAATATTTTCATTTTCCTTCGATTTTACCGGTAGAATTGATGGTAATGTTTGTTGTGATATTGATTCTGTATGTAAACCATGTTGATATTGTGTTTGTGTTGCAGAAATCGATGGAACTATAAATGTCATGTAGTCAAGAGAAAAAAAAAAGCTTTTTTTTTGTTTGCTTTTCAATTTAATACCTTCGTCAATCTCATCAAAATGAATAACTTTGAAACGACCTTTATTTCCTGTAATAGATTCTGTACCATTTAAATTTGTTATATCTGATACAGCAGTAAAAAAACTATCTATACTCATTGTAAATAATTAAACGTCATATGTTCATTAACGTTACGTTTTAAAGAAAGAAAATTCAAGATTTTCAATATACATGATTTTCTACAGATGTCTCTGAATATCATTTATTGATTAGCGACATTTACATGTTAAAGATCAAGAAGAAACGAAACGAACAGTTGCTAAGCATCAATCTATATGAATGGCAAAAGTTTATCTTCATTCGTTTTTGTTCTTCGTTTCATCATGACACAAATTGTTTCATCAAAACCATTTTGTCTTGAAAATTCTACACAATTAACTCGACCTGCTTCCGAATCATTCTATCGTATTAATGGTAGTAATGATCCAACAATTATTGATAAAAATCAAGCAAAACGTCTCTATCGTCTTCAACGAGCACCAAATGTAAATACTCGTCTTCATTTGGATAGTTCCGATGTTGGTTATGAAGCACAAGGATATTTTGAAAATATTGTACGTAAACAAGTTGAAGAAAGTTCAGCACAACCAATAAAATCAGTATATCATCCACCAACAGATATGTCGAATACATTGATGAAACAATTTTCACTCGGAAAAGCTCGTCTTGATCCTCAACATATTGTACCAAGTGAAGCAACAACAATACGTAATCATCCAACTGCTATTACGATACTTCGGTAGAATGAAATTCAAAAAAAAATTCGATTGAAATTTTCTTCGTTTTTTATTTCTGTCAGACATGAACAAGGTCCAAGTGGTGACATTGTACCACGTTTTACTGATCGATTAGTTTTAGATAGACCACTTCGTGGTCGATTAGGTCCAGGAGGTAAATTTTTATCGTCGTTTTTAATTCTTCAAAAAGAAAACAAAATGTTTCATTTCTTCATGTAGGTACTTTAAATCCTGAAGAAGATTGTAAAGAAGCTGAAAATTACCTTCGAAGTCAAGGTCGTTTATCAGCACCTGCAACTCTAACTTATGATCAAAGTACACAACAACAATATGCTAGTAGTCAATTAAGACGTGATGAACTTGCTCGTCATTTTATGTATACATCAGCTCAACAAGCTGCTTTTGATGAAGTACCATGGGGTTAGTTCATATAGGTAATTATTTCATTGCTTGAAAAAAAAATTTTTCTACTTATAGATTCTAAATTACCACCTAAATTACCTGTTCCATTAACCACATATGAAGCTGATGGAAGTGATCCTGTATTAAAATCTAAACACTTAACATCTCTTCATGATGCTCGTGCACGTAAAATTCTTGAATGGGATCGTACACAATTACGAAATACTAATTTCTATCGAAAACCTATTGATAATGTTGCACCATTACCACGTGCACAACAAATATCTGGCTATTCAGGCACAATTGGTGGTTATCATATACAAGACATTGATAATCCAACAGTAGATTTTAAACCATATACTGTTGTACGTACTGAACAACCGAAATTTGGTATTAATCCATTGTAAGTTTAATCCGTTTTTTAAATTCTTCTTATTAATAAATATATTTTTTAGTAAAACAAATATTCCTTTCTATACTGGAAAAACACATTGGACAAAAGTTGATCCTGTATCACATTATGATCAATCAGGTCGTGCTTATACAACAACTGCAGCATTTCATAAGTATGAAGCCTATTTCGTTTTTTTTTTGTTTTTCTTTCTTCTATAGAGTTAATTATTTTTATTTTTTTGAGGCCACTTCCAATTGATCATGCATCCTATCGTCATTCAGGTTTAAATGGACAATTATCACGAGCAGTAACAACTGTTATACCACAAAATCCATTTAATCAAATGAATATTACTAGTACAACAGTAAATGCATCATTAGATAGTCGTTCACATATATTAATTCAAAATTTACCAAGTAGTTTATCATCAACATTGAAAGATAATAAAAATGATGAAAAAAAAGAAGAAAAAACTGATAATAATCAAATTCAAAATTAGATTGAATTTTTGTGAACTATTCCTTTCTTTTTTTTTTCGGTGCTGTTTATTTTCTATTTTTTAATATTATCTATTCTTACTTTAATTTTTAAATAAAATCTCGCTTTAATATCTGACTAATGTTCTTAAATATAATGATTCAATATTTCGACAATGAACTTTTATTATTTATTAAATTACTAGTTCAAGCCATAGTCTTCTATTATTGATTAATACATTCACATAACATGGCAATTGATGTTTGACATTCTTGTGAAATGAATCAAATTTTCGATTCTACCAGTCTATAGAAAAAGCAATCAAAAATGATTAATGTGACACTATACTTCAAGACAAACGCATTGATTGATGATCGTTGTATGTAGTAAATAAGATGTGTTATTTAAAATGATATAGAATAGCTTAATCAATTAAACTAGAATAATTCTATGAAAATTCATAGAAGATGGCGCTGCATTTTATTCTGATTATATGCCTCAAGTTGCCAGGTTCCGTCTGACATAAATGACATATATATGGTGTAGAATAAAAATGTTTGTATAAGTGTCAACTATTTACTTTAATTGCACATTTCAATGCCACACTTTTTTTCAAGTGTTAATACAACATGATGAATAATATTGAATTTTCACCCGATTTGTCCGAAATGAAAGGGCAATACAAAAATTCTAAAACTGATATTATAATTTATGTTGATAATAACAAAGAAAATGATCTTATTCAATTCATTAGCAAAGCACAACAACAAGGTTTTAATTGTCTTGATCTTTCAAAAAGAAATATCAAAGAATTTCCTTCTCAACTTCTCGACTTTACATCATTGCAAGTAAATCATTTTGTAAAACAAAATAATATATCAATTTATTAATGCACCTCTTTTTTTTCTTAGTATTTATATTTAGAAGGTAACCAATTAACTCAATTACCTAATGACCTTTTTACTCGGTTACCAAATTTAAAATGGTTTGATTTACGTAATAATCAATTAACTTCAATACCGAGTGATGATCTCGCTAAACATAATTTCCTTCAATATTTGTTATTAAGTGGAAATCATCTTCGAACATTACCTTGTGAACTTGGTAATACAAAGAGAAGAAAAAACTTTTCTTTATTTAAATTTTTATGTTTCTTTAAATTAATTTTAGGTAAAGTTAAAACATTATCAGCATTAAATCTTGATGGTAATCCATTAGTTCATCCACCATTTGAAATAATTAAACAAGGTATTAAAGCGATACAACAATATTTAAGTGATAAACTTGATGCGAACAATGAATCATTATCATCTGATGATAATTTAGATGATGATAATGATAATGATAATAATAATAATAATAATAATAATAATAATAATAATAATAATAATAATGATGATGATGATGATGATGATGATGATCAACAACGAACAAAACAAATTTCTTCTTATCATTCGTCACTACTCCATAGAAAATCTAAGTATTTTGATTGATACAANATAATGATAATAATAATAATAATAATAATAATAATAATAATAATAATAATAATAATAATGATGATGATGATGATGATGATGATCAACAACGAACAAAACAAATTTCTTCTTATCATTCGTCACTACTCCATAGAAAATCTAAGTATTTTGATTGATACAAAAAAAAAGTGAAATGAATTCAAACGAAAATTTACTCATATCGTCTTTATTTTATGTATAGATCTGAAACGGGCTACTACGAAACAACATCTCTCAATCTCTTACCTGCTCATCTTCAATCATGTTTACAATTCAAACGAATGACTTATTCAGCAACACGTCCTTCACCACCAATTAGATCACGGCCACAATCTGAGATGAGATTATCTCAAATGTATGTTACTTACTCTCGGATGAAGGCAGCCTTTTATATTATGTAGATCTAAACGAACTATGAATATTCTGAAAAGAGTTCGTGTATTGTTGTGGAGATATTGTACTTTTACGGCACTTCTTTAATGAATGCTGTGGTAACAGAAAAACTGTTTTTCGAATTTCAACTTGAAACTTTGCATAGAGACAGTTCTTAACGAGAATAGTTTTTGTAAAACACAATTTATAGAGAGCGTTGAAGTATATGTGTAAAAATTTGCAAAGATCGTATATAAATAATGTCTCTTTATACTATATGAATTTCGTCCTTATTGCGTTTCTGAAAGAATTAATACAAGAATGGTGAAGAAATGTGTCCCAAAATATATAAAATAAAGAAATCGCCTTGTGATTAGCAATAGCAGCTATATCGTGTTTCACATTTCTGCCACTGCTCTTCCTATTCTCAGATACAACTATGTTAATTACGTGTCTTCTTTTACATAACCTAAATAAACCGGGAAATTTGATGTTCTTATTTCAGAATAGAAACAAATCAAAAGACTTGAAAGTTTCACAATAAATTATTCTCGTTTCAGCTTGTCTCTATGCAAAGTTTCAAGTTGACATTCGAAAATTCGTGTTTCAGGTATTCCTGCATTCATTCAAAAAATACCATAAAAGTGCAATATCTCCATGTCAATGAGCTAAGAACACAAAACTCTTTTTAGAGAATTCATAATTGATTGGAGTCTAAAAGCATCTTATTAGTTCGAAGATTTTCCTCTTTAGAGAAAAAAAAATTTTATTTTTTTCTTAAATATAATTGAAATTTATTTAGGAAAACAAAGACAATAACGAATAAAAATAATGATCCAGAAAGAGATATTTATACATCTCAAGAGCGACCATTTACGCAATCGAGAGTATCTTTTCGTATTTCAGATAGAAAAAATTAATTTTGTTTAATTTTAAAAAGCATCGTAATATAACAGTTGATGAAGAAATACAACAATTATATACAAAAAGTCTTGTTCAAAGCAAAGGTAATTTATTTATAATTTAAACTAAATTTTTCAATTTTTGTTATTTAAATAGAATTTGAAGAACCGATTGTACAAACACCATTTCATATTGATGCTCATTTTGTACCAATAATGAATAAAAATCCACCAGATATGACAAGATATGAACGTCGACGAAACCGCTTATCTAAATATTCTATCAACGAAGATGAAGACAAGTAAATCAACTCATCAAATATGTTTTTGAAATCAAATATGAATATTTTCTTCTCTATTTTGTAAGCTTTAAACGTATACGTGATCAACAAATTCAAGATCGTATTCGTCAAATAACCGATCAAATGTTCAAACGTCGTTTCGAAGCTCGACAAAGTCTATTTGAAGAAAAACGTCAAGTTAAACTTGAATTACGTGAAGTAAATTTTTATTTTATATTTATTCTCGATTTGTTTTTTTTTCTTCTTTTCTTTTCTTTTTTAGTTACGTAGACTTGAGTCAGCAGGAACCCAACTCCGACCCAGGAGTCAAATGAATAATCGTTTAAAAACATTTTATGACAATGTTAAATTTCAAAAACAATTGTAACTTCTTTTTGTATTAATAGATTCAAATCTATTCAACTGTTTACCTAGTGTTAGGTCATTTTGACCCATTCATAGAAACCATCTATTTTGAATAATAAAGCATCGAATCGAGCATCGTATAAAGCCTTCGATAAGCTACAAATTCGAAAAAAATAATTAAAAATCTTTTCATCAATCTTATCTTGATTACAGATGTGACAGCAGCATCTTTTATGATAACTTGAGTTATTTTGTTTGTAATATAAGCTCATAAAATAACACGATCTTCATGCTAAATACTTTTATGAGAAGTAATAGACAGTCAAAAAATATACTATCGTCGATTTTAAATACCTTCTTATGGATGAAAAACAGAAGCCTATAATTTCGATTATGGCCTTCCTTCTGAACGAGATCTGAAGCACAAGAATGAGTGATTTCGAATCGAAATCAAAAGTTAAAAATCCATCTTATTAGGACTGTTTCGAGTAGAAATCATCGAGTTCAAAGTTTCAGATCCGGGCACGGTTGAACCATACTTGAATTTTCCCAATGAAATTTTCTTATCAAAATGGGATAGCCGTCCCGAAAATACGAAATATTTTTCTCTACTTTTTTACTTTCGGTCAGTAGTGCATCCTACATATTTCTCAGACTACTAGAGTCCATCGGATCCAAAATTTTTAGATTTAAATTTGAGCGATGGGTATCACCCAATTATTGTTGTTGAGCTCACCAATTCCTGAGAAAATCTTTACTTCCTCCCCAAAAGTCAGTCAACTTTATCAAAAACCTTCCAATGGACTTTCCAATTCTTGCGATCTCAAGGTACATGTGCAAATGTCTAACCATATATCATCTTCTGAAATAACTCATTTTATATCATTTTTTATCCATTCTGTTTTTACACAATGAAATAACTTATCACAAATATAACCATACTACCGTTATAATTAGCAGTTATATAATCTATTCCTGTGGTTTACACAATACCAACTCTACTGAATTAATGTCAGAATGTCAAGGGTTAAACTACTTGCATATTATCTTTATTAAATTTGACATTCAAATTTATTTCTCGTGACAGATTGAAAAGAATAAATGTATTTGATTTCATCTCGTGATATCTTGCACAAAAGAAAGTACCCAAACAAACAAAAAAAAAAAAAAAAAAAAGAGAAAAGAAAATGGCCCGTAGATAACACTGTATTAAAACAAAAGACCCATAATTCTAAACCGGTGGAAAAAAAAAACAAAATGATCCATTTTATGAATTAATAACCATTTTATACATATCTTTAACAAGTTGTTCCATATGCGTTTTATCTCCAATAGTTTTTCGAAAAAAAATTTCTTCTATTATTGATGATGATATTGAACGAAACGATGATATTAATGTTAATAATTTAAAACAACGATTTTCTTCACATGGATATTGTTTATTAATATATGTATTTAATAATATATGTGCTTGATTGTGTAAATAATTAATTTTATGTATATCATTTAATTGTGGATTAATTATTGTTTGACAATTATTTAAATATGATTTAAATAAAACAACATTTTTTAAACAAATTAACTCATTTGTATCTATTTTCATATGTTTTAATTTATTTAAAATATCTTGAAAATTTTCAATATCTGTTTTAAATGTTTCATATTGATTATTTAAATAAAGAAATTCATCTACATTGATTGTAAATTGTTGTTCAACAGCAGTTAAAATAAATAAATCACGCCAACTTTCTTCAAGTAAGCAAAGCTTAATAACAAGAGAAGAAGAAAAAAAAACTAAATATAAAAAACTTCAGCTCGATTAAACATACTTGATCACGATTGGATAATGATATAAATGCTGGTACTGTTTTAGTCCAATTAATAGCATTAAATAAAATTTTAGCTGCTAATTCATGATGATCAATAATTGGATACTAAAATTACAAAAAAAAAAAAAAATCTTTTTTTCCTGATTTTATTCATTAAATTTTATTTACTTTTGGAATTGATTGATGATGAAATGACATTGATTGATAACGATGAAAATTATATGCATTTATTAAATCATTAGATTCTTTAATTAATAAAGCCATTTGTTTTTTTATTGTTGAATTTCTTGGTCCACGTTCATGTTGAACAGCTAGATAAAAAAAAAGAAAACATATTTAATATAATTTTTAATTGAAATATTTACCTTCTTTATTCATTCCAGATTCTAAACAACGTCTTAAACGACAACTTCGACATTGATTTCGATGAGTTTTATCAACAGGACAATTTCCTAAACCATGATTTTTACATGTATATTGACGATTTCGTCGTATAGATCGTTTAAAAAATCCCGCACAACTTAGAAAATTAAAAAGATTTTATTTAAAAAGAAAAAGAAAAAGAGTTTTTACCCATCACATGCAAATATTCCATAATGTTTACCAGATGAATTATCATTACAAACTTTACATGGAACATCAGTTAAAATTCGACCTAAAAAAGAAAAGAATTCTTTTGTTAATTGAAATCAAGTTTCTTTTTTCTTTTTCTGTTTTTATTATTTACTTGATGTTGTATTCATTTGTCGATGTTCGTTCATCGTCTAAAATGGATAGGTCATTTTTTTCAAAAGAGAGAAAGACAAAAAGTCGAACCATTCATTGAATAAATATACAGACAAAATCAATTCATTGGATGTTGTTTGATATATATATTTCTTTTCTCTCTCTCTCTCTCTCTGTCCTATTTAATAACGAGAGAAAAAAAAGGAATCACCTACGTTATCGATTTTAGCTCATAACACTTAAGCGTTTAGTTTATGCTTGTTGATTTGACGAAAAAAAGGAGAAGTAAAAACTTTTATTTTACAAAGAAAAGACAATAAACTTTCAATATCACATTAAATATGTTTCTTATAGAAGAATGCATGAACATCACTTGTATTTTTATGTATCTAATTGGTCATTATAAATTCTCCTAATGACATGTGAGACAATAGGATCACGACCTCGTCAATCGATATGTAAATATCGTCTTCAAGATCCTTGTGCTAAGCTCATTCATTCTCTCATATAATGATGGAGGTACCTTTTACTTCTTTTTTTTTTTTTAGTCTGTATAAATCGTCAATTGACAAATAGTAATAATCGTATACACGACATTTATGTACGGTCTATTTGCTAAAGAAGAAAATTACTATTCAAACTAATAATACTAGTTCCATTCAATCGATAACAAGCACAAACAAATAATGCAAGAAGAGCAATGAAAAAAAAAAAAAAAAAACGAAACATTATTTGAATAACAAAGCGAACTATGTTGATCATATTTGATCAATATTATATGCGCATCTATGACTTTATTAGTGGAATAAAAAGAAAAATCGATACGTGTGAAGTAAATCATGTAAGAGATCTGCTTTCCTCTTTCTTCATGTATGTATGTATGTATGTATATTGAAAATTAATGTCATTTATCCATCACTAATCTCTGTACATAATTGAACAAGTTCAACAGTATATATTTTCACAAGATTGATCTTACATCATATCAATTTGTCTTCTTTTTTTATCGAAACAATATTTAAATAGAATAAAATCTTGTCTGTGAAATCGAATACTATATTTTATATGATAATATATGCATGTTAGTATAAAATAAATAATTGTTTTGTTTATTTTGTTTATTTGTAAATTTATCATTTGAATGAATAGATATTTGAACATGTATATATTGTCACTTAATGTAAATACAAAAAAAAAAAAAATAAAATTTAATTTTAAGACTTTGATAACCTATTCGTAGGATTTAATTTTTATCACATAGGTGAAATTTGACTTTATTAAAAAAGGAAGAAAGAAAAGATTCATTATTGCTTACACAAGTATTATTGTCATTTGAGATCATACTTGCTTGCATATGTGCGTGTTATAATCCTTTTCATTCGAGTAAGGTGAAAAGAAATAATAACAATGGTGATTTAGCATAGGAGGGACAAATCAACCATCCTTGATAAGTTTTTTTTTTTTTTTTTTTTTTTCTATGTTGTTTAACGATCAAACATTTGAATTGGTTATTATTGTCAAATGACCATATCATTTCTCAATTACCAACCGTGTCGATTTTGCCGCTTATTCATTATCAACGATGGTGGTAGTTTATGTCTAGCAGGTGACCATCGTTTGATCCTTAAAGCTATGAGAAGAAAGAAAAAGAGACATACACATCTCAATTTACAAATTGTTTCACACCACTATCGACTAATTGTATGACAGGGGGGTAAAAGTGAGTGATTGTCATTGAACATCTGTATGTATATATTTTATCATTACAAGTTGTAACGAACATTCTCAAAATAATGGGTGGGTCAAAATCAATGGTCGCATTGTGTATTTTATTTTTTTTTTGATCATCTAATACATTTTATTAAAAAATAAAATATATTTCAAGATGCAACATGAAAAACTCTACAACACAAAGCTTATTTTATCTGCGAAAAAGTTGTGTGTTTTTTTTTTCGTACACGACAAATTTCTTTTCCCATTTGTTCGATTAATGAGTTATGTCAATGGTCGATTTTACACTAATTGATATGTGTTCCGATGATAGGCTTTTCACTCTAATGTTACTTGTTTAGAGGAACATACAAACTTCATAATAATAAATCAAATCTGTGTTAGTGTGTCAATTAATAAAAAGAAATGAAATTTCAAGACCAACGAAAAGTAATTATAGGAATAATTGATGATGGCATAGCATCGATTCAAATTATTGAATAATTAAAAAATATGGTCAATGGAATAAAGTTAAAAACAATGATTTGTAAGAAAAGGAATTCTTCGTGTACCAACAAATAATCTTGTTCTCAATGTCAAAAATTGATCTCATAGAATTTTGTCCATTTTGAAAACCAAAGATGAATATCAGTTTGTCCAAATGCAATGCAATTATGTTTTTGACAAACTTTTTCAAATATCTTGGAAGATTTGAGAACTAGAAAGTTCGCTCAAAAGTTATTCGATGCAGCTTATTACACTCTATTTTTTGTCGATCGATTTTGAGTCATTTAACTTGCTGATAAATATCGGTTTTCCTTGCATATCTAATCGTTTTATGCAAGAATCAAATTATTTTATATAGTAAGTTGGAAACTATACAAGAATGTACAAGTTAGCTTTAGTAATGAAGGTCAAAAAGAGATATGCTATTTTGTCGAGAATTGAATTCGTTTTTAATATCAAATTCGTAATTAGTGTAAAAAGAACTGCATCTGGTGATACATTCCAATTTGTTCAACTTCAAAGAGAATTTTCAGAAACTTGATCAGCAAAATGTCGCGTTACGTGGGCAAACCCAAATATATAGTAAGTTTTGTATTGTAGAGCTTTTCATGCTGCATCTTGTGGTATATTTTGTTTATTTTTTCTAATAAAACATATTCGATGATGAAAAAAATAAAATACAAAACGCGACTATTTATAGTCTAGCCTACTGGTTATAATGAAACTTTCATTCATCGAGCGACATCATTAGAAAATAGAAAAAAAAAGAGAAACTTCAAGCGAAAGGAGGATGTTGGTAAGCAACGTAAGATGTAAAAGACAGTAAAACAAAAAAGAAGAAATCTACAAACATTTTTGATACTGTTACTCGAAAAAATGAGTGCTACTCATTATCAAAATTATAATGGAGGTTTGATTTTATAAAAATTAAATTTTGAAAAACTACGATATGGTATTCATCTAGATCAAAGACAACATATCAGATCTCCGGAAGGTGGAGATATGGACAAACATTTTAATGATGCTAAATCGTATATATTATCAACAGCAGGAAAAGATGGTGTTAATTTGTAAACATAGAAATTGAATTCTTGTATTTATATTGTTGTTGTTTGTTTTTCTATTAGATATGAACATTTAGCAAAATGTGTATCTCGATTATTAACAGAACAGCCTCGTAAGATTAAAAAAATTAACATATTTATTCAATTAAAATAATAAATGTTTTATTTTTAAGGTGATCCTGTTACTATATTTGAAGATATTAGTAAATCGGCTCGATCTCAACAAGATAAAGTAGAAGAACAACCTACTGACAATAGTGAACATATTTTAGCTGAAGAACAGAAACCACTTTTTGAAGTAAGTTTTTGAATTATTATTAGTTTTTTTTCTTTTTATACTATTTATTATTTATATAGAAATCGGATAATACAGAAGAACTTGATGATGAAGCATTACAAACACCATTGCCTCATATTCTTGAACAAGCTTATTATTTTGAACAAGCTGGTATTGGTCTTGGACGAGATGAAACATATCGGTAAAAATTTCATTGAATTCTCTCCTCTCAAAAAAAAGTCAATTTTTGTTAAAAACATGAAAATTGATATAAATACATGGAAAGATAGTCCGAGGTCTGATCTTTCATAAAAGACATGATTTTTGGTTTTGAATCTTGTTTTTTCTAGAAAAAATTTCGTTAAAGTAGAAAATCGTTTTCACTTTACTATTACACAAGAGAGTATCCTTATAAATAGAACTTCACTTGTTGAGCTATTAAACTTTTCTCTTCATAAAAAGTAAGAGTTTCAACGGAAATTTTAGATTGTCAAATGAACTATATTTGACTCTTGTTTGTTGCATATCTCGCGAAAACATCATGGTATAAGGCTAAAACTTTCATGCGCTATGAATGTACATGGTTCAAGATCAATTTTTGAGAAGTGGAAGTGGAGCTTTAAATAAATTCATTTTAATTTTTAATTTTAGAGTTTGGCTTTCACTTAAACAATTAGTTGATAAAGGTCAATATGAAAAAGTACGTTTTTGGGGTAAAATATTTGGTACAGAAAAAAACTATTATATAGCTGAAGTTGAACAAAATGCTGAAGATGAAGCTGATGAAGATGAAGGAAATGAAGAAGCTAATGAAAATGAGGATGCTAAAGATGTTGATGATGAAGAAGCTGAAGGTGAAGAAGATCCATTACCTAAATCAACGTATAAACCACCATCAACTGTACCAAAAGAAGATCGTGGTACAGGTATTAATAAATCCACTTATTATGTTTGTAATCATCGTAAGTTTTCTCCTTTTATTTACAAAAAATAAAATTATTATGTTTTGTTTTTCTTAGCTGGAGCACAATGGATTAAATTACCCATAGTAACACCAGCTCAAGTATCTCAGGCACGATTAATTAAAGTTTTTTTTACTGGAGATTTAAATCGAGAAATAAAATCCTATCCAACTTATCCAGGTACAGAAAAGAATTATTTACGGGCACAAATTGCAAGAATTAGTGCAACAACACATGTATCACCTAATGGAAAATTTAAATTTTCTGATGTAATTATGAAAATTGAATTGACTCTGTTTTTTCGAAAGATATTTTTAAAATTTATTTAGGAAGAAGAAGAAGCAGAAGAAGAAGGTGGAAAACAAAATTATCAAGAAAATGAAGATTTTACAGGAGCACCATTATCAGAATTAATTGATGAAGAATTAAATGGATGGGTAAAAGAAAATTTCCCATCTATTTTTTATTTTGATTATTTATTTATTTATTTATTTATTTCAAATAGGTTCATCATGTTTTACACATTCTTCCTCAAGGTCGAACAAAATGGTGGAATCCAAATGAAAATCTTGAAAAAGAAGAAGAAGAAGCTGATGAAGAAGAAGAAATGAAAGCTGAAACACAAGGTGTACAACCTGAACAAGGGCCACCACTTTTAACACCAATTGGTGCTGATGCTGAAATACAAAATACAAAAGCATGGACAGCTAAAATATCTTCGAATCTTATTCCACAATATGCTTGTGCTTTTGTTCGATCAAATCTTTGGCCTGGTGCATATGCATTTGCGCGTGGAATGATTTGGGAAAATATTTATATTGGTTATGGACATAAATATGCAACAACAAATTATAAAGCTGATTTTCCAGTATTACCAGCCAATGAATATACTGATTTACCAGAAATTAATGAAATTGATGATCCATCACCGGAAGATGAAGCTAAAGCTCGCGCTGCTGAAGAACATCCAGAGGAAGGAGAAGAAGAACATGAAGAGGAAGCTGAGAATGAAGATGATGATTAAGTTTCGATTAGTATATATGTGCGTCGTCTGCTTTGTTTTTTTTTTAAATTTAAATACAATCATCTCTTGAGAAATATATTTCTATATTTGAATGATAACAACAATCGGCTTTTTTTTTTGGAAAAATTAAATGAAAAGATTAACAAAAGCTTATATTTGCAAAAAACAATGTATCAAAGCTATTGTTGAAAAATAAATCAGATCATGGACCAATTATTAAGAGTCATACGTATTCAGAGTTTGTTTTGTCCGTACAAAAATAGAATATTTTTCTGATGTTTAAAAAACAAAGTACAACATTTTTTTCTTTCATTTTTTAATATCTTTATTGATAGAATCAAATCAGGCAAGATTAAATATCAATTTTAAAAAAAATTTACAACAGCAAAATGAAAAAGAACGATTGAGAACAACTAAACAGTTTTGAATAATGACGAATGGTACAAATAATTAATTCAAAAAATAGAAGATGACCAAGATGTAATCATGAATAAAACATATTATTCTACATTTGCAAATATTTATCCTACTAACATTTTGAAGGATGTAAAATAGGTTTTTATATATAGTCTTATGACAAATGTTTGTATTCATGTGACAGTTACCTATACTTTCTTTCAGGAACATAAAGTTTTTATTTCGATGGATTGACTTAGATATTGATGTGAGAGATGATATCGAATTGCATTCGGATAAGATGAAGAGATGATCTACAAGGATGATACCCAAGTAAGCAAAAGACAGTTAAATGTCTACTCTTTTTTCTAGTCATGCCACCCCGTCCTGAATAGGCTTTATCTAAAAAATGACTGACTCTACATGACTAGTCTGAACTTCAAGCCATCATGCATATCGGTTCTAAAGTGGAAACTGCATTCTTAGCATTCGATCTAGTCCTGATCGAGGATTTTTGAAACAAAGACTAGTCTGAACGAGGTGGCATGACTAGAAAAAAAAACTAGACATTTAACCCGTCTTTTGCTCCCTTGAGTCAAGAGATATTTTCTTTTGTTAATTCATCTTTTGATACATGAAGATAAATCTTGCACAAAACAGTCTGTGATTTCTTTCGTAAAACAACGGTTTCAATCAACATGAATATAAGTAACTTACATAGATAATAACGTTAAAAGGAGAAAAATAATGAATATGTATGTACTTTGTAAAAAAAGATCGTGAGTTTCAACAATGTTGACAGATAGTAAAATCATATTTAATGTGATACTTGGTTTGTTGATATTATTGTATCAGTCATAAATTGACAATGAAGTATTAATCGCATTATGCATTTCATGATTTAGACTTATTTTATTCTTGTGGTGTCAAGATAAAGAAAGAAAGAGATGTTGAAGAGAATATTTCTGAGAACTTGTTCATATGAGTTCAGTAGTACTTTATTTAGAGGTAATACTTGAATGATTATTCAAATTCAAATTCAAAACTTATTGTAGTAACGAATGACAATAGTAAAGTAAATAAATAAACAATGCTTCTATGAGTCGATAATGAAACTTATGTTAGTTGCTCTATTGAGATTTTGTCTTATTGTGTTTCTAATAGAATTCGATCTAAAACATATTATGCTCAATCAGTTTGATGTTCCGCATTATGAGAATGTCTAGTGTTACGAGAGAAGGATTTGTTCTTTGTATAGTTTTTAAAAACTAGAAGAGCGACTAGCAGAAATAATTTCAAAGAAATCTGTTGTCATGTTTACGAAAACAGATATATCAATAGATATATGATTTCACATAGCTTACATGAATAACTTTTCATCTAAACATTATAAAATAAGTCTTGGATCACCACACACCTTGCTCATTGGATGATTCAAATAAGAGAGAGCCATCATATCTTGATTATCCAGTTCGAAATCAAATATGGACATATTTTCCATCATTTGACTAGGATCACGAGTACGTGGATTAATCACTATTCCTTGCTGCCAATGCCAACGAAGTACTACTTGAACAGGCGTCTTGCTATGCTTCTTTGCAATTGCAATAAGACTGGGATTCGTACGTAGATCTGGTATAGGATTCCATGTAGGATCGAGTGTTACAGCATGATCAGGACACCGAGTGGTGAATAACTATTAAATGTAATGTTGTGCTTCTGACAAAAATCAAGAAGTTCATCTTCATGCCAATAAGGATGAAATTCGACCTGAAATTAAAAAAAGAAATGCTATTGAAGAGAACATTTCATTATGTGAATATACTTGATTAACACTGGGAATAGTAGAATTTAAATTGAAAATTTCTAATAAATGGTTTACTTCATAGTTGCTTACACCAATGGCACGAACCTATAAAATAAAATTGAATTAGCATAAATATTACTAAATTGAGCGATGCACTCAAATATTTCAATAGTCTGGATATAGAATTTTTATAAGAAAAGTAAAAAAAGATTTATGTAAAATTTTATAACGAATAGATAGAAAAAAAAAGGCATTTATTCTAAGATGAACCAACGATGGCCTGAGCAGATTGTATTACGATTTGATAAATTGTTATTATAACAAACAAAGTATCGACATATTTTCATTCTGGATGTTTTAAAGAGTAAAATTATAATCGATGATAACTTTATGTTAATAGAACTAAGAATTTTGACAAATGTTAATCTCTGGACGATAAAGTACTGAAATTCATTCTATCTTTTGTCAATACAAAGAGTAAAAATCTAGAAAAATGGGAAAAAGAAATCATACTCGTTTCTGTTGAAATATTGTTTCTAATGCTCGCCATGTTTGTATACGGTACTCGGTCCATGTTGATTGTTCTTGCTTGCAAGGACGACTTGTTTCATTAGATGTGCCCGGTAATACACCAGGCCAATGAATAAGAAGGAGATCGATGTAGTCGGTTTGTAAGGATTTAAGAATACTAGCGAACTCTTCCAGTGCTTGATCATAACCAGAAGGATTTACCTTCGATGTGATGAATATTTCAGAGCGAGGTACACCACTAGCTATCCATCCGGTACCAATGCCATCTCGTGAAGCGTAATCATCGGAGGTATCGATACGTCGACCACCCATTTTTAACCATGCAACAGTAGCATTATGGCCTTGTTCAGATCCCCAATACTCACCACCTGAACCATCAGGTTGCCCATAACCTCCCGTGCCTAATCCTACTACGGGCATAAGTACTTCTCCATGAACAGCATTCATGAGTCGAACAGTGGGTTGCTCTTGAACACATTTCATCTTTGAAGTACAATAGAGAATCAAGTTTGTAAATAAAATATAACGAAAAAAATACGTTAAAAAGACATGAAGAAACGTTGTCGTGGTTCTATTCTCAAAGTAATTGAGTAAAAAATAAGAAGAGAAGAACAGTAGTGAGAGAAAAAGAAAGCTGAAGAGAAAAAAACCTAATGTATAGCAAATAGAAAGGAAAGAAAATATTGTGAGAAAAAAAGGTACCCCTACACGTACAAATACACACGTGAGCTGAAAGCTGAAGAAACGACTGATAGGACCATAATATTATTCTCTTTATTTTAAATCAAAGCTGAGCCCATAAAACGCAACAGTTGCTATATCTGCTCTCATCTCGAAATTCTATTGAAGTTGATTGTTATTATTACGAATGTGAAAAAAATAAATAAATATTTTGAATGATTCGAATGAAAGAACTTAATTTAAAGATAGAGATTTCATATTTGAATCTTTTTCGACAAAGAGAAATTGAATATTGGTTGTATGAGCAAAAGTCAAAATAATTCTTGTAATTATCATTTATGTCAGTGGAACCCACAGCCATGTGATAGTACTTTAGTGCTTTCGTTGTTTTTCTTTTATTAGTAACAATATCATGTATTCAGTACGCTAAGATTTGATTGATAAGCTCAGCACACTTCACAGCAAAATTCTATATTATATCCCGAATTTCCTAGCTAGATACGACGATAAAACCGACTATGTTTCAAGATTAGTTTCATGGATTTTGTTAATTGTAAATTTGAAAAAATAAGTACGATATCTCCATATTTGCTTTTTTTCACTGTAGGTTTCCGTACGGGTTTCTATAATGTCTTATGTACGTCCTATAATTGAATATTAGAAATAAGAAGTTCTTTTACATGCGATTGTTACATGAAAGGAATACAATCCTTTATATTCGAATGAAAAAAGCCTCGTGCACCATTAATCGTTTGGTAATCAGTATTCATTAATTCAGAAAGATCTGAATATGATGATATGGCTTTTATATTTTTTATTGCATATATATATAGAATAATGTCGTAGCTATGAATTTCTTAAACCAATAGTACTATTCTATCGAAGGTACCAATCTAAGAAAGTCTCTACCTATTTTTTATTTTTCAAATTGTTAAATCGATATGTGTATATTGATCCTATTTATTAGTTTCGATGTTCCTAAGTCAAATAAATAATCGAAAAAGAACTCAGATACTAATTAAAAACTTCATTTGAAGACGAAAATAAGGAAATAAGAGATGTGTAATCAACAGTAATCAAAGAAACATCTATAAAATGATGTTCGACATTATCGACAGTTGAAATATTGACGAAATGTATTGAAATATCAAAGAAAGTGCATAGCTTATTGGTAAAAGAGATCTAGCATAAATACTTTCAAATTAAAGAAAGTAAACATTATCACAGATGACTTTGGATAAGAAAGATGTAAAAACTTGCTCAATACTTACATCTCATCATAGAATAACCATGAAAGATAAACAAGAAATAGAGAGAAAAATAATCAAAATTACCAATTCATATTTTTATTATTCAATTTTTCACAGTTCATATAACATCTTAAAATAACCATATACACAACAATTTATATCGGATCTAACATCTAGTAAGACTGAAAATTTGAATCTGTACCTAAAACAGCATACTTCATAAGGTTCAGTAAATTTCTTGCATATCTAAGATTGTGATTGAGTATTTCTCTATGATTGTATGTCGTCGCTCATATGGAATGACTGTTATGTAGAGTCTTTATTCCTATGGCGTTTTCTGTTATAGATTAACAACCTCTGATCGTCATGAAAATCAAGGAAATACAAAAATTGAAGGCAAATGGATAAATTAAGCGGAGTGATGCAAAAACAGGGAAAATGAAAGATTACCGACATTCGAAAAAAAGTCTATATTCAAGATTCGAGCATCTTCTGACTACATGAAGAAACCATGAATTTCTTGCGAAGCACTGAAGTAAAGAAATATAACGAGATGCGGATCACTGCAATGCTTTCACATTCAGATGAATGTATAATTCAAGAAAATGAAATGTGTGAAGACAATGAATAAATTACGTGACAACGAAGTGAGCTTATTAATTAAATAAAACAGGGAATCACACATTTAATTTAAATTACAAGTTGTAAGCGTTTTTGAGGGCAACCTGCAAGCAGTAAAATCTTTTAAAAAAAGCATATTATTTTTATTGAATTTACAGCCGAGAACTCATTGCCTAATTGCCGCTCGGTATACGCCTCTACTATTCGTTCACCCTTTCATCGTTTTTCCTACTTTCTTTTCGATAGTTCGATTCAAAAGTCAGAATCTATCGTAAAGTAAAACATGAATGTTGCATTCAGTCAGCTAACAATAAAAAGCACGGGGTCCACTTTACTGACCTTTTATATTTGCTTGACGACCACCTGAAGTGCGAACCGTCATCCAAAGGAACCTCTTTCTATACACGGTTAAGTCTATCTTTCTTCTCTTCCGAAAAACTGAAAAGGCGTAGAGAGAAGAGTAGATGCGCCATCAGACTTCGAAAATAACTCAAATTTGGCCGACAACACTGTAGCTAAGAGCGAAAGCCAAAATTTGATCTAAATTCGAATGTATAATTCATAACTTTTGCTATTTTATGTAAAAGCAGTCAAAAATCAGCAGTGTCAAACTCCAAAGTTTAATTCAACTATTGAAGAAGTTTTCAACTATGCGGAGAACCTACAAGTATCATCTGGCAGCCTATGTGCACGGTGTACACATAGACGAGCATTGGTCGCGGCTCTTTCGGAAATGGGGCAGGGGAACGGTACGCGCTCCCGCGACGTAACAGTGCAATAAAAAATCTGCTACGCAGGAAAAAGCTTCTTTTCGACACTTGCAACAACCTGGAGTGATGACTGTAGGATTTCATCCTAGTTCGAAAAGTCTTCAATAGCAGAATTCAGCTATCCGGTTCGCCACAACTGATTTCTGGCTATTTTTAATAATAAATAGACCACGTCTTCAATTATAAAGTATAATTGAGAGAACACCTTGGGTTTCGCTCTTGGCTGAGTTCAGTGCTACTTGGCATTAAGATCCAAGAGGTTAATTTATATTCGAACTCGAATTAGACAACTCATGAACGAGAGAGGAGTATAGGATGCATCTCTCTTTTAAACATTTCCTAGACCCCTTGAATTTCTACATTTTCCTGAATTCCTTGATGTATAAAATATCGATATGTCTTGAATTCCTACATTTTCCTTGAATTGCAAATATCTGGATCGTAGGGATTATTGGAAGACGTAGCCAGACAAAGAAAAACGAAACACTAATCGAGTAAATGACCAGTTTTTCATAAAAGAATAAAAAAATATCAAACAAAAAACTCCTTGTTAAACTGGTTTCATATAGTAAATAACTTTTTAAAATAGTAATAGTTGTTTTTCGAAATGAATCGAACATTAATTTTTCAACGTTTTACCTCCGATGAAAATTTTTTCATCAAATATAATAACACACTCGAAAAAAGAATTTCTATTTAATTATTAAATTTGATGCCTTTAATATTCATATTTCAAATAATTATAGATGATCACTAGTTTAATAGATATAGTGAATAGGGAATGGTCACAATAAAGATATCTTTGCAATTAGTAAAAGTTTCGATATTATAGACGTGTATTTCATGTAAAGCACCATCAAATAAACACAATTTGAAAGTCATCATATATATTACAGAAAATGATAAAAATGTGATTGTTTGTCTTTAATAGTATAAGACTAAATGAGATAGGAAAATAGGCTAAAATTGACTTAGAAATGAAAATATTATTTTTGAACAGCCTGTAAGAGCGAGCTCTGTGTAAATGAAAGAAAAATTAGCAAAAATAGAGAAAAACATCTAGTGGTCATTATTTGTACTGAAAAATTAAATAAGCCTACTAAATGCTATCGTATTGACTCATTCATAGAAAAGTACAGTTTTTTTATGGACTCTCCTGGTATTAAAAGATTTTTAGGAGACAACTGTTCTGATGTACCCCTTAAGGACCAGAGCATAAATATTTTTCATAATACAATGGTCACTTTACCTGCTTTCTTAGTAAAAAAACTAATACATTAGAGACTTTTTACACATAATTAATATTTGAGAATCTTTGTTCTGTTATGATGCATTTTATACATCTAATCAATGCGCATTAATTAATACTAAAATAGTAATATACGTTGTTATGAAGGGTTAAACAGAATTCTCTATAATTCACCAGAATTGACAAAAATTGATAAAATAATATCTGAAGGTAGATTCTCAAGATTCCTTGATAGGAGTTGGGTGTGTGAATGTAGGCACCAGTCTTCTGCTCTTCCAGAGCTCAGACCCATCTTTCCATCCACACTCTCTATTTAACTTTCTGTAAAGAGTTCCCAGGATTCCTTAAGAAGCTCGTCGAGGAATCATGCCAGAGATCCCCTCAGGTTTTAAGGCATTTCCTTGTGAACCTAGCGGAAGAATTGCGACTCTTGTAATTTCTCTTTGTTCTCTCCTGTAGACAGAATACAATAACTTTTTTTTAATCCAATTTGCTAATGAAATGGTAGGCGCTATTTATCTAAAAAAGAAAAAATTCATTTACTTTATGCATCTTACTTATTGATGAACTTGTTGCTGCAATTGATCTACATAACTAAGAATATAATTTATTTTTTAAATAATACGTATTAATCTGTTATTGTGATTACTGTAAGTAAGAAAGAAAATGACCTATACCTTTGAAAACTGAAAGAAATAGGAATATCTAGTGTTCAAAAAAAAAGTTCCAGAAAAATAACTTTAAAGGATTCTATCATGAAATTATACGTATCAGTAATTATCATTGATAAAGTTCCAAAAACTAATAGAAAAAGCATTTTTCTCAAATTGAATAGAACTGTAACCCAATGAAACATCCATAGTCAGTTTACATAATTGGAGCTTTGAATTCTATTGATAAAAGTCAATTGGGTACGAAGATATTCTTGTCAACTATATTGTACATAGAGTTTTATTAAAATACTGTCATATAATTATTGATAATGCAGATGGGACAATGAAATTTTCGATTTCTAATACTATACCTAAAAAATTTTCAAGAGCTTTGAATTTTACGCTTCATGAGATTAACATATCGTTCACATCATGCAAAAATATGCAATCATTGAAACAAAATATTATTATTTTTATTTGATATATTTAACACAGATTAAAAAGAAACTATTTTGGCAAATGTCTAGAATATTAACTGCTTTAATTTCACATATATCACTCATGCTATAGAGAATGAAAAGAACCAAATTATTTATTTTAGAATAACTCTTTTAGTTTTTTTTTCTTTTCTATGAACGTTAGGATAAAATGCAAATTTGAACAAATATGAATAGATGACAGTTTTTTTCGACGATATGGCTTCCATTCTGTCATTTTCTTCTTTGACCAATGAGAAATAAGATATAAGAAACAGCAATGAAACAACATTGTTGAAGTGTGCATTGAATAGATGACAAAAATAATGTTTCAACATTGTATTTAAAATGAGAAAATGCGCCGAAGACAGACGACAAGAAGGACATCAATGACTGATGATAATGAGTATGTATTTTGCTTTTTTTGAATATATTTTTATTAACGAGTGTTGTTCAAGAGACGTAGTCAATCCAATGGATGAAATATGGAAGAAAATTGAGTCAATAGAAGAAAAAGTCAACCAACGATTTGAAGAAATTGATAATGATCTCAAGTGTTGGAAAGAAAAAATTCGTGGAAATGAATGTCATTATGATGAACGTTTCTTAAAACTTTGCCATGCTGTAGACTATCTTCTTGAACGTACTGATCATGATTATGATACATTAGCGTGTCGCGAGATGATTATGTCTTTACTCGGTCAAAGGTCAGCACGTCCATTCTCTGGACGTACGATTCGTAATCGACAATTATGTCGACATATGAAAAGATGGTGTTTATTTGTTGCTCTTGTTCTTTTTATTGTGGCATGCATGTCACTTTATGGATTACATCGTAATTGGTGTTATCTTTTAGTAGTGTTATGTCTGTCGGGATCACTACTTTCGTCGATTGGTCTCCGTCGAATTTACAAAATTATTGAAGCGATCTGGTGAAATTCTGATTAATTTTATATCATTCTCAATCTTCCTTCAGTGTTTATATAGATCTGTTTTTTGTTTTGTTTATCTGTTGTGACGTTATGTATGACTAAATCAATATTTATATTAAACTTACTATGCCAATGTTCTTGTACCATTTTATATAGAAGAGAAATTGAAACTAAAAAAAAATTGCTTATCAAGCATCTTTCTATCAAATTATAAAAATTTTATGATCATCTCTTTGACAAAATCACAATCATATGAATATACTCCCCACACTTGAGATTAACTAACATTAGTCGATTTCTCATCTTGTCTTTCTTTCTCATGTTTCAGTTACATTACTTCTTTGTTCTTTAGATGAGTAAAATTTTTTTTATGAAATCATTAAGATTCTATATGACATGTTTTCTTATAATATATTGGTTCTTTACTTCGGTTTACTATGCATATGTAGTGATATACAATTTGTTTTTTGTAAAACACTCGGAACGATCTTTTTCAAATGCTCGCTTCACAGTTCCTTATATTCTCATCTCCAATCACAAGTAAAGACTGCAATGTGTTCGCATATCTTTTATACATATCAACCATTTCTTAATTTCAATTGCAATTTTTAGTACGAATTTGGTACATATTTATGTATGATGTATAAGTTCAAAACAATATTTTCTATACTTTCATTCCAAAGAGTAAAGATATCAATTACAATATAGAAATATTTTTGTCTCTAGAAAATATCATTGACAATGAAGAGTCGTGTACTGTAGGTAAATGAGATCGATCATATACGAATTCAATGAAAGCTCACATTGTCAAACTAATTATTTTAAAATATGAGCTACCCATAGCATGCACGAACCAAAATATTCGAATTTCAAAATATTTACAGTCTATATCATATGATCGTACTTTACAGTTTCAGTAGCATTTAGTTTTCTTTCATTCATCATGGTTGAATAGAGATCAGCGAGTTACACCGAAAAAAAGATATTACATGGAGTTACAAGTAGTTTTACGAAAAAATGAGAAATACGGTGCATTCTTGTTTCGTCGAAAAATAAAACTGAAAGAAAATATGAAGAATATAAGTAGCTTACTCTAATTACTTTCGTTCTTTTGAATAGACTAACTTTCATCAAAGAAAGAAATTAAACTATACAGTTACTTCATTCAGTCAACAATCCAGTACCATCACGAAAAATTTATTTGTAAATCGAAATCCTTGATTAAAATATTTAGTGGTTATAAACAACAAAACCTTAATTGTAGAAAAGTAGGGGTTAGGACGAGTGTGTGTGATTGCTTCGGTATATATGAGGACGTTGGGTGACCGTTTTCTCATTGCTTACTCATACACTTAACACTACTAATATCTCAATATTTTCACAGCTCGGTGTTTGTAAATTTCAGTATCTTTGCCTTTCGACACTAGTAAAGTAAATCTATTAGCTCTGTATAATTTGTATAATGTTCTCAACAAATTTTTTCAACAGATACACGAAGAATCCTTTTTGAGAATTAGTCTGTTAAAGAAAATGAAATGATCGTGAATAAGCTAATTATATTCTGCATATTTTAATTGAATTTTTAATTTTTGACGAAATGAGAACACACAAAAAAAAAAAGAATTTCGATGAAAGGAGAACACACGAAAAAAGAATTTTTGACGAAACAAGAAAATCAATTAAGCTTTCGACGAAACGAGAACTAACCGAAAAATACCATTATTGTTAAATATATGAGGGTAATAAATGTATAATTCTGATTGCTGTAACATCGCTTTTGCATATTGTGTGATATTCATTTTTCTTGTTAAACTTGTCGAGCTCTGTCTAATCATGATGAAAAAGAGAAAAATCATGCATATGGGTAGTTCTTTCATTCTTTCTTGTTTCATATCTATTTTAACTTATTAAGTAACTCGTAGTTTGATCTTGTATTCTTTTGAATAGATACCATTGAATTGCTTGTATAAAGTCAATTTTTCTAGTTATTAAAATAAAAATATTCAATAGGAAAAGAATTAAATTTTCAATTGATACAAAATAATAGACTTCAAATAAAGTTTTAACACTCTCTAGCTATTGTGTATGTATAATTGGTCATATTGTTTTATGAAATTATTTAATTTATTTACTCAATAAATATCTATAATAATGATTGATGGAATCTATTATGTCTATAGCTTCATAAATCAATATCGATATAATTGTCAATCTATGAAGATAAATTATACGCTTGATTTTTGATACTATATCGATTGATAAATATGAAAATTGAATAACTTAAACAGTTTAAGTAACTTTTATTTTACTGCGGAATATAATCCAAGAAAATCAATAGTAAAGAAGAATTATCGTAATTCAATGAAAAGAGCATTTTATTACAATTGATAGTTTTTTATGCTGTTACTCGCATGAATTTTCCTCATTTACGTTCACTTGAAACATGATAAAACCTAAGTAGTTAAATGTTCAAATCACACAAGTCACTTTGACTTTAACATAGATCATAACGTATTTACATGACTTACAAACATCTACATTGATAAAGAACTTTGATTTGCAAGAACAAATATCCCCAAAAAAATTTAATTAGTTGTTAATTATTGTAATTTTTATTCATTAATTTATCAGCTCAAAAGGAAGTTCGACTGTTCCATGAACAGAATATATCGATTATTTTTTCTTTTATGAGAGAGTTTTTTGCATATCGAATACAATATTCAAGATTAATAAATACATGTTAACCAACTGAAAATATTTTTCATCAAGTCACTTGGTTTTTTCCCACAAGACGACAAAAAAAAACGTGATGAATTTTGTAAGACAATACTTTTCAAAGAAATCCTATTCTATATCTTTTATCATATCTGGTTCAAGGACAAAGATACACATACTGTTGACGACAACATTTGTTTTCATACCAACTGTTGTATTCATCAATTATTCTGAAAATTCATATGTAATTTCAGGCATAATAGAACTATATAATGGCTTTAAAAATAGCTCGAATATTTAATGTTAAATATTGAAATCAAGACGTATATGACATTATTTATTTTCTTTTTTCTTTTGTCCTTTTTTTATAAGAAAAAAATTCAAGCGTACAAACAGAAGAGCCGAAAAAATACACTTCTACAGCAACAGACAAAACAATATATTGTTGTGTATTTCTTTGTTAAGAAAAACCTAAAGTAATCATTGCTAATGATAGGTTGATTAAAAAAAAATACAAAAAACTTTCAGAGGTCATCAGATACGACCTCATTTTTGTCCTCAATTTTCGTAAGCACGTGAGAACGAATTAAAAAAAGGAAGAAGAAAAAATGCAACATCATATTAACCGATGCGTCATAATGCGTAACTTTCTTTATCAGAAGTAACGAAATCCCTTTTCTTTTTATTTATTCTTCATATAAGGGAATCTACTTTCCCTTAAAGGGAAAAAACCTGTGTTCTATTTATTTCGAAGTTGCCGTTAAAATCTATTTATCTTTAAAATACAGTTTATTTGCTTAAAAGTTTTAGAAGCAATTTAGGCAACATTTTTGCATTAGTTTTGTTTTTGCCCTAAATCGAGATTGATATTGACGATAAGTAGAGTTTAGTTCTTTTTTAAGTGCTACATTTAGAAATATATAGAATAAGTTTAAAACATGTTTCGTAATTTTCGATTCGTATTTTTCTCAATCTGCACCCAGTGAACAGCCATTGAAGATGTATATATTACAAAAATTTATCAAATTTTTCTATTACATTTCATTAATTAGGGTTGGAAAAATTAGAAGCCACTCATTGATTGATTCACTCCAAGTTACTTTTATTGTCCGGTTATGATTTATGTAGCTTAATTGTGAATCAAATACAACTGTAATTTTTTTATGTTTGCGAGAAAAATATCTTTGTATGATATGTTGGCTAATTTCACATTGCCTTACCATTGATACAAGTGCAGTTAATTTTCGAACGATAAATTCAATCTCACTATTTATGTGTATCTTGAATGTTTGTCTGTCTTTTTATGTTGGAAAAAAATTATAAGATGAGCCTAGAACAAAAACTTATGAAGCAACATTATTAAATTTAGCCTGTCAATTCTATTCATTTATCTAAATGGATAATAAGAATTTGGACACGTAAAGTATTTTTGTTTTTCATTTCTTTGCAGATCAAGCAAACTGCTAGACTAAGTTTAAAAAATAGTTTTTGAATATTAAAGTTTACTGAATTATTTTCTTTTTAACTAAGTTGGTTTTATTCTATAAGGTAATTGACTTTTTAGAAACTTATCTAAAAGCATTTTTATATCTAAAATTCTACTTTCGAAAAGCGATTGGATTTCATTGTACCTTACTTCTAATATCATGTCTACTGGTCTGATTAGTTTTGCGTGAAATGAAATCAATGTGCACCGTTTTATAGGATTGTGTAGCTATCGCTGTTTTTTCGTGGATTTTTTCTTTCTTGGCAAAACCTTCTGTTGATTTTGTTTTTCGACGAAAAGCACGGTATGCTTGTGTTGTCTATTGACGTAATCGGCAAGCAACAAAATTTCATTTCTCATTATATTCTTTTTCAGGTAAGGAACAGGAGAGCTTTTATTATATAAAAGAAAGGGCAAAAGAAAAAAAAAACAAATAAAAAAAAGTAACTGCTTTTGATTCTCAGAACTCATTTTTTTAACGCTCGAAGTATATGTAATTAGTTGTTTATGTGTGCAGTTTTTTCATCGGTTCATAAACTTACAACTTCTTCTTCTGGCAGAAATGTTTTGGTTCTAATGTTTTCGTGTAGATTTGGTTTATGAAATAACTGGGCATATTTTGATAGAACGTGTGCGTCATATGAATTTATATAACCATTTGCCTATGAGTAGCAAACAGTAATTTTTGTGTACTCAAAAAAGTGAGTACACTCTAGAATCGGTCAGTGTGTCCGGCCGTCCGTTTACGCGATAACTTTTGAAAGGAGAGTCGAATCACGATGCAATTTTCTACACAGTTCAGTCTTAACAATGTCTCGGTCGAGTTCGAAGATGAGAAGAATTGGCCGAACCATTCCTGAGTTATTGCAAAAATACTCATTTTTTCCTATGGGTTCCGATGCGAAAATCGAACCATCCCCGCTTTCGTAAAAAACTTTTCCTATCATACTCAAACAAGACCCCAACTATTATATACCATTCGATAGAGAATTTTACGAGCTACAAAATGGTATGTAAAACATAAACAAACAAGAAGGCTAGCTCACCTATTGCAAGGATAATCAGACGGAAATCGGTTCTGTTCTTGTCCACGCCCTAACTGATCCACAATTAGAGCACTATCTTCCGATAAGAGGTGATGCTTGAAGGTTTTATGGGGTGGAGAACTCAAATCTGTATTCCACTTGTTTCGATACCCTATTGGTTGAGCACTGACCCATAGAAATCAAGTTATAGAAAGAACGACTTTCTGAGGGTAAATTAAGGCGAAGAGTTCAAATCTGAGCTGTATTCGCCCACAAATCCTATTGGTTGAGCAGTAGTCAATAGAACTCAATTGTTTATAGAAAAGGTTTGCCAAACTAATTTGTATATCCACGCATTCTAGGATGACTGATTTGTCTCATTCACTTTTTGAAGTACACATAACTCTCGGACTTAAGTCCGAGGTTTTCACATTTATTTCTTTGCTATATTAGCAACGAAATCTCTCCGTACCGACGTTTTGTCAGTCTGATTTTTGAAGTTTAGAATATATTTCTGGAGTCCATGCAAAATCTACATGTATGGAGGTGAAAGAATAAGTTTGAAACTAAAATAGGACTTGCCAACAAAAAATAGCAACATTTCTCAGGGCTAGTTATAATGCTTTTAGTCATGGCGCAAATTTCGCAACATCTAAATACAGAGTTAAAATAGATACGGATGTGTTAAATTAATCAGATTTCTGTTTAAAGCTTATATTTAAAAAGTATAATACAAATGGGCATCTAACTTGTACAGCATTTTTCAATATCTGCAGAAAAATTAGTATTTCAGACCAGAAATTTCTTATTGTAAACTTTTTTGAAACGTAAAGATACGATCATTTTATCAACTTAAACTTCAAATGCCAATTAACTTTCGATGATCTGACGAGTGAAACTGTCTAACTGATAAACCGCTTTTGAATCGAGTCTATATGCATTATGTAGAGTCAAATGAACTGTGAATACTCTGAAAAGAGTTCGCACTTTGAGCTTATTGCTGCGAAGATACTGCACTTTTGTGGTATTTGTAAACTGAATTCCGTGTTCCTCCTCAGGAACAGCCAGAAAACTGATTGTCGAATTTCGACTTGAAACTTTGTATAGAGACAAGTCATTACGAGAATAGCTTTTTTTCTGTGAATGCCTCGGATCTTATCGTTGTCCGTAACCGTTACCAGACAGCTACAATACCCAGTAGCTGGAATCGTTTCTTTTCTCAAATGTTCCTTCTTTGGCAAAAAAATTAAGCATCTATTTTCGAGAAAACAGTTTCAGCTTTGGATTTCTCAGCCCTCAAAATCCTTTGGTCAAGTTCCATAAAAGAATCGCTACTTTTTCAAAATAGCCTTTCTTTGACGAAAAAATCGAAGGCAGAAATTTTACGCCAAGTTATAAATGATTCACCCCTAGTCATCATTATAGGCCTTTTACACATGTTCAGCAGCTTCGCTGATCTTAGCAGCGATAGTCTGAAGTGCACCACTATACGACAGCCCATATTGACCGATGCACCGTAAGTACGGTGAAAGAAAGAATTCTTCGCCTTTAGACTGGCTTGCGGTATAGGATATTTGACTCAGAGTTCTTTCACTCAATTGCTGGAACTTCCAATATACACTGACTAACCCTGTACTAGCCATAAGGACCAATGTATTTCACTATGTAGTCAACGTACTATCGGACGGATGATCAGAGATTAATAGTCGTTATTTACTTGTCCAGAATCATTTCGTGGCTGATGAGTGCCAAGGTTTAAACACGGCATCCTATGGATACGTGCCGAACGATGTGGCCACTCACCATGGTACCGTGTACTGATAGATAGTGGACTAATGGTTCACCATTTCATCCTTACATAAAACTATGATAATAGTGTGCCTTTTGCATCACTCATATAAACTGACAGATTTGATGTTCTTATTTCAGGATAGAAGCAAATCAAAGATGTGAAATTTTCACAATAAGCAGGGTTGCCAGATCAAATTCTTAGAAATCGGAATTTTTTTGCTTGAATTCTGAAAAATTCGGAAAAATATCTGGCTAATTCGGAAAAAAATTCGGAAAGTCGTTTTTAAGCTTTCACTGCCTGTAACCAAGATGAAAATTCTTTATTTAATGTCCAATCCTTCTTTAAAAACACCTTTCTTTTCTCTTTTTTTGGAATTTGAAATTGTTGTTGGTTGAATAGATTCTTGTTCTTCTACACTCACGGTCATACTAATAGACGAATCATCTGATTTATCATCCATAATAACGTTCAGTTTATTCTGAAATATAGTTATGAAAATGTAAAACGACATTTATTTACATTTAGATTAAGGTTTTTAGAGATATGATTTATTTATATGACTTCTTTGAAAACTAAACATTGATNAGAGCATTTATAGCAGCAATATATATCAATTCATAAGAAATACTAGTTGCTTCCGGAAACTATGAGATAACAAAAAATCGCTGGTGCATTTTCAAATTTTTGAGTACGGGTCAAAAATGACTCAGGCTGGTAGTATTAAGGTTAATATTCGTATATTTTAATTTCCAAAAATTTGCAATAATGCTTATCTTTTTCTTCATTCATATCTGACTTGTTATGCTATCAAATAAAACTGTTTTCCTTGAATAATCTCTATAGAAGTAATTTAATTTTCTTTAAAATATTAGAATATATTTTTGCAGATCAATCAATATCTTATCAATATTTATTTATACAACAGTAGCAAACGCATATTTCACTAATTTGCAACATGTTTTTTCGTGATTATAGATTACAAATAGATACCCTACTGGCGTAAGTCATTCATATAAAATTTCAAATGTGAAAAATTATCATTGATAAGAAATGGTTTTTAAAAAGAAAATCTATATTGAAATTTAGTCGGTCTTTATGTATGCTTTACTGCCATTAGGAGTTAAATAGTACCAACCACCACGTGGTCCTTTATAAAGATGACGACCAATGGTAAAATCATACATTTCATCGGCTTCAATAGTAGACTTATCAGTAGAATCATCTGTTCGGCGTACTGTTGAAGACTTGCGTTTTCGATCTGGATTGCCAAGTTTCAATTGAGTCATCGCAGTTACATATTCATCGGAATTTGTATCATTGACTTTTGGTGACGACAATGAAGCTTTGATTGGAGACCGTTTATTACCAGTCGAGGGTCTTGTATGTGATGAGTTCGATGACAATGATTTTTCTTTTCCTTGATTAATATTATGAATATCTACATCGGAGATAGCAGTGAGCTCCTGAACTATAGTGGAAAAATTAGGTCGTTCGTTTTTTTGCCAGGAGCAGCAATGGCAAAGAATTGTGCGTAGTTTTTCCGGAGCTTTCTGCATAAGACAAATGTTTTCAAATATGGTTGCATTCTCTGGTTTGGCCAATGCATTTATGAGAATTATACCACTGCTATAATCATCTTCCCATGGAATCTTTTTCGAAATGATTTCGAGCAAGACACATCCGAACGCCCATACATCAGACTGAAATGAACTTCTCTCTGGTCGATCAAAACAAAGTTCTGGTGCAAACCATTCTACTGTTCCTACAAAAAGAATAGAAAAAATTGACTACCATTCGTATGTTACTAATCTTAAATATAAATAAAATTTTTTTTTACATTCTATTTTTTGTTTTTATTATTTGATATAAAACATGAAAAAATTCCTTCTCGACGTTTAAGACTTCGCCGAAGAGCTATCTAGAATAAATACCAGAGTTATTCAAGAAAGGTTTATTTTCAATTTTTTTTCGTCGCCCTAAGTGCTAGATAGAATCCATATCGTGATTCGAGTAGAGAATTTTGTGAAAGTCTCTGAAGCCGTTTTTTTTTTACTATTTCGTGCAGACAAGCCATTTTTCTATCTTCAATCTAATTATTGTATCTCAGCTAAAAAACGTCTCAAATAACTCGGAGATGCCTCATTTTGTAGAGAATGCTTTAGTTTAGTGTCTAAATAAAATTATATTTTATGCGTTCTAGACACTAAAAAAACTAGAGTTTCGGTTTCATGAAGTCCTTGCCTTTGCAACTCTTGTAATAACTTTTATTTACTTATGTTCTCTTTGGAAAAGTTTTCTTTATTTGAATTACTATTTGACGTCTTTCTAGCGTTTACAATAGCAGAAAAAAATTGAAAATAAACGTTGCTGAATAATCTTGGTATCCGCTGTGGGTCACACAAGACAATAATTAAAATAGATATGCATATAGCATCTGAGATTTAATGAAACGATCAGCTGTTAACAATCATTTTTCACATATTTATATCTTTCGAATGCTATTGAATTTTCAAAAACGAATTTCAGATGCGCACTTGATTGATGAATCAGCCACCTTGATAAATACAGAGAGTTTCGAAAGTCAGTCGAAGAAATAAATGCATATATTTCTTGCACAATTCTATACTTTTGTAATAATATAATCGGATGTTCTTAGAAGTTCTACTTAACGTATTATTCGATAAATGCTCATGTCATTAAACATTAAAATAAAAATAACTTTAGTTTAATTATCCGATTTGTGTCATTAGTAACCATCAAACAGACATTATTCATTGAATTTGATAAAGAAGGGATCAGAATGAAACTACATAAAAAAATACTCCAAACCCTAATACTGATTTAAGTCAAAAATGTCCTAGAAAGGTTTTCCAAAACTCCAGAAAAAAAATAAACAAAATTTGTACCCTTTGGTACGATTGATTAGGCATTGAATTATGATTCGATATGTTTCATTGAAACCATATTAGATGAAATTCGAATAAAAACTTCACAAAATTGAATTAAAATTCATTAAACTTGCATATCAATGTTCGAATAAAGCATCAATCAAAATAATTCTTCTTGTTTTTTTTTCTCAATGAAGTTACTTTTCATTTCAATGAGTTTATCAATAAACAGAATTATAAATCAGATTAAATGAAATAAAACTTCAATGGACATACTATTATACTATGAAATATACAGTTAAATGACCTCAGTTGTTCAAAAAGACAATTACATTTACTTTTTCGACTCATTAACTACAAGTAATTATTAAAGATCATTTAACTAGATATTCGCGAATCAATATGCACTTTTGAACTGGAAAAATTCGGATAATCGAAGCAATATGAATAAAATTATGTTCAATAATCTATTAATGACGTTACCTCTAACGGAGCATGTAGTGACTGCTCTTGAATCAGCTATTGTTCTTGCAAGACCAAAATCACATATGACTGCTGAATGGTTGTGTCGCAACAAAACATTAAGACTTTTCAAGTCAGCATGAACAATACGTTGACTATGTAAATAAGCCATACCATGTGCAACATCAATCATTATCTGTCGAGTAACTTTCCAATACATCAATGACTGAGTCGTCCTTCGAATGTATTCAAACAGACAACCTCCATCGATAAATTCCATGATAATTGACGTTTGATTTGGTGTTTGAACGATGTCAATATACTGAATGATATGCGGATGTGTAAGAGTTTTGAGTAAATCTGCTTCAGCTAAAGCTTCAGCCGATAATTTGCCCTTGACATCTTTAATTCCTACTTCCTTGTGATCACGATAACTACCTATATAAACAGTACCAAAGCCACCTTGTCCGATTTGTTCGTTGCGTGTGATCAAATTTTCATTTTTGCGTGCCATCGTCTCGATCTGGTTAAATAATAAACTAAAACATAACAATGTTGATAAAGAAGTAACTTAAAATTAATATACACTTTGATTTTTTTTCGTTCTGCCAATCGAAGACATTTACTTTTTACTCTAAAGAGAAATGATGAATTCAACAAGAGAAAAATCCAATGACGTTGTAGTAGCAATCGAACGCGTCAGCATTTTTGTGACAGGAGCATTTTTTTTCTTCTCTTTCTGTATGTTGCCTATTGAATTTTGTTTATGGATACTTGTCTGAAACTTGCTTGAAAAACGTAATATAACATTTTTAGAGAATTTCCTGATCTTTGAGAAAAAAAAGCTGACACAATTGATTTCATTCAATAAATACTCAAGAGAAAAGATCTTGCTTATTGGTATATTAACGTCACAGAAAAAACAAAGAAACAAAACGAGTATGATGTTAAATTGAGTATGAAATCAGAATTAAACAACAAGTAAATATATTTTTACAGTGTCAATAAAGTAACATGAGATAAATGAAAAATAAAAAAACTATGTCGAATCAAAATGAATGAAGAAATTTTTAGCATATGATCAAAAACCATCAAATATGCATAACAACGTATCCTTTTCAAATCTGTCTGATCAGATAAATTGCGTAAAAAAGAATTTATTATCATAACATTGATAATGGACACAAAGGATAAAAAGTATCCAAAGTTTGCTTTTCTGTTACAACAAAAGTTTCTTCTGAACAGAAATAATTGCGAATTGAGCACAGCACTAACCAAATAGTACGATGTAACTTGTTACAGTGTATTCTCATAACATATACATCGATCCTCTCTATTCTCTTCTCTTTGATATTTTCGTTTCTGTCTTTTCCTTTCTTTAACTTCTTTTCTTTGCCCTCGATTAACTTTTTGTCGATAAAAGGTCATATGAATTGAAACTCTTGGTGTTTTGCTAGGAAGTGTTGCTGTCCAAATTAGCAACTTATCGAAATTATGTAGTTATGTTAGCGTTCTCGCTCACGAAGAGCGACGAACACAGTTAACGTGTGTGTGTGTGTTTTATTCTCTCTGTTTATTCTTTTACAAAACAAGAGTTTATATACGCACATGAAAAACATGGACAAAATAGAAAAGAAGACAAAGGTTAATCAAGGGCAAAGAAAAGAAGTTAAAGAAAGGAAAAGACAGAAACGAAAATATCAAAGAGAAGAGAATAGAGAGGATCGAGGTATATGTTATGAGANTTGCTAAGATGTTTATTACATTATGTAGATGTCTGTATTTCTTCTCTTCTACTTCAGCTTTTCTTTTAGCTCGTACTGAAATGCTTCGGGCAGCAACAACAACAATTGATATTCATGGACGAGTATGCCTTTGATTATTTTTTTTTTGTGAAACACGAGCTAAAAGAAAAGCTGAAGTAGAAGAGAAGAAATACAGACATCTACATAATGTAATAAACATCTTTTTTTATTTCATATATACACATACATCATTATAACTAACCTTATTATTCTTTGTATAAATATCAAAAAGATCACTAAGAATAAAAGGAACTAATTGAGGATAAGTGTTTTCTAATAATTTTGGTAATGCATGTGTTGCTGGTTCACGAACAAAATAATTTCGATGAACAATATCTTTAAGAAAATCTTTAACATTTTCAGATTTAATTGATAATTTTGTTTGAGGCCATAATCTATATTAAAAAAATATATAGATATTTCTTTTTTTTCATGATTAAACAAAATCATGTTATAATACTCAATAGCAATATTTTTCACATGTTCTTCAGAATCTTCACAAGTAATTAATAAACGACGTGCAATATCAGCTTCAAGTATTGGATGTGATGTATGTAATTGATTGACTAATTTTTTTAATGACTATTTTATTTCAATAGATTAGAAATATAAAAATAAAATTTAATTAAAATTAACTTACAAGTATACAACTTTCTCGTACACTTGGAATAGGTGATTGAAGATTTTCAAGTAAAACTCGAATATCATCATCACTTTCATATGTACAACATAATTCACATAATTTTTCAAGCATTTCTGATGCATCATTCTAAATTTAAGTTAATCAAAAAAAAAAACTTCTTTCATAACGAATTTACTTACTTGAACTTGAACAGATTTTGATACAGCATTTATATCAAGAAATAAACGAATTAGATCACGACGTGGTAATAATGATGGATGATTCTAGAATACACATTTTTTTTTTTCTTTGAGAAAAAAGTTTATTTTGGAATATCGATCTTAGAAACTTTATTACAAAGTAAAATAACAACGGATAGTCACGGAATGTACATTTAGGAGATTATTCGTATTTTGGTCAAATGAGAATGATCTCATTGTCAAACGAACTACGTAGTTTGAAATATGAGTTGTTCATAACATGCACTAACCGAAATATTCGAAGTTCAAAATTTTAGCAGCATAGATTTTTCTATTTTCACTATGGTTGGATAAAGCTTAGCGAATTACATAAGAAAAATTAATATCACAGATACGTATTCAGAAGCGATTTTACAAATATGTGATATTATTTTTTTTTCTTAGGTAACTCGCAGAGCTCTATCTGATCGTGACGCAAAAAGAAAAATTAAATTTGCTGAAATTTTAAATTTTAACCATATGACATTCGATCAGAAATACCTTGAAATCATTGTCAGCTACTCTTTAGTTTCGATGTATGTTTACTAAACTAATAGAAATATAATACTACCACGTATTATTACATGGTTATTGTTAAACAAAGAAGATTAAGTCTTGCTTTATAAAGAAAATTTAATTTGAAAAATAAAATTAATATCTTACATCAGGATCAGATGTTGAAACTGATGAAAAATATTCTCGACAAATATTTAATATTGATGTTGCCCATTCATTTGTAGATTTTGGATGACTAACAATATTCTAAATAAAAGACAAAAACAAAGAAAAAAAGTAATTATTAATCAAATGATTATTTTAAATTATAAAACTAACTTTAAATAAAGGTAAACAATAATCAAGTCTTGCAATAGATAATTGATTAAATGTTTTAGCTTGTTGAGTATTATCATATAAACGTTGAAGTAAACGTTCAACAGCTGAAGATAAATTTTCTTGAAGCCAACGTTTATCTATTTGTTGATGAATAGTCGACGGATCACAATTAAGTCGAACAGCCAAATACGCAATAGCATAACCTTTATAAATAAATAAACATATATTATTTCAATAAGTACAATCACTTATTAATGCTTTACCAAATGTATCTTTATCATTCATAAATACAATTGGTACGAGAGTAATATATAAATCTTTAGCATAACTAAATGCTACTGGTGATTGTAATGCTGGCCAAATATGAGAAACAAGTTCACCAAGATAAGGTATAAATTGTTCTTGAGTACTTTTAACAATATTTATTAAGACTTCAAAAACATTCTTTGCATCCTCATCAATCTGATGTAAACAAAAAAAATAATAATTTTAGTTATTCAAGCATAGAAATACGAGCTATTCACGACCGAAAAATGGTAGGAACTTCGAAATAGAAATTTAATGGTCAACTTCGTTCAGAATTAGAAAAATTCAGCTGATGGATTCCTGTTGCCAAGTTCATACCATTTTTCGGCAGGAGTTCAGTTAAAAAACTTTAATTTTAAATTTTACCTTTTTAACACTATCACGTATTGTTTGTTCTTGATCAAGTTGGTGTTGAAGCATTTCCTGTTGTTTTTTTGTTAATTGTGGTTCAGCAGTTTTCTTTTGTTTAGCAGCTATTTCTTTTTCTAATTCTCTTGCTGCCATTTGTTCTTTATATGAATAATTTTTACTCTCCCTTTTAATATTTCCTGTTTCTTTTACTTCATGTTTTAATATACTAAATAATGAATAATTTTTTGTTTTTATTAGTAGAGAATATGATATTTATATTTACGTCTCCATAACACTTTTATCATATAATTGACCTGATGGTGTTTTCATTATTTCATAAGATCGTTTATCTACTAATAAATAACGATCTACTTCAAGACGTTGATAAGCAATTTGAAGAAAAGATTTTAAGAAAAGATTTGGTTTTGTTGAACATAGAAGACCTATAGCTGATATTTGATCCTGATAAAATAGAAAAAACAAAACATATACATTTGAGAAATATGAAAATTAATGTTTAGAAATTAAGTTATCACATTAATTCGAAACGCCTTATGATATTTGTAACAAAAGGATTTCTAAATTGCTCATATAATCAGTTCAGATCAACAGAGATGTAGTTCTATCATTGGACTAAATGAAACTTGTGTTAACATAGTGTTCAATTAGATATGAACAAGACCGTGTATCTGAGTTTTGATTCTAATCAAGAATGGTTTAGTTTTGATTCTGATCCTGTTTAAATACCCATGCCAGTTCTATCTGCCCCAGAACCAATTTTCCATGTCTAGCTATAATCAAAGATGTAGTAGATTCTAATGTGTTATGAATGTCATGAAAAGAACTTTGAAAGTGCACACAGACACACCTTGATGAAAATAACCTACGATGAAAGTATCAAGTCGATTGATGTGCTTCTATCCTGAAATCAGAGTATTGAATCTATCAGTGTATATGAACAATATAAAAGACATACTTTTACGATAGCCATGTCTTAAGATGGGAACAATCTAAAGATTTGAAACTTTTATAATAAACTATGCTCATTAAGACCTATCGCTGTGCAAATTTTCAAATCGAAATTCGAAAATTAATTTTTCCGATGTTCCTAAAGGATAACACGGTTATGGTTCAAAGGTAGTATCTCGGCTAGGATTGTCCATATTTTCTAGAGATGAGAAAGGCTAAAAATTTGGCAGAAAGTGGTTATCAGGAGACTAGAAGAATACAACCCATCATTAATTCGACTCCTCCGATATCAGACTCTCTGTCACAGAGTCATCATCCTATTCACCTCGGAACGGCATTGTCACTTTATATCCTCAACTGAAAAGCATTAAATAAAATGGACGACTTCTCTCGTAAGATATTTCGAATCCTATTGACTCAAATTAATCAGGATAAGTTGCCTAAGTTTATGTCTATTTTCTTTCGTGTCCAAAATCATTACATTGCTAAGTTTCCCATTGATATAAGATGTTATTACTTTTGTTAATCTTTGATTAGTTGTACAAATTTGAACAAGAGAATTAATATTATTATTAAAATAATTTTCTATTTCTTTATATTGTTTATCGAATATAAGATAAAGAAATTTGAGCCAAAGTTTTTCATCAGTTAATAAAAGAATTGAACTTAAACAACAAACAAGTAATGCTCGAATAGATAATATTTGTTTTGTATTTTCATCTTGCATTCGCATTGATTTAGCTAAACATAAAATTGTTTCTTCAAAACTTTTTGAAACTGTTGTTAATTTTATTTGTTGATTTGTTTCATCAGTTGTCGATGATTCATTCTAAATCCAAATAATAATAAATTGTTTTTGTTTTTTCTAAATATTCAAAAATTATTTTATTTACTGATATTGGAAAATGATCAAGATATGAATTTAATCCATTTAAAAGTGCTAAACTTATGTCAGTTTCAGATGAACGTAAATTATTAACAAGACGACGAATTATATCATATGCTTGTTTACGTATTTCATATGATGAATGTAAAATTAAATAGATAAATGTTCGAGTATATGGACTAGAAGAAAAGTTTTATTCATATATCGAAAACGAAGAAGAAAAAAAAACAAACTTACATCATTTCTTGAATATGTAATGTTCCATGAAGTTGTTCATAAAATTGAAAGAAAGTACGAGCACCTAAAATCTTCATACATATTTAACTAATCTATTCAATAAATTTTACAGTAAAATCTTTCTATTTTGAACACTGTCGATACTATTAAAAAACTTTCAATACAAATAGAGACGTTTAGTTTCGAGAATTGACATATGGTTTGTTGTAAAATGAAGAAAATGTTCGTGAATATCTACTTTTACCTTATATTCCTGGTTAAATATCTGACTATCTCTGTTCTTATTCACATGTTTTTATCTAAATATCTTAAATTGATCAATATTTTTGTCTCGCAAAGTAAGTTCGTACGAGATGTCATTTTCTATTCTTTACATGTACCGCAGTGGAATTATGGTGTGAGTGTGGGATACTTAAACACACCCTCTAGTGTTCATTGTTTAGAATAAAGAGATTTTCAAATTAGAGTGAAGCATTTCGAGCAAAAAATTGATCCATGATGGTTCATAATTTGCATGTGTTCACTAGTAGAAGTTTTACTGTATACTAACCAGCTGGATTGATTTCTCTTTGAAATTTATCAGTTGTAAAAATTTGTCGTTTACTATCATTTAATGATGACCATAATGATGTCAATTTGCTGTCTAATAAATTAAATTGTTAATTAAAAATAAAGTAAATCTTATTTTTCTTTCATACCATACGAAGAACTCATTTGAGCAATATTTATCATAATAAGAGCAGCTAATAATGCCTCATGAACACAATTGATTAATGTTGATTGATTAAGACCACGTTCATATGATGCCATTAATGTTGAATGTAATGGTATTAAACTAGTCAAACTATCCTCTATATAAACGAAATCAAAAATTCAAAAAAACAAAAAAAAAACATTTTCATTCAAATCATTTTACCAACCTTTATATGTTACCAACATACATTGAAGATAAGCTGCACGTGTAATTGCTGTACTATTTTTTTGTTCAAGTCCTTTCTATTCAAGAAAAATAAAACAACATTTCAAAAACAATTTAAAAAAAAAATGTTCATTACTTTAAAGAAATCTGTTAATGTTTGATTAACATTTGTTAATCTTGAACACCAACTACTCATTTGTTGTAACATATGACAAATAAGACCTTCATGTACTTCTTGTTGTATTATTGGATAGAAATATTTTTCAAATAATTTTAATATATCATCTTGTGCTATATTTGTACTTGGTGAACGACTTAATGTACCGATTGCACTTAGAACATTTTCACGTTGACTTATGACCGATAATTTATTGACAGATGATTCAGTACCTAAAACAAAATCTAATGAAAATAGTTGTCTTTTTTTTTTTTTTTGTTTTTAACCATTGAGAATGTTGAATAAATATTGAACTATACTAATTGCTGTTTCACCATTTGAAATTTGTCTAGCAAGAGCACGAAATGAAGCTAATGCAGATGCTTCTAGACTTTCAGTTTTTGATATTAATGGTGCTAAAGAATATTAAAATTTGAATTTGAATATTTTCATAAAATAACATACGAGCTAAAAGTTTAGCAAGTTCATTTGCAGTATAACTTAAATCGAATTGTAAATTACTAAGTAATGATGGTACAGCTATTTAAAAAGCAAAAAAGAGAATTTTGTTTGTTTTTTAATTAATGAAAAAAAAAAACAATACCTTCGATAATTATTTCAGGATTACGAAGAAGTGATCGATTAAGTATTGGATAAACTTTTGTTTTAAATGTTTCAATATCAATTGAACTTAGAATTTCATTACAAGGTTTTAATGCTGTTTCATAAGGTTTTGTTCGTGTACCAAGAATTAATTTTGAATAGGAATCAATACCAATGGACTAATGAGATTTTTAAAACAATGGGTTTTTGTTTTGAATGAAAGAAAAAAATTTACCTTGACTTGTTCATATAATGTTGGTTCTTTTGTTTTAAATCGATATAAAAGAGAACTTATTAAACCCAAATGAGCGAGGTCATGTTCAGATATCGATTTTAATAAGGTTACCCAATGTTCGGCTAATGTTGGAACCTAAAAAAAGAACAGTAAACAACAATTTATTTGTTTATTTTTTGCTTTGGATTTGTTTTGTTTTATTTCGCCGTTTTGACCATTTTTAATGAAAATCAGTTGGCCAGTTTTAAATTAATATTTTCACCGTTTCATTCTATACTATTTTCAGTAAGTTAATCATTTGTCTAATCAATGATATTCTTCGTAGACAATAGGCACATCAAACTATCTTTAATAATAATGATCTAAGAAAATTCATTGTCGATGATATTTGTATTGGCTTACAATGGAACATTACCAAGCGTTGACTTGCTTTTGAATCGAAGATAAATGCGTCGTGCTGACTTTATTAAACTATGTTTACCATAAATAGAGTTCGTACTTATAATGTGTTTATGCGGAAACCAAACACGATAGGACCTCACGTTTTTAGCAAAACCATATTGTTGAATGTCAACTAGTTTCAATTAAAGATTTGAGAATTATTGGACTAGGTCTTTCCAAAATATGGAACTTTGAAGGTATAGACTCTTTTCTATAGACAATATATATAACAAGAAGTTTTTTGAAAGTGTCATATTTTGAAGAGACTTTGTTCAAAACTTCTGAAATATTTTTTAAGGAAGCTAGCCTAGCTAAGTTCCCTATGGGTAATGCTTCAAATCGAAAATACCGACTTTCCGAGTATCTGAAACCTCCAGAAAATAGACATATTAAAAATTCCATAACTTAGTTAAATCTTAATAGAAGCACAAATCCTTTTAGGATTTTTATTAGAACCCTATGTAATATCTATAGATCAATCACTGATGATGTTTTTTCATTAGGTTTTTTTCCAATAGGTTATAGTAAGCAAAGATATACCTGTTTGAATAGAGAATTTAGACGTTTGTTAGCTAATTTCAATCCGAAAGAAGTTGATGAATCAGCCAATAAAGTTGAAGTAAACCTTGAAAAGATTAATAACTAAAAAGAAAACAAACAACAACAACAACAAGATTTATTTCGAATTATAAACCCGTTAATCATATCTTACAATCAATTTATCAGTTTCTTCTTCAATGGTTATCCCATTAATTGCTACTATAATTTTCGACATATATATTAAACCATAATCAGCCTGAAATCGTGCATTTCGACTATTAAAAAACAACATATACTTAATTATGAAAAAAAAAACGAAATTCCATATATATTGACATACTGTGGATGTACTTTACAAATCGCACGTGATTGTACATCGAATGCATTAATAATTAATTTTAAAATTCTTTCTTTATATTTTCGTATAACTTCATCCAAAAGTGTGCTAAGAAGAATACGTGATTCCGTTGTTGTATACAATGGAATAAGTTGACCAATTGTATGAGCCAAGACTTTTAATGCAGGATCTGATAGATCTTTTTTAATTGCAGAAAACAAAAATAATCGATCATAGGAAATTAAAAAAAAACACAAAAAATTAATTTTTTTAACTTACCATCTGCTTGATTTGTTTTAAATGATTCAATGAGATCATTTATAATATTTGTACGTACTTTTGGTGATGAATACCAACTGTACCGAACAAAATTTTTTAATGATTCCATATCTATTTTGTTTTTCTTTATTTTTCTATCTAGAAATACGCAATCAGTTGTTTAAAACTCACATTATGAAGCAAAAAATGAACAAAATAACAATAAATAGACGATATACATTCAAAAAAAAAAAAAAGACAAGCATTAAACAACTGTTATTCTTGCGGTTGGTGTTGTTGTTGTTGTTGAAAGCGTTTCATTAATTTATCATTATCAGGTATACCATACTCATCTGTATAATCAATTAAATTGCAAAAAAGTGACGATTCAACCTAAGAATTATATATAAAATTTAATTGTTTTTCTTATGTTTATATATGGACCAAATCATTGGTTAGGAACTTCACTTTATAAAATTAAAACATGTGTATCTCAACACAATGAACTTTCCTAGAACTAATTTTTATATATTACATGTATGCTAAGTTATTCTAGATAACCTAAAAATAATCAACGCTACAAGCCTTTGCTCTGAGGATTTATTAATAAAAAAGCCTCGAATTGAGGCAAAACGAAATAGTATATTCTGTAGAAAATTCCTCAGACTACAAAATCTTTATCGAAAATTTTTTTCTCAACATATCTAAATTTTGAAACAAAGTCAATTGACTTTTTTGTGAACGACATGATGGAGTATGAATATACAAACAAAAAAAGATTCTCCTATAACCTAATGCTAAATTCAAAATCAATTTCAAAAGTTACAAATCCTTCTTGATAACAAATGTGTCCATTACATTATAATTTGTGGAATGCTACCGTTGAGCCTTTTGAAAATAATTTCAAATTAACTCAATAATGTTTAGGATAGTAAAAGCCACTTTTATTCGTTAGTTTATTACCATTCGGCAATATTCCCCTTAGGATCCAGTCAAAAAAAAAATGATTTCTACCAAAAATATTTTTTGAACAGTAAAGATTGAAGTCGAAGCTTATAAAATTATATTAGAATCCAAAATACCTAATAAATAAGACTTAATACTTTATGCTGCTTGCAAATTTATTATTAGTTTAGCTACAAAAAAGTAAATTTCTCTCTAAAAATCTGCTTAATATATGTCAAAAATGCACAAAATAATGTCTAGAAAATAACGTGCTTGAGATTTCTCAAGTGTTCAACATTGGTTAAGTTTGATAAGTGCTATATAAAGAGTTATTATGTGTCGCTATCATTCGACAAGCCAATGAATAATACAGATTTTTCAGCTAACATACTGCTGACCGACAATGAACTAACGAATCAAAGCTTTCTGATAAGATGCTTTACTAGATTTTATTTTCTTATAGTAACTGATACAGAATTTAATATTCTTGAGGATAATTAGACAGTTATCTCATCATATCCAGGATAGTTTCGACGATGAGGAATTATGGTTAGCATTTCTAGTCTTTATTATCCCAGACATTATTAAATCGCTCTAAAATTACTATCAAACGGTAGTATTCCACAAATTTTAATAATCTAAGTAATAGACAGATTTGCAGGCTTATGCATCTTTCATTATAAATGTAGTTTGTACCGTAGAGTGTATCCTGAAGTCTTTGAATTTTTTTCTCGCATGATTAGAGAAACCTCTATTTACTTTTTAACTAATAGTTAGCTGAAAAAACCAACATTTTTTACATATGTTTAAGCTAAAAAGTAACTGATTCATGAAAATAATCCTTGCAAAGAATCAAACTCAAATAAAATATAGGTATGTTCCGTTTTGTCTGAAATGGCTCATATATAATATACATACTCCCAAAACATAAGAACATGTATCTGGTTCAACAAGATACATTGATGTTGCATGAGACTTATCTGCTCTCTTTTGACATCTAAATATAATAATTTTATTTGATTAGTATCGTATTCTCGTGAATAATCTACCTTAATTTAACTTCAACTACACGTCGAGTTTTTGTTAAATCACACATATCACCATCGGTATAATACAATGACACAAATCTAAAGATTTTGAAAAAAAAAAAATAATAAGAATTCAAAATTCTATCTACTGTCGATCTTTAGCATGTACAGATGGTTTCTTTTTGGGATTTTTATTTAACCATTCGATATGTTTTTCACGATTCCATGTTCCAAGTAAAATAGATACACGATGTTGACCTTCTTCCTTTAAATAATACAAAACAAAAAATTATTTATTTATAAAAATAAATAAATAAATAAATAAAATTTTCTACATGAAATTGAATAACATGTTTTCCATAACATATTTCATATTTCCACCAACCTGTTCCACCGGGTAAACATTCTCGACCAAAAAAAAAATTTTCAAGAAATTCTCGATCAACATCAGCACCCAAATTTCCCAATGGTTCTTGTCGAACATATTGATTATTATTATTATTAATAATTTCTTTTTGTTCACTTGAACTTGGTTGAGTTATTTTATTTATTGAATCACGTGTCGTAGTTTCAGTTAAATCATCAAGATCTTCATCACTACCATATTGATACGCTATTATAAATGTTGTTCCGTCAGCACTTGTCATCTAGATATATATATATATATATACGCCATGAGTTGTAATTGCACAATCGTGAATTGCACAATCATGTTCTTTTTACCGTAAATTGTGCTCGACCACCTTTTTTCAATGACAATTGCCGTTCATCTTCGAGTTTTTTTAAATTTCGTGGTTTTTGTCGAGCATTTTCTTTTGGAAAACAATTTATACTATATCGATTTGCTTCTAATGGACTAGATGATCGAACATTTAAACAAAAAATATAGATAATTATGAAAGTATAAATTAGGAAAAAAACAACGAAAATTTTTCTTCCGATTTTTGATGAATGTAAACATTTGATATACAACATTCTGTTTTCGATTGAGACTAGAAATTCGAACGTTAAATAATTTATCTTTTTCCCAGGACATATTTTTCAATGATTAAAATCCAATGAATTTCAGTATTTTTCGATAGACATCCAAATGTGAAGTTGATGATTTCGACTGCTTATTATAAATTATTGTTCTTAAAATTAATGATATTTATTGATCTAGTTCTTATCTTTAAATTGTGTCTATTATATATGTAACGCAAGTTTATATAGGTTAGAAAATAAAAAGAAAGTAACGATATTAGCGAAAAATCAGTACAATATTGTTAGGAGAATGAAAAATAAATTTAGATAATTTTTCTTAAACTCAAACTAAATGAAAAATTTGCATATGTGTGCGATATCAAGTTAGATTTTTCCATTTCATCTATCCTATAATAAAAATCAATAGATCATTTATCATCATAATTTTTTCTCGTTAACTTCGATTCGATTCATCATTCTCGTCTCATATTAATAAACAAGTTTTACCTAGGAGAAAAATTTCATAGAAATTTAATTAATTTCTTTGAAAAATAATCGCCAAAAATTGATTTTAATATAAAAAGAATTTAGAAATAAAACCCATGTGATTCAAATCGAACAAAAACTACCGGTAGATCACAGTTCAATATAATGTACGTTATACCGACGGTAGTTTAATACTGAACCCTCGAGCACTATTCTCAGTTTTTTTTTGCATAAAGAATGTTTTATGACTTAAATTGAATCCACATGCAAATGAATAAGAAGAACATGATTCACACTAGATATAGATGAATTAGATATCTTTATCACATGTATCGATATATTAAATTACTCATATTCAAAACTAGAGTAATTTAATTTTTTGTTTTTTTTTTATATTCTCTACAACGAATAAAATCAATATCACGATTGAATTGTTACATGTGGACCGACCCTTGATTTATTTTCTCTCATAATATTTATTCACGAAAGTAAATATGATATTTTTATATTATTATTTGAATAATGATTAGAAAAGAGATTGGTCGAAAATATGCAAAATATTAATGTAACAGGAAACGAAAAACGACTTGATGGATCTGGTCAGACACACAAAAAGAGTTCGAAGGTTAAATAGTTGGCTATTCTCTGGCCAAGAATCTACTTTCGGTATATCGGCGATAGTTTTCACATGGATTTAGTATTAATATAAGTGAGACTCTTGTCTTCATACTACACACTTTTCATAATAAATTGAATTCCCCGATCCAACCTAAATGTATCAATTAGCAGTTGTATCTTTTCAATTGAATGTATAGAAATAATGTGTAGAATTCTTTATGCTCTCAGTTTTAATAAATAATAATCCAATTACCTGAATGCTGGTAATTTACATAGCCATTTTGAAGCAACAGTCATTTCATAATAACATGATGATATTTCTTCAAAATCTAATATACCATCATTACCTCTTTCATCACATACTAAATAAAATCAATCAAAAAACAAAATAATTTTTATAAACTTTTATCTTTATATAATTTACCATAATGAACAATTGTTTCACGTGGTTGATTTGAATTAATTTCACATGCTGTACCATCTGTATATCGAACAGCTAACATGGGTGTTTTTTTATTATCAATTGTTTTATAATGTATCTTATAAATTAAGCAAAAAAACGAAATTAATTTTTCAAAAATAGAACTTTGTTTTAATTACTTTTAACACTGATTGACCATCAGAATCAGTAAAAATATCTTGATTATCAGAATGATAATAACCTAAATAATATTCTTGAAGAGTTGATTTCTAAAAGTGAAAATATGCATACTTCAATTAAATTATCTCCGAAAAAAAAATTCAATCTTACTTTTCCTGCAACTTTTGTATCATGATATTGTCGAACATGTATACCATGACATAATTCATATGTCCAATATGGATCCAACTATAATGATTCAATAAATAATCAATTTACTTTAGAAAAAAAAAAGGCAACAAACTTACTCGATATACACATAATTTTTTTGAATGTAAACTTTCTAATAATCTTTCAACATCAGATAATGGAATAGAATCAGTTGATGTCTATATATAAAATTATTTTATGAATATAAATATTTGAAAATAATATATGGTGCAAAAGTTCTGCATTTATTTTATTTTCAGTATAGCGTGACAACAACTCATCGTAAAGACGTAATAGTTT